GCACATAAGAACAACAACAACAATTTTGCATTTGTATTCATGAGAGATATTTGTCTGTAATTTTCTATCTTGGTCCCTCCTGACAGTATGTCCAAAGTATGAGATACCAAGTCTCACAATGTACAAAGCAATTGGATTCTGGAAGGTAGGTTCTCATGATTTAGTTGAAAATCATGTATAAACTATTTGGTCATTTTTTATTTTGTCAATAGTTGAGTGTAAGCTAATTGGTCACTTGGATTTAGTTATCAATCAGGTGTGGGCAGGAAGTCTCTTGTTTAGGTCAATCAGGGCCTGGTGGGCAGGCCTTTGTATTTAAAAGTCAGTTGGGCTGGAGGGCCTGTGGCCCTCGGGCCTGGTATTAATTTTGTTTGGGGAGAACACTAAGTGGTACAGCACTTGTCTGTCAGTTTGCTGTACCAACATAACTTGGGGTTGCTGTAATACTGAATTCTGTGTCACTGGTGTGTCTAATGCCATAATGGTTACCTATGGTAGACAGGGTTTGGCAGAGCTCCCAGACTGACAAACTTGGAAGCAGGATTGGCATCCACTTCTTAAATAACAGGGCTTTGGGAACCCTATGAACACTAGAGAAATTACAATAGTTACAGGACAGGGTTCAGATCTTTTGTCATACTCAACTCATCAGTTAATAACAACAACAACAAAGAAGCAATCTGACTGCTTCTTCTAAGAGACTTATTTGTTCACTTTCAATACTCTTTGCCAACACCATAATTCAAAGGCATCAATTATTTGGTCTTCTTTATTTATTGTTCAATTTTCACATGAACATGAAGCAACTAAAAATGTCACAACTTGGATCAAGTACTCCTTGTTATTTAAACTGAACCCTTGACAATAAATATGCCCAATGCAATATGTAAAACTTATTAATATTGTTTTAAATGTCTACTGTAGTATTTTACACTCCAGGTATCTAATTAATGAAAGATGGTGTTCTACCTCTGTAGCAATCTCCTGATCTACCAATGCCTTATCAAGAAAATGTGTAGTATGCCTTATTCTTGATGAACCTAGGGTGTCTTCCAAAGATCACTCCTTTCTAAGTGTTTCTAAGTCATGTGGTCAACAATTTATTCTCCAAGTTTGCTTGCTATCAACTGGTTAAGAAAGACAGAATTTTATTCAGCTCAATGTATCAGGTCTCTCTCAAGATTTCCAGAAACCCCCAGCCTCCAGTCACAGGGTACTGAAATAACCGAGGAGTTCTTTTTCTCAGTCAGTATCTGAGATGCTGTCCCTTTACTATTTCCTTACTGGCATTCAGCCTCCTTTCCCTCTTTCTGATATAATGTCTTCTCTCTCTAGCTTAATTCCCTCTTCTTGGCAAAGCAGAATAAAGCCACAGACACAGAGCTGTTCTCCCTTTCCTCCTGCAACCACTATGCTCCCTGTTCCAATGACAGATCTGTCTCATCTCATCTCATCTCTTTCACTCAGAACACAACTCCAAGTACCTGTCCCCTGCTCCTCTTTGAAGACTGCCTGACACTGCTCTGGCAATTCAGGGAGCAGGTTATGCCTTCTGGAGCTTCCACCCCCTCTTCTTCTTTCTTCTCTTATAGATGTCTATTTTTATACCTGGACTTAACCTGGAATTTCCTGAGAAGCTACCTTAGCCTTTTTAGAATTGCTATCTACTCCGTTTGAATTTTCAGAATTTTACAATAAGAGACCCCTAAATCCTCAGCAAGGTCTTCCTTTTTGGAGTTTTTATATATAGAACTCTATATTTTTTTTCTGATTAAAAAATAATCCTTCCTAAATCCTTTGAAAGACTTTGTGTTGGAGGGAGTTCTGGTGGCTTGGTAGTTAAGGAATTGTGGGGCCTACCCAAAGGCATACAGTTCAAATCTACAAGCTGCTCTGTGGGAGAAAGATGGGCAACTTCTTCCTATGTGATTTACAGCCTCTTATAAACAGCTGGTGGGTCAGCTATGAGTCAGTTCTGTCTCTATGATACAAAAAAAAACAACAGCAAATTGTGTTGAAGAAATGGGGGAAAGGCTGGTGAGATGGGAAGGAAGAGAGTAGGATGAGGAAGAAAAAGTGGGTAGTGGGATTCATGAACCATTCTTTCAATAAATAAATATTAAGAGGATGAGGGAGAGAAGGTTAACTCAGGAGAGGAGCTGGTAGATGGGAAGAGGGTTGATGGAATAGGAAAGAGACTAGTAGGATTAAGAAAGGGGATGAATGAGAGATGGAGGGAAGGATTAAAGATGATGGGAGGATGATGGGGGAGTCGGTGAAGGAAGAACAAGGTTGGGAACATCCATGAGATGGGAGTGACTGGTGTGCTGGAGGCAGGACAGAAGCCTGCTGTGGTGCCAACTCACTTCTTCTCCCGAGTCTTCTTGAGGATGAAGGTGATGAACTTCTTGAGCAGCAGGACAAAGACCAGGAGCCCAATGACCCCGCCTACGACTGCCAGGATGATGAGTGTCACCGTGTTGTCCACTTCCTCCACTGCAGGGTCAGAGAAGGGAAGGAAGGGTGGAGGAGAGAGAGAGAGTCACCCAGAGCTCAGCATCAGGTCCAGCCAAGGGCCGTGCAGCCTCTGCCCCACTCCGTGCCCTCCTGGGCACTCCCACCTCAGCCTCCAGCCCTCCCAGGCCTTACAGCAAGACAAGCTGAACCAAGGAGCCCATCAGGCTAAGGCACATCCCATCACCTCTCCACAAATACCCTCCCACAGACTTACACACATTTCTGAAATAATTCAGACTCGGGGCTCACAGCACAAAGGTCTGAGTCACGACTCGGCCCCCAAACTGCCATGTGAGAATTTCCTTGCATTCTTCCAGGTCTCCTTTGCCAATGTGGGGGAGGGAGGAACTAATGCTCTCTCTAAGATATTTCTGCTGCAATCCCAGAGGTGTGCTGTTCAAATCCACCAGATGCTCTGCTTGAGAAGGAGGGACAATCTCCTCCTGTACCAGTCACATCTGATTTGACGGTACACCCACACAAAATGAAAAATTAAAATTAAAAAGAGGAAAAAATAAGATTTTTTTACATAGTAGGAAGACTCTGACATCAGACAGATCTGGATTTTAACGATAGGATTGTCACTGGCTGCTATTCTCAGGCAAGTCACTTCTCTCCCCTAGCTCCCATCTCCTCATCTAAACAGCAAACTCGTAACTTCTTCCCAAACCTGCCCCATGCAGTCTTCCCTCTCATCATGAGAACACCATCCTCTAAGGTGCTCTGAAGAAAAAAAAAAAAGAAGAGGGATCATCCTTGACTCCTTCCTTTTTCTAAAATACCAAATTAACCCACCTGAGAAACTTGCCTTCTCTTTTTCAGAAAAACCTGAAATCTGACCACTTACTACCTCACCTAAGCCATCACTGGAATGTTGTGGTCACTTCTGAACTGATATTCCCCCATGAATGATTGTCTCCATCCTTGGCACAGAAGCCAGAGTGAGCCTGTTATATCACTAACACCCCTGCTCAGAACCCTCCAGTGGCTCTCATTTCACTTACATCCACAAGCCTCATACAACCTGGGTCAGTCTGACTCATCTCTTATACACACCCTTTTCCAGACACACTAGCCTCCTTGTTGTATGCCAAACATCTACCTCAGGGCCTTTGTACTTGCCTTTCCCTCAACCTGGAACATCTTTCCAAAGACATCCTCACTCTTCCTCTCTCATCTCCTTAAAGTGCCCTCACTCGGTGCCACTTTTTCTAGTGAGACTTCCCACACCCACACAGCTAGAAACTCACTTCTCCTTCCAAAAGCAAACTAGTTGCTGCCAGGTTGATTCTGCCTCATTGAGATCACAGCCGTGTCAGATAAGAATGGGCTTTAAGAGCTGATTTTTCAGAAGTATATCACCACAGTTGTCTTCCTAGGCACCTTTGTTGTTGTTGCATGCTGTTAAGTCAAAAACAACCCACAGTTGACCCTCCAGTGGATTTTTAGAGGCAGTAAACCATACAAGAAGAGACTGCCCATCCTTCTTCCACAAAGCAGCTAGTGGATTTGAACCACGTACCTTTGCTGAAACTGAGGAGGACCTGAAGCACCTGCTGCAGAGGGTCAAGGACTGCAGCCTCCAATATGAATTGAGGCTCAATGCCAAGAAGACAAAGATTCTCACCACTGGACCAATTGGCAGCATCAGGATGGATGGTGAAGAGATTGAGATTGTACACAGCTTTAGTTTGCTTGGCTCCACAGTCAACAGTCTTGGCACCAACAGCCAGGAAATTAAAAGGCATATTGCCATGGGAAAGTCTGCTGTTAGGGACCTCTCCAAAGTACTTAAGAGCAATGGTGTCTCTCTGGAGACTAAGGTGCGTCTGATACAGGCCATGGGCTTCACAATCACTTGTTATGCATCAGAGAGTTGGACAATGACCAAAGAGGATAGAAGAAGAATGGATGCCTTTGAGCTGTGGTGCTGGAGAAGAGTATTGAGAGTACCATGGGCTGCTAGGAAAACAAACAAGGAGCGTGGATCCTTGGAGGCAAGGATTCTGAGGCTCCATATGACATACTTTGGACATGTTGTGAGGAGAGACTGGTCCTTGGAGAAGGACATCATGCTTGGGAGGGTGGAGGAACAGTGCAGGAGGGGAAGGTCCTCTATGAGGTGGGTTGATTCAGCAACTGGGATAATCGGGATGGGAGTGTCAGAGACAGTGCGATTGGCACACGACAGAGCGGAGTTTAGGGCTGTTGTACATAGGGTCGCTATGAGTCGCAAGCAACTCGACGGCACATAACAACAACACCACCACCTTTAAGATTGCACCACAGCTTCTTACCACTAGGCCACTAGAGTCAAACTGCCAACTTTTTTGTCAAGTTCCGCATTCACCATTTGCATCACCCAAGGACTTAATTTTTTCTCCTCCAGCACTTGTTTTGTTGTTGTTGGCCACCAACGGACCCTACATACAGCAGTTCTCAGGTCTGCCCTGTCCTGAGCCAGTCTCACTAATTCCAACACACCAATTCCCATTGTCTCAGTTACTGCATCAATCCTTCTCATCCGGGGTTTTCCTCTCCTGTGCTGTCCCTCCACCTTTCCAAGCATGACGTCCTTCTCCAAGGACCTGTCTCTCCTGGCCACATGTCCAAAGTACGTGAAATAGAGCTTCAAAATTCTAACCTCCAAGGAGAAACTTGTTTTCACCCTCTCCAAGACAGACCTATTTATTTTCTTGGCAGTCCATGATTTATTCAAGCACTACAATTCAAAGCCATCTTGTTCCATCACCCTTAGTCATTGTCCAGCTCTCTGACACATAGCAAGCAATTGTGAAGCCCATGGCCTGGATTAGGCATACCTTAGTCTCTAGACTGACATTATTGCTTATTGGTACTCTGGAGAGATCCCTGACAGAAGATTTTCCCAATGCAATTCATCTTCTGATTTCCTGACTGCTGATGTTGAGTGTTGATTGTGGAGCCGAGCAAGTTGTAATTGCTAACAACCTCAATTTCTTCTCCATCTATCATAGAGAGCTGTCAATTGGCCCAGTGGTGAGAATCTTTGCCTTCTTGATGTTAAGCTTCAATCCACATTGAAGACTACAATCCTTGACCTTCTGCAGCAAACGCCTCAAGTCTTCTCCAGTTTCAGCAAAGACTGTGTGTGTCATCTGCATAATGTCGGTTGTTGATGAGTCTTCCTCCAATCCTGATGCCACATTCTTCTTCATAAAGTCCTGCTTCCCAAAAGATCTATTCTGCATATAGATAAAAGGTATGGAAATAGGATGCATCCCTGATACACTCCTCTCCTGATTATGAGCCACGCAGTGCTTCCTTGCTCTGTTCTGAGGACTGCTTCTTGGTCCAAGTTATATAGGTTTTGCATAAGCACCATCAAGTGGTCTGGGATAGCCATTTTCCTCAAGGTTAGCCACAATTTTTTGTGATCCACACTATTATATAATGTAATTTGTTTCCTTATTTTATCTGTTTCTTTGCTTATCACATATATTCTATCCTTATTCCCAACCAACTGGAAGATCATTTCCATGAGGCAGAAATGTCTCTGTCTTGTTCATTCTGTATTCTCAGTACCTATAACAGGGTCTGCTACTTAATGTTGTTGTTGTCATTGTTGTCGTTTGGCATCAAGTCGGAACTGACTCATAGCTGACCCTCCAGCAGGTTTTTAGAGGCAGTAAATCACCTGGGAGGAGACCGTGTGTTTTTCTTCCACTCAGCAGCTGGTGTGGATCTGAATCACACGCCTGTCAAGCTGCAGCACAATTTCTTCTCACTCGGCCAATAGATGCTCAGTAAATATGTAAGTAGATGGCTGGATGCACTAGGAAAAGCAGAGTCAAGACTCATCCCAAAGGATTTTATGGGTTCAAGTAGCTAGGGTGAATGAGAGTGCTTAATCCAGAGCTTGGCACCCAGAAACACTCAATAAATATTGCTTCCTTTCTCTTTTACTCATGATGACGGAGTACCAAGCGGGGCTGCAGGAGCCCAGACAGAGCTAAGAAGTGTCACCATAGGTGGACTTGACTCAGACCACTCTAAGATCAAAGAAAGCTGCCCAATGGATGATCACAATCAAGCCCGTTGCATGTCACTCCCAAGCATTCTGTCATCCACAAGAGTGGGAATCCCCAATATACACAACATGCAGCAGAATCAGGGTCCTTGAGCAGGTTCCTTCCTGCTTCCTCTCTGCTTCTGGACCCTTCCAGGATCTTCCTTTCCATGAAGCCCAGTCTGATTCTCCTTCCCTTACGGCAGTGCCCATTCTGTAAATACCTTCAGTAGCTGGGACCTACCTGGCTCCTTATCCTTTCCACTCTTGTTATCTCCTTGTTCTACCTGCTTCACACTGGAATTTCCCAACTAGAATATAAACCCTGAGGGGGGAGAGGACATGCATATTCAATTACTAGTTGTCTATGCCTTTCCTGGTGTGTGTATCAAATTCTTCCTTCTGTTTCAGTTATATGTGTAAAGGCAAATAATTGCCTTTCATCTTTTCCTAACCTAAGCTCCTCAGTATGGACTGAGGCTCAATGTCAAGAAGACAAAAATTCTCACCACCGGACCAATCGGTAGCATCAGGATGGATAGTGAAGAGATCGAGAGTGTTCACAGCTTCAGTTTGCTTGGCTCCACGGTCAACACTCTTGGCACCAGTAGCCAGGAAATCCAAAAACGTATTGCAACGGGGAAAGTCTGCAGTTAGGGACCTCTCTAAAGTACTCAAGAGCAACGGTGTCTCTCTGGAGACTAAGGTGCACCTGATACAGGCCATGGTTTTTGCAATCACTTGTTAATGCATCAGAGAGTTGGACAATGACTAGGGAGGATAGAAGGAGAATTGACCCCTTTGAGCTGTGGTGCTGGAGAAGAGTATTGAATGTACCATGGACTGCCAGGAAAACAAACAGATTCATCTTGGAGAGGGTTAAACCAGGCTGCTCCTTGGAGGCAAGGATTCTGGGGCTTTGCCTGACATACTTTGGACATGTTGTAAGGAGAGACAGGTCTTTAGAGAGGGACATCATGCTCGGTAGAGTGGAGGGACGGCGCAGGAGGGGAAGACCCTCTATGAGGTGGATTGATTCAGTGACTGGGGTAATCGGGATGGGTGTGTCAGAGGCAATGAGATTGGCATGGGACAGAGCACGGTTTAGGGGTGTTGTACATAGGGTCGCTATGAGTCGCAAATGACTCAATGGCACATAACAACAACAATAGCAAGCTCCTCAATGAAAAACATTATGTTTCACTCATAGGACTTTCTAGTACAGTAACTAGACATTCAATCAACTTTTGCTAATGGAATGCATAACAGTCATAATCAACATAAAGATTGCTTTCATAACCACAAAAACTTCTCTAATCCTCACATCTTCCCATTTCACAGATGAGGAAAATGAGGTTTAGAGAGGCTAAGTAAAATCATAAGCTATCGAACAACAGAATAAGAAATCAAGTTGAATCTCTCTAGCATCTAAACCTAATTGCTATAACCCTTCAAAGTGTAAGAGGAAGGAAAGCACCAATGTTTCAGTTGTTAGCATGGCAACGGATTGGCACCCGCCCCCAAGCCCTTCCCGCTTCACTGTCCTTCTCTTTGCCCCTACTACATACATTTGTCAACGACTTGGAGGAAGATGGTGGCCTGGTGCTCTAGATTTTGTTCCTTGGGGTTCCGCACATGACAGGTATATTTGCCAGTGTCGCTGAATTCCAGGCTGTCCAGCAGAATGGAAATGTTGTTCACCTTCTCCTTGGTGGAGCCCTCCAGAGTGATTCGATCATTGTCTTTCAACTTCACCTTGGGATCAGACTTTTCATTCTTCACAGTCCCATCTATAAGCTGGAAAGATAAAAAAGGAAGGTGATCAAGAGGGAATCAAGGTCCTCAAGAGTCTCGAGGCCAGTCTTTGCGTATCTGCTTGTCCAGTCTCAGGAGGAGCCTGCAGTCTGAGGGGTTTCCACCTCCTGAATTTCCCTTTCCAGCATCAGTGGCTCCACTTCTCTAACTTAATTCCTACTGCTGAAGGCTAAACTTCTTTCTTTTTTTTTCATTGTGTGGAAATGTACATAACAAAAAATGTTCCTTAATCATTTCAAGTATACAATTCAGAAACACTATTGAGCTTTGGTTTTGAAGAAGAGTATTGAGGGTACCATGGACTGCTAAGAAAACAAACAGATTCATCCTAGAGAGGGTTAAACCAGGCTGCTCCTTGGAGGCAAGGATTCTGAGGCTTCGTCTGACATACTTTGGTCATGTTGTAAGGAGGGACCAGTCCTTGGAGAGGGACATCATGCTTGGGAGGGTGAAGGGAAGGCGCAGGAGGGGAAGGCCCTCTGGGAGGTGGATTGATTCAGTGACTGGGACAATCAGGGTGAGTGTGTCGGAGACAATGAGATTGACACAGGACAGAGCGGAGTTTAGGGCTGTTTTACATAGGGTCGTTATGAGTCGCAAGCGACTCGACGGCACATAACAACAGTTACATTCATAATGTTGTAAAACTACTATTCTTTCCAAAACTTTTCCATCACCCCCAATAGAACACTGTGCCCATTAAGCAATACTCTCTCATTTTGCCTCCTTCTAGCCCCTGGTAATCACCACTTTGTATCTGTATATACTTGCCTACTCCATTTATCTCATAAGAGAACTCTGGTGGTCTAGTCAGTAGAGAGATTGTTGGTAACCCAAAAGTGGCACCTCTCTGGCAGCTCCATAAGGAAAAAGATGGGTAATCTACTGCCATTGGTTGTAGCCTAGAAAACCCCCACTGGATCATCAGCTATGAATCAATTCTGACTCAAAAGTAAAGAGAAGTTTTTTTGTTATTTATGTACCATCCAGTCAGAACCAACTCATAGCTGATGCTCTGGTGGGTTTTAGAGTCTACAATCACTTGAGAGGAGATTGCCCATCCTTCTCCCTCAAAGGAGCCAGTAGATTCAAACCACATGCCTTTGGGTTGGCAGTGCAATTCCTTAATGCTAAGCGACCAGAACTCCCTTTGTATTTCATATTAGTAGAGTCCTACAATACTTGTCTTCTGTGTCTGGTTTATATCACTCCATTTTCATGGTCAGTGCATGTTGTGGCATGTATCAGGATCTCATTCCTCCTTTCAGCTGAGTAAGATTCCATTGTATTCACATAGCACACATCTTGTTTATTTTTTTCATCTGTCAGTGGGCACGGGTTATTTTCACTTTTGGGCTACTGTGACAAGGCTGCCGTAAACACTGGTGTCCAATTCTCTCTTTACAGTCCTTGTTTTCAAGTCATTTGGGTTCATATTTTAAATGTTTCCTTCTATTTATTTTAGGGGGGCATAGAAACATCTTTATTGAGGAGGGTAGGATCATGCTGAGTCTAGGGGCATGCAGTAAAGGGGCAGTTGTGAGCTGTCCTCAGTGGTCAGGGCCCCAGGTCCACCCAGGACTCCCTGGACCTTCAAATTCTCCCTCATTCTGTTGATCTGGCCCAGGTGCTGTGAGGTCCTTAGGGGACTCAGATTCGATGTTTTTGACCTATGACCAGAAGGTAGATTCAAACAGGAGCTCCAGAACTGGGTATCCTCTCAGTGCTGTGGGGCCATTTGTGTATTGGAGAAGGAAGCTTTAGAATTTGGGGTTCATTAGGATTAGGGCTCTTGGAGTGCAAATGTACTGAGATCCTTGGAATCCACATAGGAATCCTTGTTTCCAGGAATGGAAATTCCATTCAGGGTCTCCTGGAGCCTATGAATAGGGATTGAGGTGCCCTGGGAGGCTGGAATGCATAGCTGTGGTGTCTTCGGTCCTAGGCACAAGGATCTCCATGACTGGGGCTGCTTGGGGATTCGGGATTGCATTTTTACGTAAACATGTTTCCTTTTATTAAGGTCTCCACAAAATGTCTCACACAGTTCTTACTGCTTTCTTCATAAAAGTCTTTTATGTAAAAAAAAAAAAAGTCTTTTATGTAATGGTCCTTTAAATGCATCACTTATTTCTGTCACTTGCTGTTCTACCTTTCCTGGCATTATGCCACCTGTCTATCTCAATGCTGGTCCTTCATGAAGAGACCTAGATCAATTCAAAAGCTTTGTCCACCAGCACCCTCCAAGTGCAGCATTTCATTATATCCAGAGTCAGTCTTTTGTAGCTTCCCTGTCCTAGCCTGGGTCCCCTACTAGACTGTAGCATGCAATAACACTGTTGATTGGTTCATTCCCCACCCCTGCCACACAACCCTGTACAACAATGGTTCTGCATATCTCTTATGCTTCTCTAACTTCCAGCTTTCTTTCCAAATCTGATTCCCTGGCCCTTCCCTCATTTGGACTCTTCTAATTCCATCTCTCCAAGGATCCAGAGAGGGGCTCTACCTCTCTCTCTTCCCATCTTATTATTTGAAGTGTGGGGTTTTGTTTGTTTTTTTTTAAAAAAAAGTTTTAAATCATTCACATACACTGTGTTTCATCAGTGGACACTGAATTTTATACAGTCATACTAATTTCTACATAGGTAATTCAAGTTCCACATATTTCTCAAAACCAGACAGAAGACTTTAGCCAAGAATTCCAGCCAACAGACCACAAATTCTAACATCTTGGAGAAGGGTCACGTGACGTCCCTGTCAGGTAGATTCTCTCAGGCAGGCCCTGCAAAGAACATGAGGGGGAAGAGGTGACAAAAATGATATTCCAGGGGCTATCACAGTAGGACTCAGTTCAGAAGAGACCCAATAAGAAGAAAGGAAGAACTAAGCTACCCTGTCCCATGCCCCATACTTACAATCTTGAATGTATCGCTGCTGTTGTAGGACCACCAAAAGCGAAGGTTCTCGAAGCCAAAGCAGCTGGAAAAAGTGCAGGGAAGCAGGATGCTGGTGCCATTGACAGCGTAGATGGTGGCAGCCTTTCCCACAGACACCTCCAACGACAGGGCCACAGGGAGCAGCAGGAAGAGACCTGTACATGGGAACCTATCCTTAACAAAACTTCTCCAGAAACTCCAGATTGGAGCTCTGTGAGGGGGCAAAGGGTGATGCTTGGTGTGTCAGCCTCTAGGCTATCCAAAATTGATAGGGCCTGGACCACTGGCGAGTTCTCCATTTCTCCAAAGGAAGGGGCGTTTGAATTCTAAATGACCACCAGGGGTCACCCCAACCCAAGAAGACAAGGTCTTTGCAGGCTTGCTCTGAAACCCGCCTACTCCCGGAACCCCAAGACACTGGGCTTGCTCTCACTCAAAGAGTGCAGAAAGGAGACCTTTTATTGGGAGTCCTCTTAGAGCAACGTACAGGATCTTCACCACAAGGTTTATTTTCTCCCTTTTCCCCTTCTATCTGAAGGTTGGGGACGACAAAGGAGGGGTAGTCCTGAGATGAGAGAGAAAAGCGGCAGCGGCTTTTCCCAGTGATCTCTCACCACAGGGCTCTGTCCGGAGGGCCAGGGAGGCAGGGTGACCATTGGGATGAGATAATGAGGGGGGGGCGGGGAGGAGCATGGGCAAGCCCTGGAATCCAACAGCAAGGCAGAGGGCGTGAGCAACCCTGGGAGACAAAGTCTGAGGGGAGAAAACCCACTGAGGCAAACAGACTCTAGACTAACCTAAATGAACGCGCTCAGTAGTGGTGGTGGGGGACACTGGACCCGCTGTACCCTCCTGACCCCAAGCACATCTTCCGCCCCTGTCTCCTTTCACTTCCCCACATTTCCCTGAAACGTCCCCAGGTAACCCCCTCAGAGCACCCCTCCAGTATTCCCAGAGCATCCCCGCAGAACCCACCCACAAGCACCTGAGCATCACCCCAGAGCACCCCTTCATCACCTCAGAGCACTCCCGCAAAACATATCCGTGAGCACTTCCGAGCATTCCAGAGAGCACCCCCCAGAGCATCCCCCTGACCATTTCCCCAGAGTATTCCCCCAGGACACTTCACCAAAGTATCTTCTTCCTGACTATATCCACCCCCAGCACCTCCCAGAGCATCCCCCCAAGAGCATTCTTCAGAGCACCCCCAGAGTATCCCCCAGAACACCCCCGCAGAACACCCCCACAAGCACCTCCAAGAATTCCCCATAACATCACCCCAGAACACCCCCGCAGAACATCCCCACAAGCACCACCCCATAGCGTCCCCCCAGAGCATCTGCCCAGAGCTCCCCATGGCTCCTTTCCATGGTTTTGCACCCCACACTGCCAGCGTCTTCCAAGGACGCCTCCAGGCGCCTCCTTCCTGCCTGCAGATTCCAAGGAAACCCCACTCCACTTCAAGGTCATTGCAGGAGAAACCAAATGTATACCCCTCCTGCGCTTAATGAAAGGAGAGGGTCACCTCGTGAGGGATCAGAGGTGGGTCTACAGTGACCTGGATACTGAAGACACTTTCCTGGGCTAAACAAGCATTGAAATAGCGATGACACAGGACAGAGAGCAGCTCTCAAGGTCCCCAGGCTATTCATTTTGCCGGCAGCACACTGCTTCATCTTCTCAGCCTCTGAGTTAGGACTGCTGACCTTTAGGTTAGAAGCCCAGTGCTTCACTCACTGCACCACATCTGGCAAACCGCTTTCTGGTTTCATCTTTCTCACTCTGTGCTCTAGTGGATTGAACCCCAATCATCCTATTCCCCCACCCCTCATCCCACACACTCCTCCACCCCCACACACACACATATCCCCATCTACACACACACACCGCCCCTCGCCACACAATACACACATAACCACCACATACCCCCAACCATACACACAACCCTCACACCTAACCACTTACCCCCTACCCCACACATACACATATATCCCCACCTCATACATTCCCACCATATACCTCCGCATCTCCACACACAACCCCACCACACATTCATACACACACACCCCCCATCACTCACTCATTACCATCCAATCTGTTCAACTCCTAGGGGTGTGAGCCTCCAGCAGTTTCTAAGGCTGTAAACCAAGGAGACTGCCCCTCTGTCCCCCTCAGAGGGGCTGGTGGACTCAAACTGCTCGGGCCTTTTGGTCCGCAGAGCAACACCAGCGAGCCTGCTTTTCTGCGAGCAGCTCAATACAGAAGGCGTCACTCGGGTTCTGGTCATTACTCACATTTTAAAGGTTGGAAAAGTGAGGCTGAGAAAAGCAAAACGATGTGCCCATAGTCACACTGATTCTAGAAGAGGTCTCGGAAATCTCAGATAGTGTTTAAATTCAAGGCCAACAAATAACAGCGAGTAGCAGTCTGACTGCATTAACTTCTACCCCAGGCTTTGCCTAGCCTCTGTCTCTATCCAGATTGTAGCTCCTGTCAACTCCATAGACCTCTGGCCATATAAACCCCAACAGTGTCAGAGCTAAGAAACTAATTAAAACTCCACTGCCTCATTTTACACACAGGACAACTGAGGCACACGGTGAAAGGTGACTCTGAGTGCAGTGGCGGGGCTGGCTGAGATGCTGGCCCAGCCCACTACGGCTCACACATAGCCCTGCAGTCAATTCCCAGCACTGTTCATATTTCCAAGACTGACAGGGTCATTTTTTTTAAAGGTTGTCACACCAACCTTCTTCACTTTTTCCACCCTCATTCTCTGTAAGGGCCTCTTTTGTTTAACTTAATTCCCACAAGCTACACCATAAACAAGTTTCCTCTTGTTTGTCCACAGGGAGACGATAATGATGCTGTTAGAAATGCTGGTGCCTCTGAGTAATGCTTTTTAAAATAGACATGGAACACCTAGGAAGGAGCCCTGCTGGCACAGTGACTAAGCAAATCAGCTGATAACCTAAGGGCTGGCGGTTCAAGCCCACCACCAGCTCCTGCATGGGAGAAAGATCTAACAGTCTGCTTCTGGTAAACATTACAGTTTTGGAAACCCCATGGGTCAGTTCTATCCTCTCCTACAGGGTTAGAATTTGGTTGGGATTGACTCAGTTGTAATGAGCTTGGCTTAGATTTTTATGTGTCAGGAACCATTCTAGAACAGTGCAAATAGTTCAAACAGAGATGGCTGCATCTGACTCTGGAGATTTTTAGTCCATAGCCTGAGAATTTGCATTTTAAAAAATTTTCCCCTGATGAAACTAAAAAGCCTTCCATGTGGATTACACTTAACATAAAATTAAAATCCTTACATCTGAGCCAATAAAACATCATGATAAATGGATAAAAGATTGAAGTTGCCAAGGATTTCATTTTTACATAGATCCATAGTCAACACTCATGGATGTAGCAATCAAGAAGTTAAACAAAATATTGCAATGGGAAAAACTGTTGCCAAGAACTTACTGAAAATGCTAAAGAGCAAGGATGTTAGTCTAAAGACTCAAGTATGCCTGGCCCAAGCCATGGCATTTTTAGTTGCTTCATACGCATGTGAAAGTTGGACAAGGAGCAAGGAAGACTGAAGAATGTATGTCTTTGAATTATAGTGTTGGAAAAAATAGTGAATATACCACAAACTCCCCTAGGAAAAACAAATTTATCTTGAAAGAGTAGCCAGGGTGCCCCTTAGAAGCAAAAACAATGAAACTGTCATATTTTGGGCATTAAGAGGGGTTCAGAACAGAGCAAGGAAACACTGCATGTGTCAGCGATGTATGTGTCCTGTCTCCATACCTTTTCAATCTGTATGCAGAATAGATCATTAGAGAAGCTGGACTTTATGAGGAGGAATGTGGCATCAGGATTGGAAGAAGACTTATCAACAACCTGTGTTATGCAGATAACACAGCCTTATTTGCTGAAACTGAGGAGAGCTGGAAGCATCTGCTGCAGAGGGTCAAAGACTGTAGTTTGCAATATGGATTGAAGTTCAAAAACAAAGAATCTCACCACTGGACCAACTGGCAGCATCATGATAGATGGAGAAGAGACTGAGATTGTTAACAATTTCAGCTTGCTGGGCTCAACAATCAACACACTTGGCACTAGCAATCAGCAAAACAAAATATTAGTTACATTAGGGAAATCTGCTGGTAGGGACCTCTCCAGAGTGCTGAAGGCCAAAGATGTCAGTCTAGAGACTAAGGTGTGCCTGATCCAGGCCATGGTCTTTGTAATTATTTGTTATGCAACAGAGAGCTGGACAATGACCAAGATGACAGAAGAAGTGATGTCTTTGAGTTGTAGTGCTGGAAAAGAGTTTGAATATACCATGGACTGCCAAGAGAACAAATAGGTTCATTCTGGAGATAGCAAAACCAAGAGGTGCTCCTTGGAGGCAAAAATTTTGAGATTCCATCTCACATACTTTGATCATGTAGCCAGGAGGGGCCAATCTTTGTAGAAGGACATCATACCTGGAAGGGTCGAGGGACAGGAGAAGAGAGGAAGACCCCAGATGAGATTAATTGACACAATAACTCGGGTCATGAAAGTAGGTATGTCAGAGACAATGAGATTGGCTCAGGATAAGGCAGGGTTTAGAGCTATTGTGCATAGAGTCGCTATGAGTTGCAAGCAACTCGATAGCACATAACAACATTAGGAGGGGCTCAGTCCCTGGGTTCAGTAAACTCAATGGCACATAAGAACAACAATCCCTGGAGAAGGGCATCATGCTTGGAAAAATATAGAGGATCAATGAAAAAGAGACAAATTAGCAGCACATTGGCTACACCAATGGGCTTAAACTCAGCAGAGGTTGTGAAGGCTATGCAAGGCCACGCAGGGTTCCCAATATACAGTTGCTGTGTGTCAGAACCAACCTGACAGCACCTAACAACAATTCCCAGAGAATGCTGGGGTCTGGGCACCACACTTTCAGGATCACAATGGTTTCCAAGAGTCAGCACTTCAAATCCACCAGCTGGGAGGAAGATGGGAAGTCCCCATGCTGTAAAGATTTACAGCCTCAGAAATCCACAGAGGGCTGCTATGGGTCAGACTTGATCAGACAGCAGGGAGTCTGATTTTGGTTAACTCCAACTTTTTCTTAGCATGCTGAAATGTAGGTATAATGATTCTCATTTTACAGATCCTAAAACTGAGGCTCAGAGAGGCTGAGTAACTTGTCCAGAGTCACCTACTTGGTAAGTGCTGAATCTGGACTGGGCATACACTGTAGGACAGGATATTTTATATACACTGTCTCATTTTGTCTGGGGACAGTGGTAGCTCTGAGTAGTTCAGCTCAATTCTCACCTTCTATATTTAGGAAAGCTGGGCTTTGTGTCTGTCCAGTGCAGCACATGCACAGCCTCCCTTCATCTGTCTGTGAGGCTCTCGGTTGCTCTGATTCCAAGCAGCTTTCAGCAGAGCTTTCAGCCTAACACGAACTAGTAAGAAAGGACTGTCGATCTATGTTTGAGAAATAGCCAGTGAAAACCCTATGGGTCAACAGTCCCATCTGTAGCCAGTCACAGGGATGGTGCAGGCAGCCTTTAATTCCACTGAACTGGGGTTGTCATCAACGGGAACTAGCTCACGGCAGCTAACAACAACAATACTGAATGCCCAGTTATTATTTTTTTTCTTGTTGAACAGCCCAGTTATTATTTTTATCCCAAATATACAAATGAAGAATTAGGCTCAAAGAGATTAACTTACCCAGGGCCACAGAATCTTCAAGATTCAGACTTAGGTTGGCTTTGCACAGGTGATGACCCTGCCTCTCCTGGGGACACTGCTGTCCTGGCTGAGTGCCCCTGGTATGAATCTGAAGTCTAGGACAAAGACTTCCAGGTCTAGAGGTCCCACTCTGCTGCCAGGGCTGACACTGCACCAAAAGATGGCCTTCTGGTAGGAGACCCAGGCCTGCTTCTGAGCCCCAAGGGACCTCACAAACCAAGGAATAGGATGAGGAACTGTGACAGAGGGATTCTCAAGGGAAAGGTACTTCCTGGAGTCACAGCCCCTCATCAGGGCACAAAAGTGTGCTCCAAGGAGCTCCACTGCTCACTGACAACCAGCACTGTGAACCAGCTTATTCCAGTTCAACCCACTGGTGATAATTCGCCTTTCTAGCTCTGGTGACCTACTGGCAAGAAGCTGCGTTGCAATCCTGAAAGCACGTAGTTCGAGGCTACCAGCTCCTCCGTGGGGGAAGGAAGGATGGGAAATCTCCTCCCATGCAATTACCTGCCTCTGAAAACCTGCCGGGGGGTCAGCTATGGGTTGGTTCTGACTCTACAGTACACAACAACAACAACCCAGATATACTGAACCAAAATCTAGATTGTAACAAGATCCTCAGGTAGTCCTTACAGATCCCGCTGCTAAATATAGATTCTGGTTCAGTGTATCTGAGGTGACACTGCAAATTCTCAGCAGGGGAGCGAACGGGCACCCAGCTCCTGGGGAACACAGGGGAATTCATCAGAGACTGAATCACCCCTTCTCAAGCCCCAGCTAGAAGGAAGTATCCAACCCCACAAAAGATGTACAACCAAAGCGAAATTTTTGTGATTGCGTTAAAACACGAAGAACAGAAGACGTGTCCAGAGGAGAAAACCATTTCCTTAAGACCTTGCTCAAGGCTCAGGTGTGCATTTCAGCTGACTTGTGTGCGCTCATGTGCATGAATTAGCCCTCATGCACTCAGAACTCCCAGTGTGAAGAATTTCCACAGAAGCCCAGAGGGGACAATGAAACCCAGCAGAGACACTTCCACAGAGGCCTGGTGTCTGCACTGCCCAGCTCTCCCGTCTCCAATTCCCTGCCTTCTCCCTACAGACCCAATCTCACCTGTGAGGCCGGGCTGGCGGGGGAAAGGAAGGAATATTGGCCCACCAGAGACCCTCCAGTGGGCACTTTAGCAGGAGGAGGGAGCCAGAAGAGGAATGGCCAGCAGGTGTAAGTCAGAGCCCCTGATGACCCTCAGACTATAAGAGGCTCCACATCTGGATTACGTCCCCAAACCCAGGCAGGGGGTGCTATCAACCTGCACTCCCAAGCCTGGTGTAACGCCAAAACAGGAGATTATAAAGCACAAGAAGGACCTCTGCGGCTTGATTCGTCCGACCCAGGCATTTTGGGGTAGAGAAGCATGGTGTGTGAAGCGAGAATGGGGGAAGTCTGTCCCCGACCAGGTCTGGATGTAACCATGGTGCTCTTAGCTTCCCTTAATGAACGGCATCAGCCAAGAATGTCTCCAGGCCACTCACAATGATTTATACTTCCACCTTGTGCCATCGCTTGGATGGAATTATTTCCACATAGCAGTTTCCTTGGAATAAAGAAGAGTTTTCATTGGCTGGGTCTAAACAAATCTCCTAAGAATTTTAAGCTATGCATGCATGTGTTTGGGAGTGCTGTTGTGATTAGGTGCCATCAAATCAAGTACAACCCATAGCAACCCTATGAATAACAGATCTGAGCCTTGGTCTAGCCTGTGCCACCTTCACATCTCACTAGTGGGACGGACATAGTTGCGTCTACTTGCGGCAGTCACTGTGGCAATGTATCTGGTTGTAGGTCTTCCTCTCTTTCACCAACCCTCCACCTTTCCAAGTATGAAGTCCTTCTTGAAGTAATAGCCTCTCCTAGCAGCATGCCCAAAGTATATGAGTCCAAGTGTTGTCATCTTTGCCTCCAAGGAGCACTCTGGCTGCATTTTCTCCAATACATGTCTGTTTGTTCTTTTGGCAGTCCATGGAATAGTCAATACTCTTCTCCAACATCATAACTCAAAGGCATCAATCCTTCTGTCAACCTTATTCATTGTACAGCTGTCAAATGCATAGCTAGTGATTGAAAAGACCATAACCTAAATTAGGAGTACCTTAGTCCTCACACTGACATCACTGCTCCTCAATAATTTGGAGAGGCCTCAGAGTGCAGACTTTCCCAGTGTAATACGTCTCCTGATCTCCTGATTACTGATGCCAAGGGTATTGATTGGAGAAGATAAAGTCATTGACAGTTTCAATCTTTTCTTCATCTAGCATGATGTTGCCAGTGATAAGAATTTTTATTTTCTTGATGTTGAGATGCAATCCATATTGAAGGCTGTAGTCTTCAGTCTTCTGCAACAAGTGTTTCAAAACCTCCTCACTTTCAGCAAGCAAGGTTGTGTCGTCTGCATCACATAGGTTACTGACGAGTCTTCTGATTCTGATGCCACATTCTTCGTCATAGAACCCAGCTTCTCAAATATTGTTTAGGAGAAGGGAGCCTCTTTCTGGCATTTTGAGATTGACAAACAAGTCTTATTATTCATGATCCTCTGGAATTCAATCCTACCTCCCCAAAGTCCTCTCTGTCCTCACTACAAGGCTCTATTCATTTAGCTCATTCTCACAGACCCCAAAGCACTCTCTGTCCTTCATGAAAAGGCCCTAATAATTTAGCTCATTCTATAACCCCAACTCCCTCTCAGTCCTCATAAATGCCCTCATCCTCTAGCTTGTTCTCATAGAGTTCTGTAACAATGAGCTCGAGTGTATTAGAGACTAAGAGGTCGACGCAGGAGAGGGCAAGTTCAGATATGTTGTTCACAGGGTTGCTACGAGTCATAGTCAACTTGATGGCACCTAATAACAACAATATAGAGTTTTCAGAGAATAACAAGCTTGCCATTCCCGACATCCTCTGCCCCTTCTCATCCTCATCTATCTGAGGTGCTGGGCTTCTGTCCGAACCTTGGTTCAAGAACACTCAAGTTTTGTTGAAGTAAAAAGGCATTTAATCTGTGGCATCCACTTCTGAAAGAGCTTGGCTTCGGAAACTCTGTGAACTTGGAGAAACGATGAAAGTTATACAAGTGTTCAGGTCTTTTATTCATAGGGTCACTATGAGTAGCCTACGACTTGACAGCACTTAACAATAACAACAACATAGAGAGAACTCTGTGAGCCTCGTGGATAGAAAGTTATGCTACCAAGCCAAAGTTGGGTGATTTTAATCTGTGGCCTTCAAGCCTGGTTTTGTTTTTGGTCAAACATTCTCCTAAGTGGTATAGCCCTGGTCTGTCCATATGCTGTACAGCTGTAACTCGCGGTTGCTGTGATGCTAAACACTGTGACACTGATGTGTCAAATGCGAGAATGGTTACCCATGGTGGACAGTGTTTGGTGGAGCTCCCGGAATAAAACAAGCTTGGAAGCAGGAGTAGCATCCGCTTCCGAAACAGCTTGCCTCTGGAAACTCTATGAACTTGGAGAAACGATAAAGTTATACAAGTGTTCATGTCTTTTGTTCATAGGGTCGCTATGAGTCATCTATGACTCGATGACACTTAACAACAACAACATATTGTTATTAATATTCACACCAGCCAGAATCTTACAGCTCCCATCATTCTCATTCACACTCACTTATTGTCTGTCAAGTCAGAAAACAACTTGCAGCTGACCTTCCAGCAGGTTTTCAGAGGGAGGAGACTGGCCATCTTTCTCCTGCAGAGCTGCTAGTGGATTTGAACCACCAGAGAGGCGTCTCCTTTTGGTTAGCATCCAGCCTTCCTATAGACACTGCCACAGAGCTCGCTTCAAAGGCAAATGCCAAGGCAGGACATGTCCCATCATCTTTTGCCACATTCAGGAATCTGTCACACACTCGGGTTAGAGGAGAGGACGAGAGGCAGCCAGTGCCCACTCTAAGGTTAGCTCCTAGTGCTGGCCGGACACCGCAGGCAGAAACAAGGCAAGGCCAAATGTGAGCTGAGAGCAGTAGGACAGGACCCCTCTGGGGGTGGAGGCCCTGGGGGCTGTGGGAGGCAGGGCTGAGCCAAGCAAGGCCTCAGGCCCAGAGGCAGAAGGAAGATTTTAGAGCCCTAGGCAACCTGCCTGCTTCCTGCCCATTCCCAGGAGGTTTGCAGGAATGGAAGCATGCCCCAGAGACAGCACTGGATGCTCACTGAAGCCCAGTTAGGCAAACAAGGCTGAGCCTGCACCCATGCCTACTCTTGCATGCCCCACAATGGATGCCTCAGCACTATTATCTATGGCTTACACACATATCCCTCTACCCCTCCAGCCACAGAGCAAGGTGGAAAAAGCTGTGCCCCGGGTCTACCAATTCTGCTGAGCCCACCTGAAGGGAGATAAGGACCTGGAGGCCCTGGACTTCTCTCCTGGACACTCCCTCAGGGATACGCCTCCAACAGATTTCAGAGGAGAAATAGTCACTGTTCCCAGATTCAGACCTGAGATCTCCCTCCGTTGCTCTCCTTTCCAGCTCTCTTCATGAACAAGGCCCTCTCTCTTTCCTCTTCCTTCCTCTGAGTGGGACCGAGCACCCTCTCCTTAATTGCATTCTCATTAAACAAGCCCTTAATAAATGCACACCAAGGGAAAGAGGGTTGTGCAACACAGCACCCTCACAAGTGATAATTAGGCACAGAGCACAGCAATTAAGCAAATCAGGGAACAAGGAAGGGGTGGGCCGGACAGCTGTGTTACATCTTAGGAAGGGACAGGAACCCACATAAATCTCAACTGCAGTAACAGTCTTGAAAACGGCTTCTCAAAGTGTGTGAAGGGTGTCTTGCTGGGTTACCAAAATTCACTGTAGCCTCAATCTTTGAGCCTGAGTTTATATGTGGCAGGGTCTGGAGTGACACAGGACATCTGGGAGTTCAAGGCTCTGAGGCTCTGTATCAAGTCCTCTGGGAGTTCAAGGCTCTGAGGCTCTGTATCAAGTCCCTACCATTGAGGGAACAGCCATGAGTCTGCCAAGCCTCCATCTTCCGTCCTCACTTCCCAGAGCCTCACTGTTCTTCAGCCCCTCACATCCCTACTGGCCTGCCCTTCCCTGGTTGTGGTTATCTGGAAGACAATTTGGGGCAGCTGGGCCCAAGAAAGGAGACTATCTCCCCCTCACCTACCAATGAGCCGTTCACCCCCCCTTCTGTCCTACTCCCTGTGAGAGCCCTTTGCTATGATGTCCAAAGTTCTCCTAGCCAGGATGACCCCTGGGACCATCTCTGGCCATTTCAAATCTCCATAACTGGGCTGATGTGCCCTGAGAGAAAGGCTGGCAGCTGTGCTCCAAGCAGAGCAGTGGAAGGCGCACTCGAGCATCAAGTGGGAGGGGACAGTCCGGAACCTGCTGGTCTCCCACCCACTAGTTGCTTTGCTCTCTTCTGAACTCCCAGACAGTAGATCAGAGGTTCCGTCCCTCTCCACCCAATGTAGCACCAAAGGGTCCCTCACCTCCCCACTTTACCCAGCTAAGCCATCTTTGGAAAACTTGGGGGTCTCTACCCAGAGAAAACTACCAAGAATTTGCCCACTTACACAGAGAGAGAGAAAGAGAGAGAATCTGCAGGGCCCTGTTGGTTGTCCGTAGAAGCTCTACTTCTGTGAAAATGCTAACTGTAGCTCATTAGCAGAGAATCAACTAGATGGCAACTAGTTTGTAGTTTAAGGATCAGGACTGAGGTCCCCAGAGCTCACCCAGGTCAGGAGGAAGAGAGGCCAGAGGGGCTGATGAACTGGTGTGGGTGTGAACTCCTCAGTGACCCCTTACCCCACAGGGATCACAGTGTCCTGAGCCAGGCTGATCTGAGTTGAGGGAGAGCCAGAGTGAGGGGCACTGTGGAGGTGGTTGACTTCATCAGTGTCATGGTGCAGGTAAAGTGGTCAAGGAGACATCAGCCAGGTGGACAGAATTAAAGGAGATTAAAGGAGCAGCTCCAGAGTAAAAGAAATATTCCCCCACCAGGTGCCCACACACACTGGGGTCTGCTTACAGATGACATTTACAGGAACAGCAGCAACTCTCCTTTACAGGCTCTGTCTTCCTTTTTTTAGCAAAAATATCTACACACATATAGAAACACATGCTTCTCCCTTTAACCCTCACCTCAGCCTAACCCACTGGCAGTCTGGGAAACAGCCAAAAGCCAAATCTGACCAATATAAACAGGAAGAGATGCAGGTGCCAGAGATGGAGTCAGCTTACACTGAAATCCCGCTAGGATTTAGAAGGTTACACTCTGGGCTACTATCATCCTCTTATCTCCTGGAATGTGACCCTCAAAACGATGTGCCTATCAGTAGATATTAATAATGACTCTATCCCCTCTGTGTCCTCTATATAGGTCTCCTCAGGTTCATATTCACCCACAAATTGAGCCAGGAACCAGAATCTCTTTGTAGGAAGAGACACAAGGCAGTCCTCAGACCTGTGCTAACTAACCCCTTCATTGTTGTTGTTGTTGTTGTTGTTGTTGTTGTGTACTGTCCAGTCAAAGCCAACCCATAGCTGACCTTCCAGAGGGGTTTCCAAGGCAGTTAAACATACGGAGAAGATTGCCCATCTTTGTCTCAGGAGGGGCTGGTGGATTTGAACCGCGTGATTTTGGCTTGGCAGCGAAACTCCTTTCCACTAAGCCACCAGAGCTGCCTCAGTGTGGAGGCAGAGGGGAAACGTGGGCATTGGAGGAGGTAGAGGACTGAGGAGCACATGGTGAAAGGACCAGGAGTAAGGGGACACCACAGCACCTCATCCAAAGACCTCTGGATAAGGGGTAGAAGGCACCATTCCAACAATTACACGTGCAAACCAACCCTTATCCCCTTGTCCAAAGCTCGCATCCACGTCCCCAGAAAGCCAGAACCTCTGAACTCAGCAGACTACCCTGCAGCCCCAAGGGCCCAATTCCAGAAAACTGAACCAAAGGCTCCAGAAACCAACCAACTAACTGGAAGGCTGGCGACCCAAGCGGTGGGGGAAAGTGCATGGTGCACAGGGCGCCTAGTAGAAAGCCAGGAGAAAAGCCGGTGGCCACAGTGACAATTTCCTGCCTTACCCCACAGTCCAACTGGTGTACGGCGTCCCTCCTGCGAGTGACCCCCTCCTAAGTAGCGTGAGGGTAGAGGGTGAGAAGAGACCAGCCAGAGCAGCCTTACCCAAAAGCCCAGTGCCCAGCCATCTCGCCTGGGCTTCGCCACGGACCCTGGCCCCTGGCATCATCCTGTTTTCTCCCGAGCACGCTGAGGTCTGCGGACGGGACAGCGGTGCTCTCCGCCCTGGAGCCGCCAAGAGCACTGCGCCGCGGGTTGGGGCTCCGGAAAGTTAGCGGGGAAAGAGCGAGGGAGGAGGGCGCCGAGGGGAGGCGCGTCCGGCGCCTGGAGCCGGCTGCGGGAACCGCGGCGGGAGGGCAGGGAGGAGGAGCTGGAGGAGGAGAAGGTCGGAGCAGCGCAGAGTAAGAGCGAGGCTGCACCTCTGCTCTGGACCCGCTCCAGCCGCAAGAGGGGCGGTAGCCCGGGGTGCCCCCGCGCTCTGCGCACCCGGCGCGGCGCGCACCGCCTCGTGGTCCCCGAGCCGCGGGAATACCCCGGCTCCAGACTCCCGGCTCCGACTCCCGCCTGGGCTGAGCTGCTGCGGCTCGGCACTGCAGAGCAGGTCCGCAGCAGCCCGCAGCATCCCAGGCGCCGAGCTGCAATTAGGAGGATGGGGGTTGGGGGTAAGGGGTGGAGCTTTGGGGTTATAGGAAGGCTGTTTTGTGGAACACTGGCAGGATAGCAGCTGCCTCTCCGGGAGCCGCGAAAAAAATCACTTGAACAGCCGCAGCGAGCGCTGCTGCAGCCGGTGGGCGTGTGCGGTGTTGCCCACTGCAGCCGCATCTCCCAGAGGCCTCGGGGCCCCGCGCCAACCGCCTGCTGCCCCCGCAGTCAGCTCCGCGGGTTGCTTCGGCTGCTTGCAGCAGGACTGCCAAAGGCAAACTGCATGCCGCCCCCCCCCCCCCCCAGTCTCCCATTTCTTCATAGATTCCGTGGAGATAATGATGCTCTGGTTAAGAATCCGGCCAGACACTACCTTTTGGAGACTTGGCGTCTGCTTGGCCACCCTACGCCGTGTTTCATCTTCTCACGGTACCCGTACTTCTTTTTCCCCACTTAAGCAACTCCACTTTGGACTCCACCCTTCCACCCTCCTGTAAGAGTTCCCAGTCTCCTTCAGAACAGCTTCCAAATTCCACATACTCCCTCTGGGGTGGAAATAGAGGAACAAAGGGAGAATTTGGAGGTCATAGTCAAGTCAGAGGTCTGAGGTGAACCCACGAACAAATAAGCCTTTCCCTAGCCAGTCCTAAATTAAAGTGAGAAGTACTATTTTTGCTAATTTGATAAATGCCATCAGATTCTCTCCTTACATCACCCCCCCACCCCCACCCCCAACTCTCCAAGCTCTCTCCCTTCATGGCTGAGCTTTTGGCTGTCTCAGACCCTCCATTTTTATCGTGTTTCTAGATAAATTCAACCTTGGAAACCTTGATCTGTCTTCACTGCTGAGCCACTGCTGCTGGGAACGCCCCCCCCCAAGTCTCTGGTGGGCTTTGAAGAAATCATGAACCTCTTGAAACTGTATGCAAAATGCTGAATCTATTCCCCCCCCCAACGATGGTTGTGCCTTTTTTTCAATACAGTTGTTATAATCGGGCAACTGGAGTTAGAGGGACTCTGTGGAATTGAATCCTGGCTCCACCATTTATGCATGTATGGTTTTCAGCAAGTTACTCAATCTTCTGGAGAAATTCCTTCTTCTCATTCGTCAAACAATGAAAGTAACTTAACCTCATAGGATTGTTAAGAGGAATTCAATTCTGGGCCCCTAATATTAGAGGATCTCGTTTCAGACTTCTCTTTCCATGACCCTCTTCACTGGAGAAGAAGACCACAGGACCAAGAGTAGTTCCATGCACACCTCCTCTTCTGGACTGAGCTACAAATATCAGACCCTGATGTCTCCCGCCAAAACCTCTCCAAGGACAGTGCAGTGCAGGTGTCTCCCCAGGTCCTCCTTTGGAGGTGACGACACAAGAGGGCACTGATAGGGCTGGGTGGGAGCCAAGAGGCAGCTGGGACTCAGCATGCACGTGAGCATTCACAGGCAAGCATGGGAGCCCCTGTCCGTTCAGGACCACAGGAGAGTGTGGGCCAGGGACCAGCCTGAAAATGCCATGTTGTAACTGGTCTTCCAGGTCCTCATGAAGGAGAATTAATTGATGATGTTTTTTTTTTTTCTTCTTCAAATTGATGATGTTTAAAAAGAATCTTAACACTTTGTTATCTTGTTTTGTAACTTATCCTTGAACATATGGCACATGGTTTCTTTCTATGCACAAGTCCTAAACCTCATCTGAGGTGAAGATGGCTGTGAGGATTGACTAACAAAGTACACGAGAGTGCTTAGCCGAATACTAGTAATACTAGACTATCACTGTGGTAAGTGGTCCAGACACTATTATCACTTCCTATTCCCAATGAGCTCTGTGGAACAAAAAAGGCTTAACACACATCCCCCTTCTGCTTACCCTCCCCTCCCCGAGGAGGTCCAGGCACTGCCCCCAGCACAGGAGCAAAGTCTAGCACCCACACTGCCCACTTTATTTTTACAGCAGGGGTCATATTTCTTAGAGCAAGAGACTGAGGTGAGAGAGGTGAGCCAAGGGGAAGGAAAGTGACCCCTACCCCGGGAAGGGGGAGGGAAAAGAGCTCCTCGGATATCTTTAGATCTTGGTGACAGGCAGCTGGGAACAATTTTTTCAGCTCCCTCTCCTCCACCTTCTCTGCTGCCTCCCCACTCATAGGGGAGAACTCCAGTTCTTAGAGCTGGAAGGGTCTTTAGAAAACTCCTTACAAATGAAGAAACAGACCCAGGAAGCTCCCAGAGGGGGTCCACAGTTGCAGAGAAAGTTACTGCTCAAGCTAGGATTTTAACCTCCCCCAGCCTTTGGTTCCCCCACTCCACACCCCCAGCTTTCCTCTGAAGAATGCCAGGAGGACTCCACAGCTGGGCCGAAAAAAAGTACTTGAGAAATGCATTAGCAGCGAGAGGGTTTTTTACATTTATAGAACCCTTTCCTCAAAAACTCTCAGAAACCTTTCACACAGGAGTCCATTTATCGGAGCTGAGAGGTTCCTCCAACGATGCCAGAAGAGACTGGCTTCACCTTTTGAAAACTTTCTCCTAGTTTGAGCCTCTCTTCACCCCTAGTTGCTGCATGGGGTTGGGAAGAACAGAGACACACACACCACACATACCGCCACCACCACCCCCAGCTGCTGGAAGAGCCTGGTGTCTTCTTGTGGTCCAGGGGACTTAGTTCTTGGTGGTGTGGTAATGCAACTCAGGGCTTGGATGGCCTGGCTTGGAAACCTCTTGAAGAACAAGTTTTCAGGGATGTAGAGATGGATGGGGCCCTATGCCAAGGAGCTGTCAGAGAGCTGGTTCACGCTCAGGCTGGAAGAGAAGGCCTAGAATTAGACTAAGGGAGCAGGGATTGTTTCTTTGTTGGGGTTCACTGAAGTCTCTTTGAAGCAGGGAATCCCACAGCCTTCTCCCAAGACCAGGCAGCTAATTCAGTTCAAAACCCACTCTTCCCCCCACCCCCACCTACCCCAAACACTCTTCCACCCAGCCCTCTCAGGGTTGGTTGGAGCCAAGAGGAGAGTGGTCTCCCTTTCCTCAGAGGGACCAGCCTATAGAGGAGCCAGTAGGTAAGGGGTGTGGGAGAGGGGTAGGCAGAAATGCCCCCCCCTCTATGTAAGCTCCAAGTCCCAGCCTCCCAGAGCTCCTCTTATGATCGTGAGAAGGCACTTGCTCCTTGAGGCGGCATCACCTTCTGCAGAGGACCAGAGAAGAAAGTCCCATCACTTTCCAGAAAGTGGACCAAGACCCCCGAGGCCGGGAGAAGGAAAGATATGGGAGTGCTCCTCTCCAACGAGGCTTCCAGGACTATTTTGAGAGGAGTCCCTCCTAAGTAACCAAGCCCGTCTGGTGGGGAGCCTCCTCCCCTTTTGTCTCCCCTGTTGCCCTTGCCTCTCCAGCTCTCCCCTATAAGCTCTCCTAATTGGTTCCTGCCGGAGCATTGCAGGTAATAGAGCCAAGTCTCGGCTCCTAGAGGCAGAGGGCACAGGGGCTCTGCAGAGCGCCCTCTTAATGTCCACCCCACTGCTCCTCTCCATCCAGTACTGGGACCCGCCTCAGGACCTGACTGTGGAGCAGCAGGCACCAGGAGCCTCTGCATGCATTAGCTTAAAGTTAAATACCCACGGATCCTCCTGCCTTTGCGCTTGGCTAGACCCTATCAGAGAAAACTTTCAGGAGTTTCCTTCTCAGGCTGGTCCTGCCCCTCCCATTCACCGCCCCTCCCCTCCAGCCCAGCGTGCCCTCTGGCCCCTAGCCACAGCCTTAGCATCTACTGAAGTTCGGCAGGTGCTGAGGGGGTTAACAGGACAGCATGCACCAAACCAACCGCAGGCACGTGGCTCAGCAGTCCGGCTGGGGAGCACAGCACCTCAGCAGCCACCCCCCAGGCAGCTGCCATTCCCCAGCAAGTTGCCTAGGGATCAACTCCTGAACCCTCCTCTTGAAAGTCCAAGGCTGCTTCTCACCTATCTCCACTTTCTAAGGGTTGGGGATGCAGGCAGGTAGGCAGCCACCTCCTCCCTCCTCCCCTTCCCCTTTCTCTGTTTTCCTCCAGGTTCTATCCAAATATCCTTTCAAGCAAAGGGGGGTGGGGAGACCCAGACAGATGAGCTCATTGGGAGGAGGAGGGAGCTGAAATATCCTGACCAGAATGCGCTCACCGGATAGTCCTGAGCAGGAGAGGGGTGTGTGCCCACTTCCAGGAGCAGCCGGCTGTTCCCTCGCTGCAGCTCAGAGATGGGGTGAGTCCCAGACATCCCTTTATTGTGGACTGCAATGGGGTGGGCTGAAAACCCCTGGGACTGGGTCTCAAACTCCCCACTCAGCACCCCAGAGCTGTGTTTATGTCTCTGTACCATGGGCCACTATTGCCCTGGACCCCCTTCAGGGAGGATGTGGGTACAGGGGGACTGGGGGTTGAAGACCAGCAGAGTCTCTCATTTACTGCAGTTTGGCTGCCCATGGGACTATCTTACAGCAGAATGTCCAGGTGTCCTCCAGGAACTCAGACCTGGTCCTGGCCACTAACCCAGCACATCAGACAGACTGACAAATGGAGACATCAGTGTGGAGTCAGCCAGGCTGGACTCCCTAAATGTTCTGGTGCCCACCCCTGTGAGCATTTATCAGGGAGCAGTGGGGCTTGCAAAGAGGCATGGTGGGAAGAAGAGGGGAGAATGGGAATAAGAGAGGAAAACTGCAGGAGAGGCAGGAGCTAGGTGATGGGGGACAGGTGGAGTGGTCCAGGGGAAGGGAAGGACCATGGTGGCAGAGAGGAGGGTAACTTCAAGAAGCTGGAGTATGACTCGAGCTGAGGAGCAGTAGAGACAGGGAGACAACGGGCCAGTAGAATCTACTTTTGGTAAGAAGAGAGAGGAGTTGGACACCACGAGAGGGAAGAGGGCTGGTAGAAGCCGGAGCTGTTTGTTCAGAGCAAGGGGTCAAGGACTGTGCCATGAGACTGTAGAGAGATGTTAGGGTCCTTCCTACAAGGCTTGATCTCTGCTTCCAAAACCTTTTATCCTTCAATGGTTATTTTGAGATCAGCTCCAAGTCCCCTTCCCCACCTATCCCAAACCCGAGTGCCCTCTGATCTACAGGAGGCCAGTCCACTGACTTGACTAGTATCTGGGTGTGACAGCCTGGACATCCCACAGTCCTGCATTTGGATCCTAACTATGCTAGAACTTTTCTAGCAACATCCCTTTGATGTAACTGTTGTTATTAGTCTGGGTCACTCATGCCCACTCCCACCCAGTCTCCTCTGCCCTGTAAGTCCTTAAGGCCTGGATATGAAAGCTGTCCCACGGTCCCTTCACCAAGGCTGGGCCAGTGAGAGTGTGTGTGAGCTGGGGGCAAGGGTGGAGGGCTGACTGACCAAGAGGACAGGGACGTGCCTGGGCCCCCGCTGGTGAATCAGCGAAAGAAGTTTACCCTTGGCCTGATCTTTAGCAAGGTCCCCAGTTTCCACTGGGCTCCCATTTCTCATCCTGCATGAGGGCTCCTCATTCACGAATCAGTTATAAAAGAACCAGATAAGGGGTCCCAGCGTATAGACGGGTGAAGAGCGTGACTGAGTAAGAAAGCAAAGGAGCAGGGCTCTGTCCACACATGTGTAATATTTACCTTCTGACAAGCAAGAATTACAGGGGTCCTTTAATGGTTCAAGTGGTACAGTGGTTAAAGTACTTGGCTACTAGCTGGAAGGTCAATAGTTTTCACTGATTCTCTGTGGCAGAAAGATGAGGCTGACTGCTTCTGCAAAGACTGGACACCCTGTGGGTAGATCTATGCTCTGCACAGGACAGCTGTGAGTCAAAATAAGACAGCAACAGTCAACACCATTCAGGCAAGTGCGAATCCCATTCTGCCATTTGAATCCTAAAATGAGGGTTGCTGGGGGTCATTCTCAGGCAACTGAAATACTTCCAGATATAAAAATCTCACATCACCCACAAGCTATACTTGAATGCCTTCCGGGACGGAGATCTCATTACCTCAGAGAAACTCAACTCTTTGCAGAGTTCTGGCTTGTATTGATCAGTCACCCGCTCGCCCTGGTGCCTGGCCGTGGAGTCTGATTTCTGTCCCCTGTGGCCACAGCCCAGGCCGGGCTCTTGGCCCACAGCTGTGATGCCTGCTTCCCCTCTTGGCTGAGCGCATCCTCTCTTCGTCTGCCTGTTGACCCACAGGATGTGTGGAAGCAGACATTTCCTAGTCCGCTTGCCAGCTGTTTACAGGGGATGTAACCTGGTTGAGAAGCAGGCGCAGCTGTGACAGGGATTAAAAATTACTTTGCCAGGGCTGTCAGGGACAGTCCCTCCCGTGGACTTCCCAAGCAGCCAAGCTGTGCCTGCTCCCCTTTGCCCAGTGCCTCCTGGACGTGCAAGGTCATTGTTGCCAGAGGAAAAGAGGGCTGCCTTACCAGGTGCCCACTACCCCCGGCCTCCCAGCCCATTACTCCCACCACCTCCAGGCCACGGCCTTTCTCCCACTGCTGGCTTGGGCCTTCTCAATGCTGCAGGGAAGTGAGGGCTTTGACTAGACCCCATGGCCTCCCCCACCCCCAGGAACTTGAAGCTACATTCCAGGCTGTGGTTCAGCTGGGATTCCAGTCCCCAGAACCTGATGGGTGAGGAGTGAGCTGTCTAGAAAGGATGAAGGGCAATGCTACCATGATCCCCTGAGCACGCTGTAGCCGAGCCCTTCCAGCACCGGCCTGTGGGCCTCCAACAAGCCAACGAAGGAGGCCTACCCTGGGGCTCCTAGCTCCGTCCTGCAGCCTGCTGCCCAGCCCACCTCCATCCAGCACTGCCACAGGCCCCTCCTGCTTGAGGTTTCCTAGTACACTTCTCCTCAAATAGATGGGGACAGACAAGCAGCCCGCGAGAGTCCCATAGACCAACCAACCCGAGTTGGTCAGGTTTCTGAACTGCAGGAATGAGATTTGGAACTAACAGACATGTGTCTTCTTGCACATGGATATCAGGTCAACCCAGGCCTGGATCATGGGAAGAAAGACTTGGATTCCAATGTCAACTCTCACTAATGATTAGCCAGCTGGGGGACGACCCTTGCAGGTAGCATGCTGTGCCTCTTCTTAGATCAATTCAGATGCTACTAGAGAGGGAGAAAGCAGGAGCTGGAGTTTGCATGTGCTCCAGTGCTGAGCTCCAGGAGTAGAGTGGGAGCTGAGCTGTGGGATAAAACCCAGACCTGGAGCCTGATGGGAGAGCTGACTCATCATGTGACCCTGAGCAAGTCACTCTCCTGTTTTGGGAATGCTCCCTGAGGTCCCTCTTGTCTCTGAGCTCTCCTCTCATTCATCTATTCCTTTTGGCCTTCCAGAACTATCCTAGAGACTCTTAAAAGTTCCTTATACCAATTGTTATTTGGCAGAAGCAGTGGGCAGACCCACATACAAACTAACACAGCAGATCACATTTTTAAGGTGTAGAAAGGGACCTTGGGATTTTGGAGTCAAAGGACATGAGTTTTCTGGCTGCATCTGAGCTCTGCAGGCAGTTCCAGAAGAAACTGAAGGAACAGTGAAGCTTGGAGAACTCTTATAGGGATACCTCAGTGAAGGACATAGGAAGCCATTGACCAATTCTGAGGTCCAGAGAGGTAGCAAATCATTGGCCAGTTCTGAGTACCAAAATGAAAGCTCTCTGCACATGCAACTCACTCCCCAAACAAAACTAACTCACCTGCCCCCGCACAGCCTGGGCCTGAGCCTGGGTCTGAGCGAGTGAAGGAGGTGTCCAAGCCAGACCCAATCCTCACGGACGCTCATCTCCTCAGAGTGTTCTTGGAGAAAAGACTTAGATGAAGAAGTAGCTTCTGGCCTGTCTCCACCCAGAAAGTGACCACCCCGAAACCTCAGGCCTTTGCTGGTCCATGCCCCTGGCCTGAGTTTCCTTCTCTGTTAATTTCCCTGACATTCTATCTAAGACCTCAGGAGCACCTGGGCAGAAACAGCTTTGTAAATCATGATACTTTGGGTTCTGTTAGATGCTTCTCACGTCTATTAAATGTTCTCACCTCCTTTCTGGCTTCTGTATCAGGTCTCACTCACAGCTGTCAAGTTGAAACTGACCCCACAGCTGACCCTCCATCAGGTTTGTGGAGGCTGTAGATTGCACAAGAGGAGATTGTCCACCTTTCGCCCTTTAAGCAGCTGGTGGTTTTGAACCACCTACCTTTGAGATGCCATTGCAACTCCTGACCCACTAGAGCTCCCTCCCTGTCAGGTAGCACCTGTAAATCCTGCATATATTAAACCAAAAAGCAAACCCACAGCCATTAGGTCCGTTCTAAATCATGACAACTTTCTGTCAGCCTTCTGAGTCTAAAAATTTTTGCAGCCTCCTTTTTCTCCTTCATGAATTCAAATCACTGCCCTTCATTATCAATGTCAGGATCCTTCCAGAATGTTCTCAAATGCATATTATCAGTAACCATTAGCAAAGGGCTTAGAGTCAGTCAGCAGGGAGCAAACAGAAATGGTGGGGAAAGTAGGAACCAGACAGCTAGGTGTTTCTACACCATTTAGGAAGCTGAGGACTTTCTTAGCCAGAAGTCCCCTAGACAAGAGTGAGAGAAAGACACACACACACAAACAGAGAGAGAGTGAGAGACACAGAGAGAGAGACAGGCAGAGATAGACACAGAGAGGAAAGAATGTATCTATTTGTGTAAAAATATATCTATTTGATGTAAAAACAGGGACCAGGGAAGAAAAGACCGGGTCAGGTCTGGGTAAAACCCTTAGACAAGGAGAAGCATTCGGTACTGAAGTTCCAGGGCTGATTCAGCAATATGCAAATGGCACACAGCAGTGTGTAGATTCTACATGAGTGACCTGACTCTTCCCACCAGCCACCTTTATCCTGAAGTCGCATTAGGGCAGACTCCAGCCAGCCAACTGCCAGCTGCTCTTCCCAGGTCCTGAGCAAGCAAGAGTTATCTACCTCATAAGACATGATTTAGAAACCAGGAACAGGAAGAATGACCCATCTGTTCACGAAGTAACAGACAACATCAACTTAACAGTTTCCCTTAGAGTATAAAAAGTTTTCTGCACCCCAGAATTATCCAAGAGCCCTGAGAAGTAAGTGTTCAGCTACTTGTGTCTGGCATATTTCTGGGCTGAGTAGAGTCCCGGAGGATTCTGGGAAAGCAAAGGAAGAAACCATGAAAGGAGCCGAATGACCTCATCCTTGTAAGGCCCATAGCTCGTAGGAACCTGCCTGTGTCCATGAGATTATCAAGAAAGGAGTGTCAGGGATCCCAGTGGATCTTGGCTAAGCTTCAACCTACCACACTCAGTATTCCTAAAAAAAAGTCACACTCATGTAATACTCAAGGGAGATAGTGTGTTTATTTTAACCAAGAGATCCAAGTAATGAGATGAACTGTGAAAGAAACTCACTTTCCTCCAAAAAACAGATACATTTCAGCAGTCAGGCCACATCCACATGGGGTCACTTACGTCTCTCTCCCCGCCACCCCTTCCTACTTCCACACAGCACCAAAAACTTTCAAAGTGCTCTCGGACATATTTGGGCTTTTCTCTCCAAGTGTACAAAGAGCAATAAGAACATTCTAGAATTTGCCTTTGGTGAATCAACTCAAAACCTTGAGAAATGATTGCCCACCACCCACCCCCAGTGTCACTTGGGGGCGGGTGTAGTGAGATGTTTTATATTTGTGTGTATTTATATATGTATGTATATATATATATATATTTATCTGTATCTATATATAGACTATGTACAAATGCAACAGCAAGCTTCAATAAAGGAAGACATCAGCAAGAGGCAGAAAATATTTTAAGACACAGGCTATCATTAAGACAAAACTAGGAAGGAAGAGTTTTTGATTCGTCATCCACTTTGAAGTGCACTCAGTCAGTCAATCCCATGGTTTGGGACTATCCCTTTGGACATGGCCGGTATTTTCAATTGACCATCAACTTAAACCTGACCTTGTAGTTACCAGCCCAGTCTCCCCACGGAGACTCACAGGAAGAAATATGGATCCAATCAGGTTTTCCTTTCTGTGACCTGGGATAACTGTGATTAGTCCATAGCTAAGGGGCAGGTAGCTATTTCCAAAGCCAGTTTCAAGGCACCTCAAGGCATTTCAGTCCTGAAAAGAGTTGTGCTTTGTTCTTAAAAGCTAAATCCCACAGTCCGGCCAGCCCATCTCTCTGTGTGGTGGCCCTTAATTAGGAGGAAGAGACAGATAAGGGGATCTGAGAGAGAAGGAGAGGCAGGGGAGTGGAAAAGGCCATTGATGGATTCTGGCAGAGTGTGGAACATGCAGCAAGCACTGGGGTGGCAGCCCCAGGATACAGGGTGACGGACAGCTTGCTGGCATACGCTGGAAAGCACGGTAGGGAGACGGCTGCTGTGGAAACATCCCATCTGCTTCCCACCTCTCCTCACCAAAGCCCCTATTGTTCCCAGCCTCGCTGTCCTGGTGGGAGGCTGAAGACCTCAGGAAGAGATTGGGAGAGGCCGGAGGGGAAAGTGCATATCAGGAGGTGTCCTGGAGGCTTCGGAAGTGATTCCTTGACCCCTCCTTATCTGCCCAAGGCCCTGAGGGTGTGGCCTGTCCCCCTGCCTCAGCTTCCCCTTGATCAGGGCAGAGAAGAGATGGGGCTCAGAAGTCTTGGGCTCTGCTATGGAGAGTTAGGATTTCCTCGAATGAACCTAGGGAATCGTGCGGATAACTCCTCTAATTGTCCTGAGTCCTAGACAAACACAAATTCCCAGCATCAGTGCCACTCCTCACCCAGTCCCAGGGAAGGAGGACACATGAGAGGTTATCTAAAGATGCAAGCTGAAGGAGTGTGTTCAACCACCTTGGTCTCACCTGGCACAGGATGCCCTACCTCGCTCTCCCTGCTCAGCTGACTAGAGAGCTGGGCAGCATCCTCCTGCCCGACATCCGGTTGCTCTCCCCGCCCCATTGGCAGTGTGTTGATTGGCAGTTAGGTTCTGAGCTGATGAGTTTAGAGTGTCCCCTCGCCAGGAGCTACCTGGTTGGCTGCCCCACCTCTGTGTTCCTTTGGGGTGGCTTTTGCTGGTTTAGCTTCCATCTTGCCCCTCTTTCTACTCTTCCCATGGTCCACACTCTGGAATCCTTTCCTCTAATCCTGACTACAGCCTCATAAGCAATAGCTGCAGAGATGGGATTTACTAGATGCGTCGAACAACTAATCTTATCCCCACTGGGCTCACCTGGCAGTTCCCAACTCTGCTATGGCTTTGTATGTGTGTCCCCAGCACCCAGCACTGCCTGGTGCATAGCAAATGTCCCACAGATGAGTGTTGAGTTAAAGTGAATTAAATGCAATCTCTCTTGCTCTCCTGAGGGGCAGGAGCAAGGCTTGATCCCTGAGACTGTCACCATCCTGGTCCTGTCTCTACTCTGTCCCCAGCTTTGCTCCCTGCCCAGGGTGCTAACTTCCTGAGCCAGGGACTGGGACTGAGCTCTCCTGGAAAGGTTGGTCTTGCTGAAAAGCTTCAGCCTGGAGAGTGAACAGAGCACTGCCAACAGCCCCACCCTCTCACCCCAATGTTCCTGCCTGGCCACAGCCTGGAGGGGCTGGGCCCTTGGGAGAAACCTCTGACTTCCTCGTCTACCAATCCAGAGAGGGGCTGCTCACCAGGAAGGCTATGGCTCTGCGTATTCCAACTGGAGACTGAGAAGCCAGGGGAGGAAATGGCAGGGCCCTCAGATTCTGTCAATCTAAACCTCAATTTTCCCTCCGGAGTGACTTGGCCAGCTGATACCTGAGGTTCTTTCAAGGTAGTTCTCTCTGTATCAGCAGTCCCTCTCCACTCGCTCTCATTCCCCCTCTCAGCATCAGCAACTCCCTTTTGATGTGGGTTAAATGGCAGTGAAAGTTGACCCCCCCAAAGTCCTACTTTCTTCTCTACAAAGGGCTATTGAGGCAAAGGGTGTGAGACACACAGCTCCAGATGTAACATGGCCCTGGATCTATGAGGCTCCAAGTGCAGCCCTCACTCTTCTCTCTGGGTGTACCTCAAATACCACCCCTGGTCTGCAGTCAAAAGCCAGCTGAGAACTCTGCTGAGGGAGAGTGGGAAGGTCCACAGCGAGGCCGTGGATGAGGCTGCCTCTGCTCTGCACAGCCGCTCCTCCCCTCATGTCTGCTACTGCCCAGGCTGGTGGGGGACGTCCTGTTGGAGAAGCTAGTCTGAAATTAACTTCTCTTTACGAGAGCACCTGCACCTTTCAACCTTTCAGTTCGCTTTGAAAGGAGTCTCCCATTGGTAGGTAACTAGTAGGAAACTGGTCCACCACAGCCCAGCCTAGTTGCTCTTCCAGCACTGGTTATATAAAAAATTCCATGAGGCAAGGGGTCAGGGGGAAACCAAGAGGCTTTTGGGGTAGCAACACCGATGAAAAAGAAGGTCAAAGAACTCCTGGGACCCAGCCTTATCTCCAGCTCCAACCTTCCTTCAACACCTTGGAAATGCAAGCTGTCCCTTTACTGTGTCCCCTTCCCCTAAACTGCAGGAACCTTCACAACCCACCCCACTGCCCAGCCTGCTAGGAGCTGCCAGAGATCAGAGTTGTGCTGTACTCGCCTCCTCCACCAGGCAGCGCTGGTCAGCACCGCCCACACCAGGACCTTCCTGACCACAGGAGTCTGAGCGCTGGGCAGGCTGAGGCGCTGAGCCCTTCCTTAACACCCCCACCCCCACCCTCTCTCTTTGGGGCCCTCACACCTGCCCCCACCCCAGGGCCCACACATCCCATCGGCCATGGCAGGTTTCTCAGATGAAAAGAGAGATGAGTCACTCTTGGTACGGGGTGGGGGTACGAAGTGGCACTGGGACGGCTGGCACTGGGATCCTGGTTTAAGAGAAGCACACCGAGAGAGGACAGGCGGGTCACACTGAACAGGGCAGAGTGGGGGACGCAGGACGCAGGGCAGGGCGGCAGGCCGGCTGCCAGCTGTTACTTGGTGCCGTCATCCGCGTTGCCCTCTCCGTCCGTCTTGCCCTCCTCCTCTGTCTTCAGGTCATCCGTGCTCAGTTTCTGCTCCTTTTTCCTCCTGACGCACTTGACCACCATCAGCACCAAGATGACCACAGCCAGGAAGCCCCCGACAGAGGCGCCCACTATCACTGCCACCGTGGAATCCCGCTCCGGGGGTTCTGGAAGGAAAGGAAACGGATTTCCTGAGCACACGTGGAGTGCCGATAAACCGGGGCGGGCTTGCAGACAGCACACCAATCACGGGAGAAGAGATGGCTCGACCTTCCTCATGGAGCAGCTGGTGGATTTGAGAGTGCAGTGCAGGTTCTTACCATTAGGCCACCAGAGCTCCCAAAGCTCTGCAGAAAAAGGAGGTGTCCTCCACTGTCCCCTCATATTCCCAGTAGTATGTGAGATAGCCTGGACTTGACACACCTCCACAGAAAGGACTCTGTTGTTGTTTACCATTGAGTTGGGACCGACCCATAAACTGACCCTCCGGTGGGTTTTCAGAGGCAGTTCGCATAGGCTGGTGGGAACCGTCTTGTTTGAGAAGCTAGTATGAAGCGGACTCCTTTTTATCATGCCGCATTCACCCTTCAGCCTCTCGGGTCAAGTCTTCCATTGGCAGGTAACTAACAGTTATACCAAAAATCCCATGAGGGAGGCGATTATCCATTCTCCTCTCTCAGAGCAGCTGGTGGACTCGAGCTGTGTGCCTTCAGGATTACAGAGTAGCTTCTTGCCACTAGGCCACTGCCAGAGAGCCCTCCTTGTTGTTGTTATGTGCCATCAACTCATAGCGACCTTTTGAACAACAGCCCTGAATCCTGCTCTATCTTGAGCCAACTTCATTGAGGCAAAAATAGACCCAGAAGTTTGACCTCTAACACCGATGACCCAGCAGAAACCCCAGAGCTCCAAAAAGCTCCTGACTCCAAAAGTCCGGGGTCACTGAGTGAGTCCCAACTCTAGTATGAGGTGCCATGCAGTCGACTGTGACCCACAGCAGCCCTGTGAGGGACAGAGCTGCACCTCGCCCCACCCTGCGCCCTCTTCATCATCTCTGATGTGGAAGGTGAAAGTTCTACCGCTCAACTACCAAGTCTTCAGCCGAGACATAGTACGTTGCCTTAGTAAGTTTCCCCTCAAATACTTCAGGCAGGATGTCAGAAGAGGCCAAGCCTCAGAAAAAGACATCATTCTGGGAAAGGTGGGGGGCCAGAGAAAGATAGGGAGACCCTCCACACGATGGGCTGACACAGTGACCGTGACAATGGGCCTGCACACATCAGAGATGGGGAGGGTGCTGCAAGGCGGCCAGGGTTCACTTCTGCTGTTCACAGGGTCACCTATGGCGTCCTAGTTGACTCAGGGGCACCTAGAATCAGCAACAACAAGCGCCCAATAGCTTAAGGCCGCTATTATTAGTAAGGTCACTATTGTTTTCAACGTGGGCCCTCACTAAGACCCTCACAGGAACTGACAAATGGGGGAGGCTGGGGGAAGATCACATGGATGATGCTCCCACCTCTCAGGGGGAACAGCCTCCCCACGAGCTCATCAGGCAGGAGAGGGGCTGGGGTGGGGGTGGGGAAGGCCCTCGCCCTGCCCACCTTCCAAGATAACCCGCAGGTTGATCTTGCCGTGGCCCCGGTGGCGGTCAGGAGGGTTCATGATGTAGCAGTTGTAGATGCCAGCATCCTCCAGCTGCACGTTTTTCAGAGTCACTGACACGTCGTACTTGCTGGGGTTCCCCGAGAACTCCACGCGGTCTCGAAACTGCTCTGGCTTCAGGTTAATGATCTTCATGCGGAACTGGAGGAACTGGGTGGAGGGGCGGTGGGGTCAGGGGAGAGGATGGACAGGATGTGCTGGGCCAGAGCTGCAGGACAGGGGGGCTGCTCCCTCCTCCTGCCCACCCTCAACGCCATCGCTCCAGCAGGAAGTGAGAAGTTGCTCCCTTCCAGCCTCCTCCACCCTAAATCTGGACCACCTCAGGGTGGTATCCACCTTCTCCCAAGCCCTCTGGAGCAGACATGCCATCCAGAACACTTGGAGGGCCTGGTCTGGTGCAGAGGCAGGTGGTGGGAAAGTGGGTGGGCTTCCGTGCCCCCCCCCCCAGGACTTACCATCTCCTCGGAGCAGTTACTGCACTCCTGGTAGGTCCAGTTCAAGGAGAACTGCTTGTGGTTCACGGTGTAGCAGGAGCTGAAGGTGCAGGGCAGGCGGGCGTCAGAGCCATTGAGGACGTCAAGGGTAGAAGGTACCATGACCTCCATGCTCCGCCCTGGAGGCACTGTAGACAAAGCCACAATAGGTGAGGACTCACTGACAGGGCCAGAGGGGATGTCTGCTGGGGAGACTGGAGGAGTGAGGCTGGGAAGAGCAATGGGCTGGGTTCCTGAGAGCTGACAGTAGCGAGGAGGTGGGAGTGCAGAGAGCTAGGAGTACCACATGTGGTCCTGGGGTAAAGTGGGAGATGGAGTGAGGCCAGGTATGACTGTTGCGTACTGTTGAGTTGGAACCAACTCAGCTGGCCCTCCGGAGGCATCATGTGGTAGCTGATTGATCCAAACCATATATCTTTGTGTTGGCAGTGCAGTTCCTTACCTCTAAGCTACCATGTAGCTCTGGTGGCCTAGTGGTAAGAATATGCGCTGCAATTCCAAAGGCACGTGGTTTGAATCCATCAGCTGCTGCACAGGAGAAAGATGGGCAATCTCCTCCCATGAGATTAACTGCCTCTGGAAACCCGCCGGTGGGTCAGCTATGGGTCAGTTCCAACACGACAATAAACAACACAACGCACAAAACAAGACCCCAAATCTCTCTTTAGGAGTGGAGAAAGATCTAAACACCTGTCCAGCCAAGGACAGCCACATGGCTCCCAGTCTTTTCCAGAACCATTGCTGGGTAGCCCATCTTGACCCCCAACTCTTGCTGCAACTTGGCTATCTCCGTCTCTTCCTGGCTCTGCCCCTTGCCGCCTGAAAACCCTGACCTCACTGCACTGGATCTCCATTTCTCTCTTCTTCCAATCATCTTTGCTGAACCCAGGCAGTGCTGGGAACAGAGACTCAGAAGACCTTACTCTGTACACTGCGGGCCAGAGTGAAAGCGGAGTGCCCTGCCAGCCTCCTGGTCCCCCCAACTCCATCCCTGGCTTCCCCCCCACCCCTGCCCTGGCAGGCCGGGACAGGAATGAGCAGTGAATGGGAAGAGATGACCCAGAAGTGGTACAGCCCAGGTGAGTGGGCACATGCAAGAGAGCCTTCTGGAGACATCAGGCTTTAGGCTATCCCAGCAGCAAGCTGAGATAGACTGACAGTGGCAGGGAGGGAACTGAGGACATCTGTGGAATCTTGTAGGGACACCCGTCTCTGACCAGGACTTGGGGGGCGGGGGCTGGGACTGAAAGGCATGCTGCATTTTTATTCTAAGTCGGCCCAGAGCCAAGGAGGCAAGAGCAACACCTGAGACACAGAATGTAAGAGGGCGCCACCACCAGAATCCTGCAAATCCCTCCTTAACTGTCGCGCCTTGCGTGTCTGCCTCACCTCACCCTAACTTTAAGGTTTCTGTTAACACTTTCAAGATTCAGTTCCAAAAGGCCCCTCTGAAGATTCATTTTCTTTACAGCAGCTAAATCATGATGTGTCACATCAACCATTCATTTACCTAATTTACCAACCATCTAGTATGTGGTAGGGAGCTCTGATGGCTTACAGTTGAGCATGACTCACTAGTGACCATGTGCACAACAGACTTGAACCCTGTCCTGTCCTGCGCCGTCCACACCATCTCTGATACACTTGAGCCCATTGTTGCAGTCACTAGGTCAACTATTTCATTGGGGTCTTATGGCTTACTGGTAAAGAATTGCACTGCCAACTCAAAGGTATGCAGTTCAAATCTTCCAGCTACTACATGGTTCAAATCCACCAGCTGCTTCATGGACGAAGGATGGACAATCTCTTCCTGTGTAATTTACTACCTCTGAAAACCCACTGGAGGGTCAGCTATGGGTTGGTTCTGACTCTGTAGTACTGGTACTCAACAACAACAATACGTACCAGACATTCGTCTAGGCCCTGGAGTTTGCTGCTATAGACAAGACAGGCAGAGGCAGAGGTTTTCATCCCAATGAGGTGGACAGACATCAGAGAGGAAACAGTGATATAATTGCAGGTAGTGAGATAAGGCAAGTGCTGTAAGAGAGGAAGCAAGGGGAAGGAGTGGTGGCAGATGTAGGGTGGTCAGGAAGGGAATGAGTCCATTGAGGTTTTGAGGGAACAGCAAGGACCAAGCCCCAGTGGCTGGACTAAGATGTAGGAGGCAGACAAAAGAAGAAGGAGCAGGTGTTCAGGGCATGTGGTGAGCCTGGGGGTCAGAGATCGAGCTGGGGCCAGCTCACAAAGGGCCGTGTGGCCCAGAACACAGGATTCTAATCTATTCTACTTGTGACAGGAAGTCAAAGCACAGCCAAGGGACAGGGGAGGGGGCATGACTAATGGATATTTCTGGCTGCCGAGTAGAGAGGAGGAAGGGAGGGGATGGAACGAGTGTTGGTGGGAGACCAGCTAAGAGGCTCCTGTGCTGTGTAAATGAGTGTTAGAGCTGTCGGTTTAGAAATTACACACACAGATCCTGTGGATTTGAGTTCGATCCCAAGCCTGCCGTCAGTTAGCTAGGAGAACCTGGGCCCACTCCTTAACCTCTTCCTGCCTCACTCAATCTTCTCTGTGAAACTGCCTCCCAGGACGGAGTGAATAAGGTTGTACAGGAAGTCCTGAACCAGGCAGGCTCAGCAGGAAGGCTGAGCGGGGTTGCTCCATAAACACTAGCTCTGGTGGCGTAGCCTATAGGGATCTGTGCTGCAAACCCAAAGATGGTGCCTCTGTGTTCAAATCCACCAGCTGCTCGGAGGGAGAAAGACACGTGATCTCTTCCCATGCGATCTGCCAGAGAGTCACCAATGTGTCAGTTTCAGCTCAAGAGCAACAACAGGAAGGGTTTCTCCTTACTTGAACTTGATACTGACAGCTCAAGTTCAAACTCATAAGTGTGAGAGTTCCTTCTACGAGGTTTGCATGACTGTGATCTTTACAGAGTCCTTCTCCAGGCCTTTTTCCATAGCCACACCGGGTAGTTCAAACCTCAGCTCTCAGGTCAACAGACAAGCACAAGTTTGCACCAACCAGTGCACTCAAGGTCACTTCTTCCAATTCCCTCAAATCTGATCTGGCCAAAGGTAGAGGAGGAAATTCTCTGCAGGGCCCCTAGTTTTCAAATTGTTTTGTTGTCAGATGATGCTAGACTACACCCTGTAGTTGAGCTATTATTGTTAGATACTGTGAAGTCCTCTAGGGCTCCAAGGGACCCTTTGAACAAGGAATTTTAATCTCATCCTACTCTGCTCCATCCTCACCATCTCCCACATGCTCTTCCCCTCGTTAGTCTCTGTGTCAATCCATTGTCTTGAGAATCTTTTTCTCTTTCCCTGACCTTCCACCTTTCCCAGCATGATGTCTTTTTCCAAGGACAGGACCACCCTGACAGTATACCCAAAGCATGTGAGATGAAGTTTCACCATTTGTTTGTTCTTTTGACAGTCTATGTGCCATAGACTTTGCAATTGCTTGCTATGCGTCAGAGAGCTGGACAATGACTAGAGATGATAGAAGGAGAATTGATGCCTTTGAGCTGTGGTGTTGGAGAAGAGTGTTGAATATATCATGGACTGCTAGGAGAACAAACAGGTTCATCCTAGAGAGGGTGAGACCAGGCTGCAAGGATTCTGAAGCTTCCTCTGATGTACTTTGGACATGTTGCAAGGAGGGACCAGTCCTTGGAGACGGATGTCATGCTTGGGAGGGTGGAGGCACAGCTCAGGAGAGGAAGACCCTAGATGAGGTGGATTGACTCAGTGACTGCGGTAATGGGGGTGGGTGTGTCAGAGACAATAAGATTGGCACAGGATAAAGCAGGGTTTAGGGCTGTTGTACATAGGGTCACTATGAGTCATGAGAGACTTGAGGGCACATAACAACAACAACAATGGGATAGTCAGTACTTTGCTCCAAGGTCACAATTAGAAGACATATAGGAAGTAGGAGAATAAAAGTCTGCCCAGAAGCTGCCTGATCAGCCCTCCCCTGGGGCAAGTGACCAGGAAGGTCTCAGAGGCTTTAAACAGCTGGCCCCAGACTTCACAGTGTGTGGGGAGGAGGAGGATTCCAAGGTGCACTGACGGTACATCTGAGGACCTGGGTAGGCGCACCTGGAAGAGCAGAGCACAGTGCCATACACCCCCCCTTTACCCCGCACGTTCATATCCTTCATGAAAGCGCCCAGCAGTGCCAGGCACAGAGGACACCACCCCCAATCTGCAGAGGCAGAGAAAGCTGCAGAGAGGCGCCTGGCAGGGGTTTATCCTGAACTCACCCCTATACCACGAACACCCTGCTTCTCCAGGTCGTCCTGCCACCTTTCCAGCACCTTAAAGCAGACTCAAGGGATCCCTGAGAGAAACTGCTCTCTGTGTCCTCACTGGCCCTGACCCCTGCCCCTGCTCAGACCTTGCATTTCTCAGGATGGGAACTCAAATCACACCAGGAAACTTGAAAGGCCCTTGCCTCCATCTAGAAGAAGCCGCATCGCTCCATGTATGGAAATAAAGAAGTTGGAAGTAAGGCACTGGGCCTCCCCTCCTCTAGTCCCGCAGTCACAGTCCGCAGCTGGCCTTTCCATGCAGGCTTCACCCGGTAGTGGTGCGGGCCCTGCAGGAGGCACCAGATGGGACGCGCGCGCCCTCTAGTGGGAAGAGAGGGCAGCCGCAAGTACCCACTGCACGAAGAGGAAGGTGGGGAGGCCCCAAATCAGAGACCGCCAGAGCTGTGGCAGGGCTTGGAATTGTAGATCTGGCACCACTGTTTTACCAAAGGAAATAAGGCACCAAGAAGGCCGCAAAGAATAAGGACAAGCTGGAGCCAGAACCCTGGAGTTTCCACAGAAGGCCACTTCAGCAGGAGGCCCCGCCCTCTTCATCCCAGAGCTCAGCTTCTGACCGCCTCAGTGGCCTTCCACAGCCAAGGTCCAGGCCTTCCCGAATCTTTACAGATGAGGTGTCTGCAGCTGTGCAAGGTTAGGTGACTTGGTGGCAATGACAGAGCTGTAAGTCGAACACAGAGTTTTTATCTACTCTGTTGCTTCAAGGAAACAGTTAAATCCACAGCCAAGGACCCAGAAAGGAGTTCTTAATGATGACAAGCTCTGACAGCATGGTTGCTAAACGCCAGGTTCTGTGCATGCACTCTACACTTAACTAACTCCTTCATGACCTACAACCAGGAAAGCGAGTCACCCCGGAGCTGACCCAGGTCAGCGAGAGCCAAGCTCCAGGGTGCTGTCTGTGGATGACATTTTAGAAAGAGCTCACCAAGCCTTTCTCAAACCTCCAAATGTTTAGTTACTAGCACCTCCAGTGTCCAGAAGATGAAACTGAGATACAAAGACAATAAAGGAATCATCCATTCACAGCCCATAAGTGGGAAGGTTCGAATTTGAGCCCAGGCTGCAGACAGGCCATAAAGAGGTAGCAGCTGAGGTGGGATGTGGCTGGCACACCAAGTGGTCCTAAGCTGCAGGCTGCCTGCTGTCCAAATCAGAGGTCCAGGCCCATAACTGCCAGCCCCCAGCTCCCAGGAGGGCTTGGCCTTATTTAAAGAATCTCCATTAAGGGGAAATTGTCACTTTGCTGGTTGTTCCACTTGGGACCAAAGCTGCAGCATGGGGGACCCTGATTCCCTGTCCTGAGGATGTGTTCCTTGCTTGGCCTTAGTTCCAAGCACCAGGAGTGCCAATTCCTGTGTCCCCGAGGCAAGGCTGGCCCCTGTGGCCTGAGCCGTCCACCAGCCCCTGTGACAGAGATCAGGAAAATGTGCTCATCTCCCACCCAACCCTGCTGCAAAGGCTAGAAGGCAACCCTCTTCACTCTTCTTCCTGACTCTACGGAACTTCCACGTTGTTGTTGTTCGGTGCCATCGAGCAGCCTGTGACTCATAAGGACCCTGTGAACGACAGATCTAAACCTGCCTCTAACCTGCACCATCCTTGCCATCTCTGATACCCTTGAGCCCATTGGTACAGTCGCTGTAGGCTCATTTGCTCCTTGGTTTAAAAAGGATTGTCTACGCAGAGACGCCCAGGGAGCTCTGTCGGTGTAGTTCGCCGGAAGTTGCATTGCTAACCCACAGGCCTTTCTGGTGCTTCGAGTCCACCCGCGGCTCCATGAGAGAAAACTGAGTGGTCTCTTTCCATGTAATTTACAGCCTCTGAGAACCCTCTGGTGGGTCAGCTATGAGTCAGTTCCAATTTGATGGCAGTGAGTTTGAGTTTTTTAATAAGCTGAGAAGCCTTCTCCTTGGCCACCTGGAGCATATTGTCAGGGCAGTGCCTGTCTCCAGGTTTGAACCTCACCTGCTCAGGGCATCTCCTCCCAGTCCAGCCTGCTCCCCATGTAGCCACGAAGGCAAGTCATCTCAAATCCGAGCTGAACTTGTCCCTCCTCGCCCTGAAGCCTTCACCCTGCTGCTTTTAGGCTCAGATCCAGCTTCTGGGAACTGCCTTCCATACTCTTTGTAATTGGGTCCCAAGCTACCATCCTGGTCTCACCTCCTGCCAGCTCGTACCCTCCAGTGCCCCCTGAGTCCCTGTAGTCCTGAAAACACCACCTTCTTCAGCCTCTCTACTCCTTTGCACATTTGTACCTTTGCACAGAGTGGGAAAGTCCTTTGCCATTCTCTACCTTGGCCTTACCAGTGGCCCTGCTCCTAAGATGCTTCCTAGGAGCCGCCTTCCCGTATCCTCTCTCTGCTCACCTCCCTCTCACATGACTTAGAGGCAGAGAGGTGCAGGGCTCAAGCCATGACTCCTGTGTCCTGGTCTGATCGGAGGCAGAACCCCAGGGCCTCAGTTTCCTCATCTGTAAACTGAGAATGATAAATACTAGGAAGAAATCCCATTGAAATGTTGGAGGCTTGATACTCCTCCAGAAGTACATCAATCCCACAGGATCATGAGAATTTAATACCTGGGTTCATGCGGGAAACTCAGAACCCGCCCAACACGGACTCAGCCTTTGACTGATGAAGGGCCATCACGGCAGTGCTGCGAACGTTGTTATTAGCACAGCACACAGGGTGTTGGACTATAATCATCAGTGTGTCTGTCTCCTCCCTGGGGAGACCTCAGGGAACTTTATCTCCTTCATCCTGGCATCTCTGGCACCTAGAGCAGCCTAGCACGCTTCCATGAAAGCCTGTTGAAGGCAGATAGAGTGCCTCCCTCTGGGCCTGGGCCTCTGGCCCCCCTCAGCACATGCGTGCAGTGGGCTCAGATCACACAATTGCAATGGAATCGGTCCTGGTAACTTCATGTGTGTCAGAGAGAGCTGCATACCACAGGGAGCTCAGTGGCTGACTTTTCAGAAGTAGAACACCAGGCCTTTTTTCTGACATGGTTCTGGGGAGACTTGAACCTCTAACATTTCAGCTAGCAGGTGAGTGCACCTACACCTTCCAGGGACTTCCTTCTGAATGAAGACCAAACTCCCTTTCTGAGCCCTCCTCAACTTTTATAGCCAAACCAGTGACCCCCAAGGCCCCCTTCAGAGTCTCAAGAAAAACTATGACAGATGCCCGATCACCAGGCCTGTTGACTGGCCACTGCCTTCTGTTGTTCACACAGCAGGTGCCCAGGCTGCCAGCTTCAGCATCTCTCAGGCCAAGCCCAGACCTGCTGCAGTCTCCCCCCTCACCACTTGTTGTGTCCCTCCATACTGGTGACCAATGGCTTCTACTACAACACCAAAACCTCTTTGCCTCCTCAGTCCTCACGGTACCAGGAACTTACCTATCAGCTTCAAGTCCCCCTGTTCTTGCACATTCCCTCAACCAGGCTTACGAACATTTTAGCTTCCTAGCACCAGCAACAACCACCCATACCCCGACCTCTCAGTCAGGATTTGAATCCATTAGCTCAAAGCTCCATCTTCCCTAAACAACACCCCAGCCCTGGCCACCTTTCTTCATCGGCCTGGCTTCCTCCCTCAGAAAGCTCCCCCTAACTCCTGGGAGACACCTGTCCTCCTCCTGCCTCTGCACCTTAAACTCAGGCCACTCACCCACACAGGAGATTCAATGATGACTACTAATAGAGCAGAACTATTTCTTGAACATCAGAAGCAGCAGAGTTCAAAGGGCAGAGGAATGTGCTGAAATCAAATAGCGGTTCAGCTTCCCTTCAGGAGAGAACAAGTCTCAGAGGGACTGAGTAACTTGCCCATGGCAGAGGGGGCTTTCATTCCAGGTCTGAGTCCAGGCTCATGTTCTTTGGACCTCCTGGCTTCCGTAGCATTCCTGCTGTGTTGTTACTGTGTTCAGTAACCAGTAAAGCTAATGGGCCTTCCGGTGCAGGCTCCCAGGGGTTCTTCAAGGGCTCTCCACTTAGCGCTCTAATTCCCAGCCTTATACACCTCAAAAAAGAGCATCTTTGGATGGGAGCACACCTTCCCAGCCCTTGAACTTGACCCTCCTCAGTTGCTGCACCAGCAAAGACTAAGTTTAGGAACAAGAACGAAACGACCTATAATATAGGCTTACAGATAACTTTCCAACCCACTTGCCCACCTGGAAATCCATGCATTGGTCAAGTTTGAAATTAACATTTGGGACCCTTCACAGGGGTCCTAAGATATGGCTGTTAAAGGTTCTCAAGCAACCCTGCTTAGCTTATTTGTGCCAATTTTCATTCTTTCCCTGAATTCCTTCACCTGACCCCTCCTCCTCTCCCTCTGGACCAAGCAGAGGTGCTTTCTCCAACAGTGTTTGCTCAGCAGATTTCCTCTCCTCCCAGGGACCCAGTTCTCCAACCAGCTGCCTCCTGTCTCCCACATACACACCAAGGATCCAGGGCCAGGGCACCAGCCCCACACTCAACTTTCTGCCCTCTGCTCCCTAACCTGTCAGTCACCAAACAGGAGGATCCTAAATGAAGCCCCTTATCGGAGTATTAGATTAAGCCCAGGACCCATATATGCGGCTGCTAAACAGCGGAAATCTATTGAAGAAATGGCAAGTCAGTCCATCCTGCGCCTGCACCCCCATCTCGGTCCGCTGCAGGGAAATGCAAAGAAAAATCACCTCCTTGGGCAGTGCTCACCCGTGAGCAACACTCAGATCCTCTGGCTCAACATTCCTGTGACCCAAGTAATAACAGCGTTAGTCAGCCCCCCACCATGTCTGCCCAGCACCCCCCTTCCCAAGGACACCGAAGGGGAACTACAGCCCTGTCCGCTTCTCACCCCTGACCCCCCTCCCTTCCAGCTGTGGCTGTGCTGCGAACCCTTGCGCGCATGCAGATGTGCGGTCTAACTTACCCAAAGAGAAAAAGAGACTGAGCCCCGTGAGGCTGAAGGCTGGGCGAGGTAGCCAGGCATCTCTGTGCATTTTCAGAGACTGGGATGCTTGGTGTTCAGATGGAGTAAGGGAGAGGGTGATCTGAGGGGCTGAGGGCTAGGAGGGAGGGCTGGTTCGATGCTAAAAAAAAATGCACGATGTACTTCAGAGACATAGACAACATTAAGGAGGCTTTATTTCCATCTCTCTAATATGGCCGGCTTGTATGTGGCTGCTAAAAAGAGAGAGTGTGTAAGGGAGAGAAAAAAGGGGGATGGCGTAAATTCTGTGGTTGGCGGATTTCAAAAAGGATGCGGGAGGGCAGAAGTCTTTCTGATAAGAAGGAAGTTGGTAGAATTCTTCACCCTTCTCAAAATGAGAACTAAAATAAGCCTGTCTTTCTTCTCCACTAAGATGATTGCTGGGTTTTGGAATTTATTGAAAGAAAGATTTCCTTCCAAAGTATTGCTAAGGAAAGGCTTTGTTTTTAAAACTCTGAAAAAGGAAGGGTATGAGGAAGACAATTTTATAGTTCTTTATTATTTGGAGGGGGTTCAGGGAAGTGAATTAAGGAGATTCTGGGGGAGTCAGAACTTCCTAGTTGATATAGCAAGTCCATGGGAAAGAGAAAGCATCAAAGCAGGCAGCTGAAAAACAAGAGAACTTACGGTCCCTTAAGGTACCAAGACCCTTTTGAGGATTAAAACAAATCAACAGCAAAAAGACATTTTTGAGACAGTTGATGAGGGAGAGAATGAATATGGTCTGGGTATGAGATAATATATTCATTAATAGTTCTGAATTTTGTTGGGTGTGATAAATAAGATTTGGATGATTTTTTTTATATTCTTTTTTTTAAACTTAGTTTATTTTTCATTTCAATGAACATCTACAGAGATTTTGGAATTCCATTCATTCATTGTTGCACCCTTCTCCCCGCACAAACCCCTCCGCCCGGATGATGTTTTTAAACATCTGTTAAGAGCTACACACTGGAATGTGTACAAGAGAAAATGATGGAATTGGAATTTGTTTTACAATATTCCAGGAAATAAGGGGTAGGGAGGGGCACAGTCTAAGAAACCCAGGGAGACAGGACTGACTGCCTAGCGCTGCTGATGTTGAGGCCAAAGACGGACTGCAGGGCCAGGACCTGTTTATGATACGGTTCTGGCCTGTCTGATGGATGTTCGAATTTTTGGTTCTGTTTTGTTTTTTCCCTTTTAAAAGATAATACCGGAATAATGTCACCAGCAGAGAAAGCTAGGATGGAGGCTGAGTGAAGGTGGGCAGAGCTGGGCAGCTGTGTGTCATCCATGGAGTGTCTCTGAATCAAAGCAACTGGACAGTGCCTAACAATACACAGCAAGTAGCAGACAGGTGCTGGGGCCGCAACCACTCACAGCGTTTTCAGAAATTATTTCTGATTTACAGAAATAATTCACCAGGCCTTTCTTCCTAGTCAGGGAGCTGGCCTAAGTGTTGGAGAATGCCACTGTTAACTCAAAGCAGCAACTGAGGAAGGAAGACCAGGAATAGAGACCAAGTGCACAGGCTCTGAAGATTCACAAGAAGGTGCTTGTCAAAGAGCAAAACAGGAAGGAGCCCAGCACTAGCAGACAGGCAATAGGAGGTGGCAGGCGAGGCCCAGCTCAAGGCCTGAATTCATGAATTCTGAGAGTGAGTGGATAGACTTTAGAAAGGGCCCAGGGAAGCTGCTCCAGGTCAGGGTGTAGGGGGCAGGCCCGAGTTTCACAGTGAGGTGCTGGGGGCGCGGGTGGACCCAGCACTCCTTGACACACCAGGGACGGGGCCCATGCCCGGGTCTTGCACAAGCTGGGTCTCAAAAGTGCAAATGGTGCTAGGGCGCAGCCAGGAAGCATTCAGTGAAGGAGAGTAGTGCTTTCCCTGCCCTTGGCCTCGTCCATCCCCACCACCTGCACGTCCTAAAGCTGCCACCATCTAGAGGCGGTCTAGCGCACAGGTGTGCCCGGAGGGACAGAGGGACAGCGGCCACCAGCCAAGTCCGGGTCTGCAGCACTTTCGCCCCCGTGCTGCCGCAGGCACATGTCAGCCCAGGTGCCAGAGATTTTTGGTTTGGCATTGCCGGCCTCCTCCTTTTTCTGAATGCCGCTGAGGTTTGCTTGTAAGAGGCCCAGAAACGGAAGAATTCATCTCACAATGGGTCCAGAAGTTTCTGTTCAGAGCACGGGTAGGGGGATACTTAAAACAAAGTAGAGACTCTAAAATCCCCTGCTTTCTGCCCAGTTTGGTCAAGAGAAACCAAATATACATACTTGGAGCAGATCAGACTTTGTCCAAGGGTCAGAAAGGTCAGAGACAAAGCAACCCCCTTCACCACAGGGTTAGTGAGCCTAAAGCTGCCCATTTGCTTCAGAGATGAAGCCCTCCCAAGAACCAGAGAAGATCTGGGACAACGAGGCTCAAGGAGGTATTTTACGGAAAGGAGACGCCAGGATGAGCTATTCTGGGAATGAAGTCCTGAGGTTTTGGCATTTCTTCCAGGTGCCATTTATCACTGAAGACTTTATTAGACAACATTTCATTACCAACCCTTCTGGGAGATGCAGCAATTCAAATAATCCAAGAGACGATATTTTCCTTTGCCTTTAGAACGAATATCCAGCTGAGGCGACCACCCTGTATTTACAATACAAGAAAGATTTACTTCTGTTGATGGGGTTTTTCTTGAGTATTCAAAGGCGTTCAACTCATCGTTGCAAATCAAAGGTAACACTGCAAAGAATGAGAATTCCAAGAACACTTAACTGTGCTCACACAGACCCTGTACCTAAACCAAGAGGCCTTGTTGGTGGTTCATATTAGAACAGAATAAGGGGATACTGTATGGATGGTTTAAAATCAGAAAGGTGTGCATCAGGGTCGTATCTTTTCACTATATCTATTCAATCTGTATGCTGAACAAACAATCCAGTAAGATAGACTCTATGAAGTAGAACTGCCTGAGATATACAAGTGGCACAGCCTGGCTTCCTAAAAACAAAGCAAATGAGAAGCACTTTTGATGAAGACCAAAACCTGCAGCCTTCAGCATGGATTGTACTTCAACATAAAGAAAATAAATGTCTTCACATTTGGACCAATAAGCAATATCATGATAAATGGAGAAAAGATTGAATTTGTCAAGGATTTCATTTTATATGGATTCACAGTCAATACCTATGGGAACAGCAGGAAAGAAGTCAAATGATGTATTGCACCAAACAGATCTGCTCCAAAAGACCTTTTAAAAGTATTAAAAAAAATTTTTTTAAATTAACCAACAGCAACAAACACGCCCACAAAAATGTCCACTTTGAGGACTTGAGTGTGCACTCAAGCCAGGAGTGTTCAATCACCTCGTGTATATCATAAAGATGGGCTGTGAATAAGAAAGAAGAATAAATGCATTTGAATTACGGTTAGTGAAAAATGTGAACTAACTCAGGTGAAAAACACATTCACCATGAAGACATATAGTCAGAATGGTCCTTAGATGCAAGGATGGCAAGACTTTGTCTCATGTGCTTTGAATGTATTCTTTATTAAGAGGGAATAAAGACATCATGCTTGGTAAAGCAGAGGCCAGTGGAGAACAAGGAGCCCTTCAATGAGATGGACTAGCGCAGCGGCTGCAGCAATGGGCACAAGTGTAACAATTGTGGGGATGGCACAAGGTTGTCATGAGTTCAACCACTCAACAGAACCTAAAAACACCACAGTCCAGACAAAGGAGATTTGGTAGTTAACTGCTCATTTGCTAACCAAAAGGTTGATGGTTCAAACGTACCAGTCGCTCCCTGAGAGGAAGATGTGGTCGCTTCACTCTATCATTTCATAGCGACCCTATGCACACAGGGCCTGAAGCCTTTCTATAACTATCATCATTTATCAAAGTTCATGGAGTTTCCAGAAACATGTGGTTTAGGAAGTGGATACCACTCCTGCCTTGGAAATCCGACTGATGGTTAGTTCTCGTCTGTCCTATAAGATCACTATGAGTCAGAAGTGAGGCAACAGCAACAAGGTTGGGATTTTTTCTGTTGTTGTCATCTGAAATCCCAGGGTGGTGCACATAGTTAACATACTCACTGCTGCCTGGAAGGTGGAAATTAAATTCCACTCAGCGATGCTGAAGAAGAAATGCCTGATGATCAATTTCTGAACAATCAGCAACTGAAAATGTTCTCAATTACAGTTCTGCTACATAGAGAGTCACGATGAGTCAGTGTTGCTGCAATGGCAACTGGTAGCAGTAGTAGCAGTAGTTGTAGTTGATACATGCTAGACACTGGGAGCTCTGGTGGCCTAGTGGTAAAAAGCTGCACTGCAATCCCAAAGGTATGTGGTTCAAATCTACCAACTGTTGCTCTGAGAGAGAAAGATGGGCAATGACCTTCCATGTGATTTATTATCTCTGAAAACCCACTGGAAGGTCAGCTATGTATGAGTCAGTTCTAATTAGATAGCATACAGTAACAACATAAGACATGGGGCTAGAAATGCATAAGACACAGCTCAACCTCAGAGAATTCACATTCTAGAGAGGGAGAAAAATGTATAATACACTGAGTACAAGTCTATGCCTATAGGGGGCTTGTGAACAAAGCAACACCTGGTGTTGCAAAATATTTTCATTGCCTATATTGGGAGGGTGGAGGGACAGCACAGGAGAGGAAGGCCCTCTATGAGGTGGATTGATTCAGTGACTGGGATAATTGGGATGGGAGTGTCAGATACAGTGCGAATGGCACAGGACAGAGCGGAGTTTAGGGCTGTTGTACATAGGGTCGCTATGAGTCGCAGGCGACTCAATGGCACATAAGAACAACAACAACATTGGCAAAATATATAGATTTTGCCTTTACCAACTAAAATGAAGCTTTTTAAGGACAGAGGCTGTGGTTTCTTCTTTTAGGTGTGTATTAGGTCTCTATAAGCAGAAGAAAAAGTATAAATGTCCACTTCCCATCTACAGAAAGGCCAGAAATACCCATCCATCTGACTCTGTGTATGGCCAAATTGGGGCTGGGAGCCAGGTCTTCACCCTCTTTGCACACTTCTCTAGTCCACTCCCAAAGAATCCCTTTCACACCTCCTAAAGATGGTTACACACCTGCTCTGCATCTCATACAAGGATGCTGAATGAGTCATTGGATGACTTCTTTCTGCAAAGGTCAGAGGTCTAAGGAAGGACATCCAACGGGAAAGAATTGTTTTACACCCATGGAATAATTAGAGGATAGCAGACTATGAGATCTGATCAAGTGTAGAGATCACAGGGAAGATGTGATGAATACAGGCTGTTCTAGACAGGACTCAAGGGAGTCTTGAAGGAATGTTGATTCCGTCAGGTAAGAAGGAAAAGGAACACCAGGTACAAAGGTACTGAGGTAAAAACCACATAGGTATTTGGAGCTGAGAGTTCCTGTCATGAAGACAAGGGGTGACCCAAACCAGAAGGCTATAAACGCAGAGAGCAGACAGGTACCTTAGAAGGTTCTAGAACAGACAAGTCACCATTGCTCTCACAATTCATGAGGTTTAAAAGACCTTAGTTAGTTATTCTGAGAGGACTCCAAGTTCCCTTGTTTTCTGATGACAAAGGGATGTTTTGTGAGTAAAGGATGTTTACAGAAGTGGTAATGGATTACACAACCATTTTTGCAGCAAGAAGACCAGACCACATCTGTAACCCAGCTGGCCAGCTCACAAGGCTGAGAAACTGCTAATTCACAGTAAAAGAAAAACATTTAAAATGAAGTAAAACTGACCATCTAAGATGCTTTGACTCTCAAAAACTGAGCAAGTTCAGGGCAACACGACCCCCTCTAACTGCTCAAAGGATAGCGATGCCACACAAGAGGAAAATCATCAGTTTTCATGAAGGAAAATTGTCAATGTAGATGTGTGAGCATGCTCAGAACCAGAAATGAGAAGGGCATAAGAGAAAGGGTAGAGTGGCGTGACAAACCATGTTACTTTTTAATTTGACTGGGCCAGTGTTCTACAAGTGTTCTCCATAGAAGGGGGTTTTCCTTGGCGGTGTGGTCTGCATCCAGGATATATGGACATATGCTCTCAGTCCTGCATCTCACTTGTCATCCTCTGACCTTTGATTCTTAAGATGTTTTGCTTGGTCTGCAGATTTTCGGCAGCTCTTAACTCCACGTGAGTCAGGAAGGACTGTCAACCAAATGTGCCTGACCCATGGATTTGGGATTTGTTGGCCTCCATAATTACATGAATATTTCCTTAACATAAATCTCTCTCTCTCTTTCTCCACATGGATGGAAATAGGGATGGCCTATGTTCTCTGGAGGGAGCTCTGACAGTTTAGCTGTAAGGAATTATACTGCCAACTCAAAGGCATGTGGTTCAAATCCACCAGTTGCTTCATGGGAGAAGGATAGACAGTCTCCTCCCATCGTCATTAATTGCCTATAAAAACCCACTGGAGGGTCAGCTATGGATAGATTCCAATTCAACAGGGGGCAACCCCAGTAAAATATCTAGTGGTAACAAGATACAAAAGACTTAAAGGCAAGGAGAAAGCTACAACCTTTTACAGGAGCTATATCTTCAGTTGGTTTTTAGTGGACCAGCTGGACTGTTTGCTATCTCAATAGCCAAACTTTGAAGCCATTTAATTCTCCATTAATCCTAGAGAGTGTAGCCTCCTCCACCCCTGGGGCTGCCTCCTAATTGCAGATACCTTCATGCTTCTGGAAACACTCAACTATGGAAGCACTTGGTGTTCTGGAAACTTGTTATTGTTAGGTGCCACTGAGTCAAGTATGATTCATAGTGACTCTATGAACAACAGACCTGAAGCCTGTCCTTATCCTGGGCCATCTTCGTCACCTCTGACATACTTGAGCCCATTGCCACAGTCACTGTGTCAATCCATCTTATCAAGGGTCTTCCTCTCTTTCACTGATCCTCCATCTTCAAAGGAATAACCTCTCTTAACAAGATGCCTAAAGTATGTGAGATGAAGCTTTGTCATCTTTGCCTCCAAGGAGCACTCTGGCTGCACCTTCTCCAAGACATAGCTGTCTGTGCTTTTGATGGTCCATGGGATACTGGGTACTCCTCTGCAACACCACAGCTCAAAGGCATCAATTCTTTTTTCATCCTTATTCACTTTCCAGCTCTCAGACATATAGTAAGTGATTGAAAAGACTATGGCCTGAATCAGACACACCTGAGTCTTAAAACGGATATCTTTGCTCCTCAGTAATTTGGAGAAGTCCCTGATAGTTTAGGAAACTGCAAGTTCAAGAAACAAGACTCTTTGCTAATGGATGGACTGTAAGAAGATTGACTTGCTTGGTTTCTCAGCAGTTTTCTCACCCTTCAAAATACTACCCATTTTAATTTCTGCTAACACTTTGGATGGGAAGAGGGACTTAGGTACTTTGGATTAACAAGCTTCCTGCTCATAGACATACATCAAAATTAACATAAGATAGAAACAGACTCACTAAAGGACATTGTCACTGACATTGCTAATGACTTCGTTTGACCTACTAGTGTTGAATGTCCTATTTAGATAGAAGAGCCAGTCACTGAGTTCCAAAAGGTTGGATGATAAATCCCAATGAGAAAGACACACTCAAAAAGGATAGATCAAGAACTCAACCTTGAGTTATTGTTAGATGCTGTTGAGCCGTCCATGATTCAGAGAGACCCTGTGAACAATAGATCTGAGCCTTGCCCTACCCCACACCGTCATCATGATCTCCAGCGTGCTCAAGCCCATTGTTGTAATCACTGTGTCAGTCCATCTGGTTGAGGGTCTTCCTCTCCTCACTGACCCTTCTACCTTTCCCAGAATCATATATTTCCCCAAGAACCAGCCTCTCCTGACATGTTCAAAGTACATAAAATAAAGCGTCACCACCTTTGCCTTTAGGAGCACTCTGATCGCACTTCCTCCACTGGTTCATTCTCTTGGCAGTCCATGATACATTCACTACTCTTCTCCAACACCACCGCCCCAAGGTGTTGATTCTTCTTCAGTTTTCCTTATCCGCTGTACAACTTTCAGGTGCATAGGAAGCAATTGAAAAACACCATGGCTTCAATCAGGCACACTTTAGTCTTTAAGCAGAAATCTTTGCTTATTACCTGTCTAAACTACCTTCACAAATTGGAGTCTCCATTCCAATGTGTATAAATAGAATCACAGGACAGAAGAGTAAGAGGCAGGATCAGGTTTGACTTCGAAGTCTGACTTTGAAGTCTGTTCTCTCCCTATGCTCTGTGTTCCTGAATTTCACGGTAAGTCACTTCTAGCATGGAGTACCTGGGTGCCAAAACGATTAAGCATTTGGTGGCTAAGCAAAAGATTGGAGGTTCTAGTCCACCCAGAGGCACTTTGGAGGAAAGTCCTGGTGATCAGCTTCAGGGAGATGACAGCACTTGAAAGACAGAAGGAGGACAGTTCCACCCTGACACACATGGGGCCAACTGAATAGAACTCGGCTCAGTGGTTTGGGTTGGGTTTATCTCTAGGAGGAGGGCATAAGGAAGCACATGGGTCTTTTTCAAGATCCCCTGAATCCTGGTTTGGGGTAAAATCAGAATCTTGTATCTGTGGATATCTACCTTCAACCTTGACTTCATACGGGTGTATGAGGAAGGTTTGTGGGGAGGAAAGGGGAGGTGGGTTTCTTCTTCCTCCTTCTCAATCATAACTACTGAAGCTGAAGTGGAAGACAAATTCTGAATGAGTCAGATTCAAATTTGGGTATATAAGACTCCAGGCAGGGGTTGGGGGGAGGCATCCCCACATTTTCTCCAAGAGTGTGCCTTCTGCAGGAGCATGTGGATAAGCTGTCCCCTCTTCCTCTAGCTCTCATCCCGGTGGTTTACCCTGAAGACTAGAAGGAAAACCCCCATCTACCCCGGGGCCCAGCCTCCTGTGCATTTCAGGAAGTGGAGAGGGGCCCCCTGTGACTTAATCGCCTGTAACTAAAACACATCTTCTCAGTGAATTATAAGGATATGAAAATCCTCCCCATTCCATTTACTTCTACATTAATCTGTGTCTTTCTTCTGGTATGTCTAGGAGAGGACACTGCCCCCAGGACTCTTATAGTAAATTATTGGCAAAGAATGAAGCATTGAGTACCTTGGTCTCAATGAAACAAGAACAAAAAGAAGCTACAAGTCTCCAAATGGAAATTTAAGAACAGATTTAAAAAAAAGATATGTCAATAAGGAGTGTATTGTTGTTATTACTAAGGTCCTAAAGTTAGAATGGGGAAGCGTGTGGCCTAGTCACAAGAAGCTGCGCTGCAATCCCAAAAGCACATGGTTCAAGGCCATCAGCTGCTCTGCGAGAGAAAGGTGGGTAATCTCCTGTGTGATTAACTGCCTCTGGAAACCCACCAGAGGGTCAGCTATGGGTCAGTTCCAACTCTATGGAACACAACAACAGCAACAAAGCTAGAATCTTTAGAAGACTTCTTCAAAAAGCATGGATTACTCTTCAAATAAGGAGCTGCACTGCCAATTCAAAGACAAGAGGTTTGATCCACCAGCTACTCCATAGCATTTTTCAAAGATTTGCAATCTCCTCACATGTGATTTACAACCTCTGAAAACTCAGTAGGGCATCAGCTATGAGTTGATTCTGATTTGACAGCACATAACAAGAAGAACAAGAATTATCCATATTGGATCAAATTTACAACAGCAATTCAGAAGACTAAAGAGGAACCTTAGAGCCACTGAGTTTATGTTAATGAGGGAGGAACAACTCAGAAAAAGAGGGTGAAGAACAGTTGTACAACTTGAAGAAGGTAACCAGTGTCACCAAACTGGTCACTGTCACATACAAACTGATGAACTGGCATATGTTTTGCTATGTATCGTGTCACTAAAATGTAGAAAAATACATTTTCATGATCCTCACTTGAGATTGCAGCAGAAACTGAGACTCAGGAAAGTCTTTCTCTTTGCTCACATCCTGAAAGGCTAAATGTGAAGGGAAACCTGAGCATGAGGAAGGGTCCTGTGGTCAAGGCAGGTGACCCCAGCCGAGCTGAGGGCAGGCTGAGCCCTGGGAAGCAGGAGTTCTGAACGAAGGGATCCCTGAAGTCCAGGGCTAGCGAGTCTTATGATAGTAACCAAAAAGTACAAGAACATGACATTTCATGTTACTTATGGTGGATCTTCCCTTTGGCAGCTCATGGATGTTACATTTCAAAGGACAGATGTACAAGGTCCACCTAAGAATTCCAAACCAGGAGACCTCTTGTGAGGCCCAGTGAAGAGGCACCAGCACTTTTGATACTCAGCCAGAATTAAGAACTGCGAGAATTGATGCCTTTGAGCTGTGGTGCTGGAGAATAGTGTTGAATATACCACGGACTGCTAGGAAAACAAACAGATTTGTCCTGGAGAAGGTGAAGCCAGAATGCTCCTTGGAGTCAAGGATTCTGAAGCTTCGTCTGACATACTTTGGGCGTGTTGCAAGGAGGGACTGGTCCTTGGAGAGGGACATCATGTTTGGCAGAGTGGAGGGGTGGTGCAGGAGAGAAAGACCCTCGAAGAGATGGATTGATTCTGTGACTGGAGTGGTGGGAATGAGTGTGTTTGAGACGGCGAGGTTGGCACAGGATAGAACTGCGTTTAGGGCTCTTGTATGAAGGGTCACTATGAGTCGCAAGCACATAACAACAACAAAGTAGATGCTTGAGCAGTGGGCCTACTCTATTTCCAACCCTTTTAACCTCCAAACTTTCTACTGCCCAAGCTCATCACCAGTCGACAGTGTTTGAGCTACAGCCTGGCTTTCTTTGAGAAATGTCATTTGTTCCAAGAATTCTCTCCTGAGAATCCCTCAGAATGACTCCTGTTGCTCTTCAGCCCCCCAAAACTACTGCCATCGAGTTGATACTGACCCCTGAAGACCACCATTGGGTTTCCAAGGCTGTCAATTTCGCCAGGAGGTGACTCTCTTTCTTCCCTCAGAGCAGTTGGAAGATTTGAACTTCTGACTTCTCAGTCAGCAGCACAACATACAACCAGTTATGCCACCAGGGCTCAGGCACAAAAGCAATTTGTACAAACCACATTTATTTAGGGGTCATTTAGAAAAAGAATCATTTGGGGTAGTTTTTGTCTCTTCAATTCTTCCCAATAGCTCATCCACAAAGAACACTGTGCACATGAATGTTCTCATTTGACGGCACACCTGAGGCTGGTATGGTCGCTCCATCGGTTCCTCGAAGCCAATGCCCCACACCAGAGCCTCCAAGTCCATGTCCTACCCTCCCTTCAATAGGTAGGACCTGCTTCCCTGAATCTGTCCAGGCTTTCTACCAGGCTGGAAATGCTCCATCTTTAGTCCTTTGACCAAGCAATGTGGCAGGAGGGTAACTATAAAGGGAGAGTTAGGGGTTATTGGAAACAGCTGAGTAGACGATCTCTTCTGCTGTGCTTGGAAATGGAGCGAAGCCCCTGTCTTCTCAGAAAGGCTGCTCTGTCGGTGGCAATGCCCCAGATGACTTATTCTCAGGTGACCTGTTCGTCACTGACCTCACAGGAGGCCAGACTGGGTGCTGTGGGAGAGAGAAATGAAGAAACAAACTATATTTCCAAGAAGTACTTCAATAACAATGCCAGTTACAACTTACTGAGAGGTAAGTGGTAGCTTAGTGCTAGAACTCTGTCTGGTCTTGCATGTGGGAGACCAGGTTCGAATCTCAGTGCACCTCACACACGGGCACTGCCCATGGTCTGTCAGTGGACTTTTGTTGTTTTGATGTTGCTGTGGGTTTCACCAGAGCTTCCAGACTTAAGACTGAAAGACCTAACACTGTACTCTTGAAAATGAACCATTGAAAACCCAGTGGCTTACAAAGACCTGGTCTTACATCATGAGTTGGAAGTCAACCTGACAGCAACTAACAATAACAACAACAATAATACCATTCAATGAGCTCTCTCCATGTGCTCCATCTAATACTGAATTCCACATACATAATCTCATGTAATACTCCCACCTGGGATGTAGCTGTTATCTCCACCTTTTAAAGATGAGGAAACTGAGGGTTTAAGAAGCTAATTCACCTGCCCAAGGTCATCTAGCTGCAGAGTCAGAATAAGATCAGACACAGGTCTGTCCAACACCAAAACTTATGATTTAACCCTGTGCTGCACACACTCTGAAACAGTACAGCACCAGTTTATTTACATAAAATGAAGCAACTCAACAACAACAAATCAAGTAGTTTTTCCTTATCCCCACACCTGAGGCCTCAAGCTAGGGACCTGCAGGCCAGAATTCTCCCTCAAGTTTATTTAATCTAGTGCTTAGTGTTTTCAAATAACTCAGCCAGGCCCCAAAGGCTTTGTTTGCTTGATCCTTTTCAAAAGGACAGAAACACTGCTTCCTGTGGCATAAGAGGTTTATGCTTGGCCTTTAACTGAAACGTTGGCAGCACGAATTCACCTCGCCATGCTTGAGCAAGAAAGGCCTGGTGAACTGCATCAGTAAGAGTAACTTGTTGCTGCTGAGTGCTCATAGCGATCCCATATGTCACAGGGTGGACACCCCACAGCGCTTTCTTGCCTATGATCACTAGGGAGGTGGATCACCAGACCTTTCTTCTGCAGTGCCAACGGCTGGGTTCAAAACATGAACCTTCAGTTTAGTAACTGAGTACAAGCCATTTGCACCCCTCAGAGATCAGCCACTGAGAACCCTATGGTCCAATTTCACTCTGACACTCCTTGCATCTGCATGGGTTACAACAGGCTCAGCTGCCCCTGAGTTTGCTTTTGGCTGAACGCTGGACAAGGAGGCAGCTCCAAAGTCATGGCCCAAGTCATCTCTGTCCTTCAGACTTTCCGCAAACACTGTCACTCAGATGGATGAAACAGTTACAGTGAAACAGATAAAGCTGTATCAGCAGATCTCTGAGGTCCAGTACAAAGGCTGGCAGTTACTGTAACATCACATGTCAATAATGGAAAAAGGATGTGGGAGAAACATGACTGTATTCAACTGAAACATTAGAGTGGAGCTAATATCTGACATGATGGAACGCGGCCAGTTCTCTGATCTCACACTTCTGTGGCAGAACCTTTCCCAGCTGCAATCAGCTGGGAGTCATGCGCCATTGTTGTCAGTGCGAAAAGAACAAGCCCAGACGTCATTGCACAAACAGAACACTGCTCCCTGAATGGACATGATGCCTGTAATTCACCTACAAATAGCATTGTTTTCATTGCTAGCTAACTCCTTTCATCCTCAGCCCTACTCATTCCATGGTGAGGTGCCTTTTCTAGGTGCTGGACTTCCCTGGGGAAGCTACAAAAGTCAGATTCCACATCACTATATTGGATTCAGATGCAGCCTGCCTGTGTCGACTGTGAAGAAATAGTCCCAGGATATATTAAAAGAAATAAAATCTAAACATTGTAAGGGACCCTCCTTAGACCTTTTTAAAAGGAAGGAAAACAATCCACTGCAAAGAAACATTTGCCTAAGGATCTTAACATGCTTCCCTTGCTGGGCTGTGTTTGAGCAGGGAGTGCCAATCTGGTTATCAAATTCTGGGTTATATTGAGGGAGGAGCAGAAAGTGGGATCTGGTTTTGACTCGGGAGTCAGTGGTGGTGCAGTTAACGTGTTCAGCTGCGAACTGTCAGGTTGAAGGTATGCGTTTACTCAGAGGTACCGTGAGAGAAGAACCTGCTGATTGACTTCCAAAGAACCAGTCACTAAAACCCCTACGGAATAGAAAGGTTCAGTGGGAATTCAAAAGGATGGAGTACTAATAAGCGTGGAGCAAAAGTCATTCCTTTTCTAAAATTCGTATACAATGAATATGAATGATTGTATGAAATAAAATGTAAGTGAAAGATTGTATAAAACACAATCATACATGAATGAAGATAAATGAAACAATGTATACCAAGTATGGGGGGAAACAGAGCAGATTAATATGTTGCTTACAAGGGACTCACCTTTGACACAAATAGGAATATAACTTTAAAATGAATGTCATATAAAGACAACAACAACAAAACCCCCTATGGAGCACAGTTCTACTCTAACACATCTGGGGACACTTCGAGTCAGAATCTGACTCCGTGATTATCGGTACTTATTAAAGACTTTCTCTACCCCAAATGAAGGTGCTTCCACTTACCATTAAAATCAATGATCTTTAGCAATGACTTATCAGTCCCGAGAGAAGATATAAAGTTAAGTTTGTATTACTCTTCTGCCCATCAATTTCCCCCTCATCAATTTCTTACACATTCCTATTACTAAGAAAAATCTTTGACTTCAACAAAAGGCCACCCCAGGTGACCTAGCCAAGTGGACAGTCCGAGAGTGTACCATGTCCTTCCCAGCTCCGCCTCCCTCCCCTAGTCACCAGCTCAGCTGTGACCCAGAATAGTTCTCACCATGGTCATGTAGGTTGGCTCTGATTTCCCAGCTGATTCTTCTTCCTCCGTCACTTCTTTTGTATTTATCGAGGTATAAATGTGTTTCTAAAGGGAGAAAATGGCATGGAGGTTTCTAAAGAATCTTAAATGCCAGAAAAAGCTTTGTCCCAGAAGAAAGAACAGGAGTGTGGCATGACTGTGGAGAAGCAAAAGAAAACATGAAGGTGTGCTACTATGAAGCAAATGCTTAGTCTCAGAGATCAGAGATGGAAAGAAATAAAAGGAAGGAAGGAAGGAGAGGGAGGGAGAGGGGGAGAGAGAGATAGATGAGAGAGAGAGAATGAGAGAGAGAGATCAATCCCAGGGCTTTCAAGGAAAGAGAAATCCCCAAGCATCCTTCCTATATAACACACAGCTGGGGCCCCCTTACTATATCTTGCTTGATCAACATCCCCAATAAAGCCAAACTGGACCTGTTGCAATCAATGATAGATTGTATGCACTGACAGTAAGCCAAGTCAATAATAAAAATTCCAACTTGGAGTATTCTTTTGCTTCTAATGCTCAGTTCTGAATGGTCCTGTATTAAGAGCTGACACCAACTTTGATAGAGTCTTTGCATTTCATACAATTAATATTTCTTAAGGGTTGTCCAAGCTGCTGTTCCAAGGATACTATGGCATAATTATAAATGAGATCAAGTCAACCATGCACCCTGGAGAGGAATTGTTTCTTTGACTCTATAGCTTCATCACTAATACCTAAATGATGATGGTTTGGAATGACTGCAGGCCTATATTTAAGTTTTCTCTAAGTAAAGAGACTTCAAACTACAGCTTTAATGCATGTGTCCTCACTATGCCTATTCTAAAAATAAGCTTTTTAAGAAAAATCTGACTTTTTTTACAGTCCTTTATGTAGCATGATACCTCAAAAGAAAAACTGAGAAAATATTCAACTAAAATACAAACTTAGTAGCTAGGAGATTAAATTGTTATGAAATGTGAAAAAAAGAGTCTCTTACACATCAAAAAAAAGTTTACCACTCCTATTCTCAGATAGATCATCAACCACCAGTATATTCAGAGATTTAACAAGAGATAGGAAATCAGTATCTTTAACAATTCACTTCTCAGTCTTCCTAAAAATGAATTCATCAGGAAAGAACACTTAGGAAGCAAATGCCTTCCTTTAAGGACTTGTACACCAGTGGCCGCTGCAGCACTATTTGTAACAGCCAAAAGGTGAGAACAACACAAGGGCCCATCAACAAATGATGGATAAACAAATGGAGTGCATTTGGTTTATGCATCACGCATGCAGGGGATGCTGTTCAGCCAGCCTTAAAGAGAAGCGAGTTCTGATGCATGCCACAACGTGCACGAGCCATGAAAGCATCATGCTGAGGGAAATACAGATACTGATAATTCCACTCACATGAGATAGTTAGAAAGGGCAAATACACAGAAATAGAAAGTCAGTTCATGGTTACCAGGGGTTGGAGGAGAGGGAAAACAGGTGTTACCACTCAGTGAAAGCGTCATTATGACCTGGAACATCTCATCAGCAATGTGCACTGTGTAAGCTTCCTAAATGGACAGTAGTGATGGCTGCACAATTTTGTAAACATATTTAATGTCACTGGATTGCACACTAAAAATGGCTAAAATGACATTTTTTGTTGTATATGTTTAACCACAAAAAGTGTTATTGGTTGTTATGTATTTGAGGTGGTTGTTGTTATTTATGAGTTTGTTTTAAGTCAAACATGCTTGTTTGGGTGAGCCGTTCAGGTAGCAAATGGTGACAAATTATTTGTATCGTGTGGATGTTTCTCTCTAACTGAACTCATGCCAACAGTCTAGTTGTCATTGTTCCTCTGTATGTTTGGCAGAGACCCTTGATGTCCCCTGAGATCATAGCACTTTGTGATTCACATCTGAGTAGACTCTGACCTCTATGCTTTGTGCTGGCAGCTGTGTCCATAAGCCAAGTGGCCTATTAGCCCATTAGCACCATCCAGCAACTCTTTTTCAATTCTCAGAGTCCTTGTATGTAGCCCATGACAAACTAGTACAAAGGGGAAAGTCCTTCTAGTCCTTTCTTTCGAAAAGTGCCTATTGCAGATTGGATTGCACCCTGCAAAAAGATAGACTCTCTGCCCTGTACGAACTGTAAACGTGGCCTTATTTGGAAGTTGGGTCTTTACACATGTTATCAGTTAAATGACCCTGTGGTCATATAGCGCGCCCTAGTTCCACCTTCCCTGCTGTTGTTCGATGCTGTCCAGTCAGTTTGTGTTATATGGCCCTACTGTGCACAACAGAACACAGCACCATCCAGTCCTGGGCCACTGCCACCTGAGTAATGTCCTTATAGACGAGGAGAAGAGGCTCACAGAGGAGCAGAGGGAGGAAGCCCTAGTGAAAGTCACCCACAAGCCAGGGAATGCCTGCGGCTGCCAGGAACTGAAATACACCAACATCTCCTCCTAGTGCCTTTGGAGGGCGCCTGGCCTGGCCTCCTTCCTCCAGAACTACAAGGCAGCACATCTTACTCCTTTGACATCACTTGAATTGTGGCACTTGTGTTAGGGTTGTTGTTGTTGTTATGTGCCGTCGAGTCGCCTGCGACTCATAGCGACCCTATGTACAACAGCCCTAAACTCCGCTCTGTCCTGTGCCAATCACACTGTCTCTGACACTCCCATCCCAATTATCCCAGTCACTGAATCAATCCACCTCATAGAGGGCCTTCCTCTCCTGCTCTGTCCCTCCACCCAAGCATGATGTGTTAGGGTAGCTCTGGGAAATAAACCTACGCCCTGCATATTTCATCTTAACCATTAACTCGTGAGCATAATCATAATATTTACAGAGTGCCTCATCAATTACACAGCACTTTCCTATCATTCTCCTTGAGTCATACAATTAACTCTGTGATGCAGGCAGGCAGAGATTCCTGACCTTCTACCTAATGCTCAGGAAGGTGGCACAGTCAAGCCTAAAATTAAGCTTCCTAAGTCCTATGCTCTGGGTCCTCTGCCCCCCACCAGGATCCATAGCCTCAGTTGGTCTGCCTACCTCACCCCACCCCAACTTCTAACTCAGAGGCTTTTATTACAATGATTGGGATTTTCTGGGTCCCTGCTTTGTGCCAGGCATGGACCTAACGCTGAACAAGGCACAGTTCAAAAGCACTGAGAACACATCAGTCTGGCTCGGTTTCCCCCCAGTTCACACATGCTCCTAGGACAGACCAGCAACACAGCAGAGAGCTCTTCTCTCACCTCTGGCATCACTTTCTTTGTGTTCTCCAGGCTTTTGACCAGGGTCGTAGGATTCTCTGAACTGCAAGGCATGAAAAACAGCTGTAACTAACCAGTCAACGCCACACATTCCAAGATGCCCACCTGGGATCCCCAGGGAGGTTCATGCGGAGAGGGCTCTGGTGGAGGAATACGTAGTTGTTCTAGATACACACAGCCAGTGCTGCCAGTACACCTTGAAATGTGAGAATGCCCAGCTCCTTGTGGAGAGCAAGTCTCTGTTCTAAATAGTCCTGACTTGCACGTCAACCAACTCTTTGTCTATAACGCTGTCATTATGTGCCATTATGAGTTGGAACCAATGCACAGCTGATCCTCCAGTAATTTTTCAGAGGCAATAAATGACATGGGAGGAGATTGCTGGTGGATTTGCACCATGTGTCTTAAGGCTGCCAGTACAATGCATCACCATTACGCACCCGAGCTCCTATTATTCATCTATAACAGTGGATACAATTATAAGTGAATGAATAAAGAAGGACTGTGGAATTCGACTCCCTCCCTGGAGATCTCCCTATGCATTTAGAGTAGAATCATGACATTTCTATTTTAAACCAAGAAGTGGCTGAAAAAGAACTCCAGCTACCTCTGCTGCCTCCCAATGCCACTGTTTCAGCCAGGACTGGAATCCCATGTGACAGAGTTCAGGCTGCTTGAGAACAGAAAACACCTCCTCCAGCAGATGCAATCCTAAGAAAAAGCCTACTCACCAACCTACCCCAACCCTCACCCCTGTCTTCTGACAGCCAGGCACGTCCCCTTCTCTGCCCCAGCACACTAGCTCAAGAACACCAGTGTCCAGTTGTTCATAGTCACATAGCAATTATTAGAGTCCAGGGAACTTTGGACCTCAGACCTTATCTCAAAATGTAGAAATGTTGCCCTTTTTAGAGATCTTTTCAGCTCAACAAACAAAACAAATGGGCCACGCCATACCTCAAAGATGAGGACCTGGTCATTACCATGCCAGTTGGCCAGCTTAGAAAATGGGGAATAGAATTTACATTTAGTCCTTCTAGGGCCACGCACAAGCTAGATACTATTTTATTTACTCTTTATAGTACTAATGGGAAGTTAGGGAGACCTAGATGTGAAAAAAAATGTAATTGATTAATACTAATGTCTAATAAACCTTTTGTTGTACATTGCCTTTCCCTTCATGGATATCTACATTTTACAGATAAGAATTGTTGAGCCTGAGACTCTTTTAGAAACTTCCTCCATCTGTACGTGGCACCAGGGTTAAAGCTGGCATTGTTCTTGGAATGTTCTAGGTACTCCTCAATGTTTTGAGGAGTCAATCCAAGTTAGCAACCTGTAGGCACTTGTAGAGGGAACTCAGGTGGCCTAGAGGCAAGAAGCTGTGCTGTAATCCTGAAGGCACGCAGTTCAAGGCCGCCAACTGCTCCGTGGGAGAAGGATGGGCAATCTCCTCCTGAGTGATTAACTGCTTCTGAAAACCTTGCTGTATGGTCAGTTACAGGTCTGTTTGTGGAGCTCTGATGGCTTGTTGTTGTTGTTAGGTGCCGTCGAGTCGTAGACAAGTCATAACCCTATAAATGAAAGGCCTGAGCACTGTTCATAGAGTTTCCGGAGGCAAGCCATTTCGGAAGTGGATGCCACTCCTGCTTCCAAGCTGGTTCTAATCGGAAGTTCCACCAAACACTGTCCGCCATGGGTAACCATTAACACATTTGACACATCAGTGTCACAGTGTTCAGTCTCACAGCAACCATGAGTTACCTCTGTACAGCAAATGGACAGACCAGTGCTATACCACCTAGAAGAATGTACGACAAAAAACAATTTAAACCAGACCTGGGGGCCACAGATTAAAATCACCCTCTTTGGGCTTGGTAGCATAACTTTCTTTCCACTAGGCCAATGTAGCTCTCTCTATGTTGTTATTGTTATTGTTGTTAAGTGTCATTGATTAAAACAAGCTTGGAAGCAGGAGTGGCATCCAGTTCCGAAATGGCTTGCCTCTGGAAACTCGATGAACAGTGCTCAGGTCATTCGTTCATAGGGTCGCTATTGAGTCGTCTACTACTCCCCTGCACTTAACAACATCTGATGGTTTAGTGGTACAAAATTGTGCTGCCAATGCAAAAGTACAGGATTCAAATCCACCAGCAGCTCCATGGAAAAAAGATGGGCGTTCTTCTCACGTGTGATTTATCGCCTTTGAAATCGTGTGCTTTGAACCGCCGGAGCTATGGGTAGGTCCCATCCGATGGTGAACGTCAGTGACAGGCATTTGTCCAAGGATGAGGGAGATGCAGTTGAACCAGCAGGGGGCAGCAGAAATGCAGCCGGCTTTGGTCCAAGGGAGGAGGTGGAGCCAAATAATTCCTGCAAACACCCCAACTGTGAGCTCTGGGGCGCTCCAGGTGCAGGCCAGCTTTTGGCCTCTGATCTCCTGATCATCTGCAAGTGCTGTATTTGCCATTGAATATGTTTTTCCTGCTTTTTAATTTTGGTTTAAGGTGGAGCCAAAAACCAAACCAGGGTTAAAGCTGGGAAAGAAACCATAGAGGGTGTTCCCCCTCAAAGTGCAAGGGTTTTTATTATATTTTCTGATTACAAAGTTATATATTCTCATTGTAAAATAATTAAAAGACTATGGAAACGTAGACAGAAACTGCAGGTACCCAGTAAACCTCCCATCCCCGTTAGGATCCATTTTCTCTTTTATCTCAGATATCACTGTTCTTATAATTTTAGAATTATCCTTCCAAACCCCTCTCAGTGCAAGTATAGTCAAGCAAATCATTAAGTGTGTATGCTACTGAAATGAGCATTATTTTGTTTTTATTTTCACAAAAATAAGGTCATACCAGAGAGCTCTGGTGGCTTAGTGGTAAACCACCACGGTCAACCCAAAGGCATGTAGTTCTAATCCACCAGCTGTTCGATGGGAAAAAGATGGGCACTTTCCTGTGCAATTTACAGCCTCTGAAAACCTGCTGGAGGGTCAGCTCTGAGTTGATTCTGACTCAGTGGTACTCAACAACAACAACAAGAAGGTCATCGAGTCCCTTGTCAGTACAGATCTCACTTATCCTTCATAAGGGTTAAGCCAGATAACACTGAACAGAATAGCAACTGTTTAATTGCTCCCTTTCTGATAGACATTGAGGGTGGTCCAGCTTTTAATTATGACCAACGTGGCAGTGATTATGTAGAAACAAATCTCAGCATAACTGAGCATAGTCTGATTTTTTTTTTTTTAATTAATGGGCACAGGGCTAACTGCTGTCCTTCATCTTAAGGGGAAGTGAGACTCGCAGGAAGGATGTGTTCCAGGTCTCTTGGCAACCTAGTAAGAGTAGACTTGGGGGGGGGGGGAAACAATTAAAAAAAAATTAAAAAGAAAAGAGTAGAGTTTAGATAGCTAATTTTCGGTTCCATGTTCTCAGTTCTCCCACTTCATAGCAAAGACCCTCAAAGAGGGCAACAAAGTGTAACATCAAATAAGAGAGCTCTGCAGAATGGGCTGCAGACGTGGCAGGCACAGGGCTGCCTGCAGAATCCATGCTCTCTGGGGAACAGGACATGAAAGGGAGAGTTACCCAGTCCTAATGGGGTCCTTGCCTGTGGACTCTATCTCAACAAGACACCATGTGTCCTGCTCTCTTATTTCCTTTATCTCTCAGTTGGTATCTGAGAGATACAGAACTGCCAACAGCTACTAAAACACAAGTGCTATGTCAAACACATGCCTTCTTAGACTTGAAGAGCACCCATTCCACAATCACCTCCCTCCTATGTAGAAAGAGGTCCCTTAAAAACAACAGCTTAACAACAACTGCCAAGGCTCCAAATCCGAGCTTCTAAATTAAATGTCTGGCATGGGTAATTAAAAATTCATTTCAGGCATTCAATGGTGCCCTTGTAGTTCTTGCATAAGATTTCGCTTCTTAATTATGCTCTGCTTAGATTGCTGTGTGTAAAAGTTCGTCACCTTCACGTGATACAGGCAAAGGAGTGGGGAGTGGGACTGTGCCAAGAGCATGAGCAAAGGACATAGGGTGACTGTATGGATGATGTCTGTAGGATGAGACAGTTCTGTTTTAATATACCCTCCATGGACAAACAAAACATCCATCAGCATAAGAATGAATAAGCAGAATGTGATGTGTATGTATGTGTACAAGGAACTAACATGCAGTCATAAACAGAAATGACTTTCTGATGTGATATAGGGTGACCCTGAGCACATCATGCTGTGTGGAATAAGGGAATCGCAAAAGACACAAATTCTGCACAATCTCCCTTACATGAAAGAATCAAATATACAGAAAACAAAGAGCATTAATGGTAATCAGGAACAGAAAGAAGGATGAAAGGAGTGTTTGTTTTGGTTTGAGGTTTTTATGGGAAGGAGAGAGTAAGCACTGAGTTTATGTCAATGGTGTTAGAGTATTTTGGGGAAGAATATTAGCAATGGTTGGTATACAGGGAGAAAAACCCTTACTTTAATAAAAACTGCTGCTGCTGCTGGTGGTGGGCCAGAACCAACCCATAGCTGAGCCTCCAGTGGGTTTTCAAGAGGCAGTAAATCACAGGGGAGGAGACTGGCCATCCTTCTCCCACAGAGCAGCTGGTGAATTTGAACCACATGCCTTTGGGATTCAGTGCAGATTCTTCTCACTCACTGAATATATTTTTAAAATTAAAACGAAAGATACTATTGGATAAGTAATACAAAGTGCAAAATAAAATATCCACAAAAGAAGAAGAAAAGGCTTCAGTAAAAATGGTAGTTAGCACCCAGTCATTCTTTGCCGCTTTGGGTAAGAGGCAGTCTCACACCTCTACCCTCCCAGCTCGAGGGATGGGGGCTGTACCTCTTATTCCTGTGTGTTCGCTTCATGATCAGTATCAGGACTGCAAGCAGCAGGATGGTGCTGCAGACGATGCCCACAATGATCACCAGCTGATTCCCACCCAGGACATCAGGCGTCAGGGCTGCAGGGGTCACCAGTGCCTCAGGGGTCACCAGTGCCTCAGGGGTCACCAGTGCTTGGAAAAGAAGAAAAGTAACACAAGGACGTCAGAATGGCAGGCAGGATCCCAGAGAAACCCACCCCCACCCCCACCCCTTAGCTCAGGAGAAAATTCTCCACTCAGTACTAAGGCCAGCCAGGAAGTAGGGGAGACGACCAAGCCCTGCACTATTTCAAGACACTGTGACTCTAACTGCCTAAATCGATTGAGAACAAAGTCTGACCCCTTGTTTACCCCTAGGGTGTAGACTGAGGTGGGCTAGCACCTCCTTTACACATTAACAGTTCTATTTTTAAATTTGGTTTGCTAGACCCAGAAAGTACAGGTATTTTAGAGATTGTTGATGTCTCCCCCGACCCTCCCAAGAATGCATGCTGTGACACTGAGCTCCGTGGCCATGATACCAAGCAAGACCCCGAGGAGGCATTCTGGCTTCGCTCATTTATCCCACCACCCTGAATATGTGTGTCATAAGTGTGAAAACACCTCCAGGCATTGACAGACATTGATGATAGGAAAGCAAATAGTGCACAGTCCCTGCTTGCTTGGAGGGAGACAGGCAGATAAACAGAAAACCACAGACTGTGGTTTGAGCTGTCATAAAAAGGTGTTGTAAGCCTGTCTGGGGTTTAGAGGGGCCCAAGAAAAAGTGTAGGCAGTTCTATGGAAATTCACCCCCAAGGTGAAATTTGCCTACAAAATTTCTGTCAAAGCTGAATCTTAGAGGAAACATCAAGTCTACTGGGTAGTCAATAAGGGGACAGACAGGAGGAATGGCACATATTAGCTATGGAGACTTGATAGGATGTGGGTTTTAAGAACTAGAACTAGCCCAGCAAGTCTGGTGTGTAGGTGGCATTTGTGGGTATGGTGAGAAATTCGGCTGGAGAGATAACAGGATTCCGTTCACAAGGGAGCATCTGAATTATCTGAACCAGAAGAATGGCTTAGAGAAGCCAATAGAGAGACGTCACTGGAAGAGTGCATGTAGTGAAGTTGAGTGTGTGTACAGACTTGTGATTTACAACAATGGCACTGGAGGTGGCATGCAGAGTGAGTAGTGACAGCTGAGCGTGGAAGCAGAGGCCCCCGAGAGGTCAGCAGCCCAAGGCAGAGACTATGTGGCCTGAATGAAGGAGGTGGTGGCAATGAACTGGTAAGAAGACAGATTCAATAGCAAGTGGCAGAAATGCAGGACTTGCTGGTTTATTAGATTGGGGAGGAGCCAAGTAGGACTTCAAGGCCTCCAGCTGGGCACTAAGTGATGTTGGGATGACGGGATGGGAAGAGACGTGCAAGGAAGGGTTTGGACATGTGGTGGTTGAAGCACGTGTCAAATGCCGAGTCAAACTGCACAGAGAATAAGTGTCTAACATTAAAGAAAGCTGCAGCTGGGAAATTAGACATCCTTGGGGGATCCAAGCTGGGGTAGAGGTAGCAGCAAAAGCCAGGATGCCATTCACCAAGGAGTAGTAACAGGACGACACCAAAACTGCCAACTGAATTTGACTCTGCCAAGAAATAGATCATTGGTTTTAGCAATGGTTGCACAACCCTGATTATACTAAAAACCCTTGAGTTGAACACTTTGTTGTCGTTGTTGTTGTGTACCATCGACTCAAAACTAACTCATAGCTGACCCTCCAGCGGGTTTTCAGAGGCAGTTAATCGCACAGGAGGAGATTGTCCATCATTCTCCCGCGGAGCAGCTGGTGGCCTCGAACCACATGCCTTCAGATTTGCAGCCCAGCTTCTTGCCACTAGGCCACCAGAGCTCCCTTTTGAATGTTTTACCCAGGTGAATTGTGTGGTATGTGAATTTTATTGAAAGCTCACTATGGAAGATGTGTCATTTTGTTTTTAAGAAACATATAGCATGGAACCTAAAGTACACAAGGACACAAGGTAAGAGGAGAGGAACTCTACACGCTGAATGGTAGAAGCTGCCAGAGAATGTGAATGTCGAGGCCCTGGAGAGCCACGTCACAAGGTCCCTGAGGCAGGTAGTGGGTGGTAGGTGCCCCCTGAGCCCAAGGTCAGGGCAGACCCCAGGTGGACAGGCTCCCCCTGCCTCGGGGTGGCCAGGAAGAGAGGAGAGAGGGACAGATGTAGCCATGTATGTGGCTGGGGAAGGCTCAGAAGTCAAGCGGGCTCCTACTAACAGCTTGGATGTTCAGTGCAGTGGGAGGGAGATGGCTGAGAGTGTAGTGCACAGAGAGAGGGCAGCACTTTCACAAATCCATCTGCTCCGTTGCCCTTGCCAGCTGGAACCCTTTGCCATGAGCAAGAAGGTGCCTCCACAGACTTCAGTCTATCATCCCATCCTCACCCATCCTCCCCCCCAACTCCAACCAACCGCAAGCAGCTCCTGGGGCCTTCGCAAGAGGCAAAGTCCACAGGCCACATCCTGGCTGCTAGCTGGGTTACGGTTTAACTTCAAGCCCTCCCTTATCAACTTCTCTCAGACAACACAATTGTGTCTTTATGATCTACATGCCACTGGCCCTAATACACACTGTTTGCTGGAACACAGGACCTTTGATCAGGAAGCCCCTCCAGTTTGGGTTCTGCTTCCCTCCTGTTTTTTCTCTGTGCCTCACTCTCTTTCACTCGCTCAGAATCGTTTTTCCTTCTGCTACAGAGCATGTAGGAATTCTTGTGAAACCAAGGAAAAAAAATTACTTTGGACACCAACCCTAGTTGATTCTTGAGCTCCAGTGTCTTTAGGGAGCTCTGGTGGCCTAGTGGTAAGAATTGCACTGCCAACTCAAAGGCATAGAGTTCAAATCTGCCAGCTGCTCTGTAGGAGAAAGATGGGCAGTCTTCTCCCTTGTAAATTACTGCCTCTGAAAACCCACTGGAGGGTCAGCTATGAGTCAGTTTCACTCAATATTTGTTTCCTTTCCCTTGGCCAACCAACAGGACCAGAACCTGGCTGAAGAGAGGCATCTAGGTCAACAAATTTAAGAAAACATTCTTTGCTGGGGTTGTGCAAGTCAAGGTCAGTCCCTGACAGTGAGCGCCTCCTCTAATCTCACACCCTGGGTGTCTATCTTGAGTCACTCCAGCCCGGGCCCTGCCTACCAGCTACAAGGTCCCTCAGCCCTTCCCAGCCAGATGGCACATACTTCTGGGCTCTTTCAGGATCACACGCAGCAGAATGGTTTTTTTAAACTCTAGGCTCCCCAGGTGGATCGTGCAGGTGTAGTTTCCGCTGTCAGATTCCTCCACTCCTTGGAGAATGATGGAGCCATTGTTGCGAGAGATGTCCCCCACCAGTTTTACACGGTTCTGGAAGCGCCCCACAGCTTCACTGAGCTGCAGGGAATAGTGCAACACCATCTCCGTCTGGAAGGGAGGAGCAAAAAGTGTGAGGGTCATACAGACGGGGAACTCGGGGGAGTGGGGTGTGAGGAGGGAGACAGAGATGACGGGACTCACAACCTTGTCATACACAGGCAATAAAGGCATTAAGCAGGGCGGCTGAGATAACAAAGTCATGATTTACACGTTTATTGCCTGCATGTGTGCATGCAGAGATAATGCCTCAAAGAGAGAATACCACCAAACCAAGAAGAATTATTAATCAATCTAAAGAAAGCAATAAGGAAAATGAGAAGGAAGGACTTCTGCTTTTCACATTTCTGTACACTTTTACTTTTTAGTGACATTTCTGGTTGAGTTTCCAATGTTTATTGCTGTTGTGTACCATTAAATAAGAACATACCCATAGCTGGCCCTCTAGTGGGTTTTCAGGGACAGTTAATTGCATGGGGGGATACTGCCCATCCTTCTCCCACGGAGCTGCTTGTGACCTCGAACCACATACCTTCGAGACTGCAGCGCAACTTCCTCCCACTATATCCAATGATGCTGATGTCTTCATTTCCCCCCAAGCTAGGTCCTTCATGTGTACCTGATTTTGATAATGCCTTCTTCCAGATGCTCAAACTGAAAGTCTTGAAATCATCCTTAACTTTTCCCATTCTCAGACAACTTACCTAACCCCTCAGCAAATTTTATCACCTCTACCTTCCAAATGTACCCAAATCTGGCGGCTTCTCATTTCCTCCACTGTTACCACTCCAGTCCATGACGCCTCAGAACTCGACCTGGATTCCAGCAATAGTCTCCCTGACTATGGTGGCTTAGTGGTAAGGGGTTGTGCTGCCAACTCAAAGGCATATGGTTTGAATTCACCAGCTACTACACAGAAAAAAGATGGGTAATCTTTTCCCTTGTGATTTACTGCCTCTGAAAAACCCACTAGAGGGTATGTTATGGGTGGGTTCCAACTTGATGGTACATAACAACCTCTACTCTCAGCACAGTAGCCATATGAGCCCTTGAAATATGTGAAATCACAATAATGCTATTTTTCTCATGGGCCCTGTATTTGTACTCAAAGTACAAGGTCTCACATGTTCCGGTATACCCTTTCTTTTCCTCTCTGACTTCAACTTCTACCTACTCTTCTCCACATCCACTTCTGTCATCTGACTTCAGCCACACCAACGTCTTGTGGTAGCTAGAGTACTGGCCTCAGGGCCTTACCACTCAGGGCCTTACCACTTGCTGCTCCCTGGGCCTGGAACACACATGGTTTACGCCCCTTCAAATGTCACCTTCTTAGTGAGGCCTCCAGGACACCTATATAAAATAACAACTACTATTTCCTAGTATAATCCATCCCCTTTCCCATTTACTTGTTCTCCATAGTTTTTATCATTATTATTTATTATTATTATCATTATTATATTTACTTCTTTGTTACTTTATTGTGTTTTTATTGTTAAGTACTCCTGGGGACAGAGATTTTGTCTCTGCTGTTTACTACTCTATTTCTCAATGCCTGGAAGGGTATTCAGTCCATAGAAGATGTCTAAAGAAACACCAGCTAAACTAAACGATGTCAGTACTTTTCATAAAAACATGTATAAATAAGACTCCTCAACAATCTGCAGATAATGAACCTTGCTTGCCAAAACTGAAGTGTTTGCAACAGAAGGTCAAGAACTATAGTCTTCAACATGGATTGAAGCTTAGCATCAAGAAGACAAAGATTCTCACCACTGGGCCAACTGACAGCAATTGATAGATGGAGAAAAGACTGAAATTGTTAACAGTTTCAGCTTGCTCAGCTCTACAATCAACACTCTTGACACCAGCAGTCAGGAAATCAAAAGACAAATTGCACTGGGGAAGGCTGCTGTCATGTTAGTCTAGGGACTAAGGTGTGCCTGATCCAGGACATTTTCTTTGCAATTACTTGTTATGCATCAGAGAGCTGGAAAAAGTCCAAGGATGGCAGGAGACAAATCTATGCCTTTGAGTTGTGGTTCTGAGGAAGAGTTTTGAACATACCATGACTGCCCAGAGCAAACAGGTCTGTTCTGGAAAGGGTGAAGCCCAGTTTCTCCTTGGAGACAAGAGTTTTGAAGCTCTGTCTCATATACTTTGGGGACGTGGCCAGGAGGAACCAGTCCTTGGAGAAGGACATCATGCTTGGAAGGGTGGAGGGTGAGCACAGGGAGGAAGACCCCAGATAAGATGCATTGACTCAGTTACTGGGGTAATAGAGGTAGATGTGTCTGAGTCAGTGAGACTGGCTCAGAATAAGGTAGGGTTCATTATTATACACAGGGTCATTATGAATCACAGGTGACTCAACAGTACATAAAAACAACAACAACAATAACAACAATATATTACTTATATTTTAAATACTTTTAAAGAAAAGGCAATGTATATTTAGATACAAACAAGCACAAATGGTCCATGACTTTTCATCTCTGATGATTCAAATTTACAACCTCAAAATGTCAACCTTCATCCCATTTCCTGCGATGAGTCACTTGATGAAAGACATTTAAATGCATGACAAGCTCCCAGGGGTGAACCGGGGAGTATGTCTAATTCTTCATGTGCCATTATGATGCCACCCTTTCTGACCCATACAGACACAAAAAGGAATCAACAGGGTATGACTGACGTTTTTATAGGGCTGCTCAGGAATCTGTTTTAACTGATAAAAGTGAATATCTTGTATCAACTTTGTACCTTAGATGTTGTTAAGAGCAAATTACCTAGAATGTACCTCAAAGCATATCTTGCTTATCATTGCAAGTCTATCATCATGCCATGGTTGAGAGCTACTGGTCTAGTGAGCTACCTCTCTGCTAACTACTTCACAGAATCTTCTGAAGTGCCCTTTCCATGGCACCCAGGATCTACTACTCCCAACAGATTAAGAATCCATGGAGACAAAGAAAAGTCCTTCCATTATAGCAAATAAACAAAGCAATGGGACACAGGAAACCAGCAAAAATATCCTCAAATCACCATGAAGCCATGCATATATCTAATCTATAGCTTTTCTGGATAGGAAACAAAAACATTCCTTTCCTCCCATGCTGCTCTCGAAGGGAAGGGAGAAGAGAAAAGAAACTAAAATGCTTAAATGGAGCAGCCAAGTCAAGTGCAGAGAGTGTTGTACATCCTATCTCATACCAAAGGAGCTCTGGGGACCTAGAGGTAAGGAGCTGCACTGCCAACCATAGCTACACAGTTCTAACGTGGAATAATAGCTATTCCAGGAAAAAAGATGGACCATCTTCTTCCCCGTGGTTTACAGCCTTGGACACCCCCCACCCCCTGAGGATCAGCTATGTAGTTGGTTCCGACTTAGTGGCTATGACTTGACTTGATCTCATTTAAGTGTCTTGACCATGAAATGTGTCCAATGCAGAACTCTTCACTCTTACCAACCCCCCATACTGGGTCTTTCTGGTCCATCCAAAAGTTAAACATCATCGCCACCAATGTAGTCACCTTTCTCACCATGAAACTGAACTTGTGAGAAGGAGTCTGTTCTGACAGGTCCCAAAGCCTAAGTTCTTGCAACCACCACAGAGCACCTGGCAGGCGGGTTCTCCCTCATGCTCCACTGTCCTGAACTCTTCACCCAGGGCCTTCTGACACACAAGGGCCTCTCTTTTCCTTACCTTACCATGCTCTCCTGATGAGAACACCCATTCTAACATGGTCACATGTTTATCTTCTGTCCTCTTGAAAACACACCCCATCTGAATTGAATCACCCTCGTGGACCACAAGCTCTGGGAATATAAAGATACATTAAGTCAAAAACACAAGATTTCTAGAAGTCAAAGATCTTCTAGAAGAGAACATGTTTAGTCAAAGCTCTTTGGCAGGAAAATCAATGTTACTGTCAGATTCTGTATACATTCCTTCCACAGATGACCTAGTAAGCTATGTAGACGAGGGCTTTCACTTGAAATCAGAATACCCACTATCAACCCACATTTGTTAAGTCTGAGGGTTTTTGTTTTCTTCATAGTATAATAAACATCCTCTGTGAAGTCATGGAAAGAAGCTGCACTGTAATCCCAAAGGCATACAGTTCAAATCCACCAGTTGCTCCACAGTAGAAGGATGGGCAAAGTTCTCCCATGTGATTGACTGTCTCTGAAAAATCCCTGGAGGGTCAGCTGTGGTTTAGTTCAAACTCACTGGCAAATAACAACAAGAAGCAAAAAACTCAGTAGCTTTTGAGTTGATTCCCATTCATACCAACAGAATAGAACTGCTCCATAGGATTTTCAAGGCTGTAATCTTTATGGAAGAAGACTGCCTGCCCCACTTCCCTCCTCCCATCACGCTCCTGATAGGTTCAAACGGCCAACCTTCTGGTTAGCAGCTGAGTGCTCAAACTCAGAGCCACCAGGGATTCTAAACACTCCAAGGTAAAAACAAACAAACAAACAAACAAAAACACCTAAAAGCAGCATCTCTGACTCGGTTCTGACTCATAGTGATCCCGTCGGGAAAAATACACTGAGTCCCACTGGGTGTTCAGGGTTGTACATTTTTATAAAACTAACGAAGAGCCTGATGGGCTGGAGCTGCCAATCTTTCCATTTGCAGCTCCGACCCACTGTGCTACTGTTGTTGTTGTTGTTATATGTCGCCCAGTTGCTTGCGACTCATAGCGACCCTATGTACAACAGCACTAAACTCTGCTTTGTCCTGTGCCAATCGCACTGTCTCTGACACTCCCATCCCGACTATCCCAGTCACTGAATCAATCCACCTCATAGAGGGCCTTCCCCTCCTGCGCCGTCCCTCCACCCTCCCAAGCATGATGTCCTTCTCCAAGGACCGGTCTCTCCTCACAACATGTCCAAAGTATGTTAGACGGAGCCTCAGAATCCTTGCCTCCAAGGAGCCACCCGGTTTAACCCTTTCCAGGATGAATCTGTTTGTTTTCCTAGCAGTCCATGGTATTCTCAATACTCTTCTCCAGCACCACAGCTCAAAGGCATCAATTCTCCTATCCTCCTTGGTCATTGTCCAACTCTCTGATGCATAACAAGTGATTGTGAAGACCATGGCCTGTATCAAACGCACCTTAGTCTCCAGAGAGACACCATTGCTCTTCAGTACTTTGGAGAGGTCCCTAACAGCAGACTTTCCCATAGCAATGCGCCTTTTAATTTCCTGGCTACTGGTGCCAAGAGTGTTGACTGTGGAGCCAAGCAAACTAAAGCTGTGTACAATCTCAATCTCTTCACTATCCATCCTGATGCTGCCAATTGGTCCAATGGTGAGAATCTTTGTCTTCTTGACATTGAACCTCAATCCATATTGGAGGCTGCAGTCCTTGACCCTCTGCAGCAGGTGCTTCAGGTCCTCTTCAGTTTCAGCAAGCAGGGTTGTATCATCTGCATAATGCAGATTGTTGATAAATCGTCCACCAATCTTGACCCCACATTTCTCCTCATAGATCCCAGCCTCCCAGATAATCTGTTCTGCATATAGGTTGAAAAGGTATGGAGATAGGAGGCATGTGCCACTAGGACTCCTAAACACTTCCTCAAAACTCACTGTCCTCAAGTCAATTTAGATACACAGTGATTCACCTCTAAACAGAAATGGAACACACACAACTTTTTGGTTCTAGCCCAACAGGCTATAGACCATTGACTATGTGCCACCAGAGTGCCTTAAAGACCTTCTCCGCAATTAAGGTTGCATACTGGAGTGTACTTGGGGCAGTCGGAGCGGTGCAGGGGGATTGTATACCAAAGAAAGAATTTTTCTTTTACTTTTCAAAGAGAGGAATGAACTGGAGGAGGAGGGCTGGGCAGGGAAAAAAGTACAACAATGAATGAACGGAAATCCAGAATCTCTGAAAATGTTCATTAAAATTAATAAAATAGTTCAAATCCACCAGATGCTCTGCCGAGGAAGGAGGGACAATCTCCTCCTGTACCAGTCAGATCTGATTTGACAGTACACACACACAAAAATTAAAAAACAACAACAACAACAACAAAAATTAATAAAATAAAATTTAAAAAAACCCAAAAAATCAAATCTTAAAAAAAAAGAAAATTCATTTACACAATTACCTACCTCCCCCCCACCCTGCCCTCAGTCTCCCCTTTGCAGCCTCTTATTCTGGGTTGTTGTTGTATGTATAATGCCTATTCATATATTCATTTTAGACAGTTCTTTCTTTCATCTGTTCCAATGCAATAGTCTTTGTTCTTTTGAGATTCCATGCCATAGTTAATATTCTTATCCAAAACTATAAATAATTAAAATTCCCATCAACAATCTAATGAATTGAGAAATTGTGCTTTATTCACACAGTGGAATACTATGCAGCACTAAGGAACTACTATTTCTTAAAACACTGTAATGTGGGAAAGTCTAGAGAGCGTCATGCTGCGTGAACTAACTTGGTCTCATAGGGGCAAATATTGCATAAAACTATTATTTTTAAAATGGAAGGATAACTAGTAAGATGTGTGTTGAGTGTCCAAAAGGGGGAAGTTAAGGATCACTACGATAGCAGAGTTTCACGGGCAGAGGAGTGGAGTGAAGGAAGGGAAAGAGCCAATGGGAACTCAAAGCCATGAGGTGATAATAGATACAGATCAATAGTGATTGGTTGTATGAAATAGTGTGTATGAATAATTGTATGAAGCACAACAGAAATGAAAGATTGTGTGAAATACAGTCCCCATGAATGAAACACAATAAAAAAATTATTTTTCCTAAAAAAAAACCAAAAACAAAAAAACCCAAAAAAACAAACCTCTTCTCAGCTCAATGTCAAGACTGAACCAGCTCATAGAGGCTGTAAATAGAACGGGAGAAGATCACCTCTCTTTTCTCCATGGAGCAACTAGTGAATTTGAACCTTGGGGCTGGCCGCTCAAGTCTCTATCCACTAGGCCACCAATGTTCTCATCATGTTGTTGTTGTTGTTGTTGTTGTTGTTGTTGTTGTTGTTGTTGTTAAGTGCCGTTGAGTTATCTGCAGCTCATTGCAACCCTCTAAACACAGCCCTTGTCCCTTTTAATTCCTCGTTCCTCTCCTTTTTCCAAAATCTTCTCCCACGAACCTCAACTCCATGTCAAATTAACACTAAAGAAAGTACAGAAAATTGTGATGTCCCCACTTTCTGTTCACCAACCTAGATACCCACTTCTGTGTAAAATAAACAGGAAGTGGAAAGTTACATAATTCTCATTGCCTAGTTCTTCTAGCTGGGGGGGGAGGGGAAGCAAACCTAAATTCGAGATGACTCGAACTTCTTTTTTAATTTTTTTAAAAAAATAAATTGTTTCTGAGCTGGTTGATCATTCCTGGCTACAGTAGCGGTCACAGGACTCCTTGCTAATTAGGCCAAATAAATACAGGAAATAAATACCTCTCTTCCCCATGTTTCTGTTTCAATCCCTGCCCTCACCCAACCGACCCACTCTGCCAACTCCTAGGTTCTGACTTCTGCCTATTTATTTACACAAGTAGTCTTACTGTAGAAGTCATTTCAAGAGCTCCTGAAAAAAGAATGAGACACCTCTAATATTTCAATACTGTTCTGATAGATCAATCACAAAATCATGAAAGGTAGATGTTATATAGAGGAGGTTTTAAGTGACAGAGTTCTGTCAAAAGAAAGGCAAGCCTAAGGAATAAGCAGATCTTTTGTATCCGAGGACATTAACCTCCTGCCCAGCAGGAAGGATGCTCCAGGGGAGGGAAGCAAAAGAAAATATTATGAACTCCAAGTTCAATGAAGGGATTTATTCCAAAAGTAATAAAAATTTACTCCAAAGAATTTCAGTAAGGAAAGGCTGATATTGTTATGTACCATCAGGTTGGTCTTGATTCACAGTGACCCTGTAGAACTAAATAGAACTGCTTCTAAGAGCTCTTCAGAACTGCCCTGTAAATTCACCAGAACATTAAAAACTGCTGAACTCTCTAGAGAATAAATCAAATCACAAGCGATAATATAGCAGGCAGGCACGCTCCAGGCATCTTGTAGGTAAGTATTATTATGTATCTTGAGGAATGTATTACCACTTCTCCATGTGATTTACAGCCTCTGAAAACATGCTAGAGGATCAACTATGAGTTGTTTCCAACTCAATGGCACACAACAACAACTACTACTACTATAGTGAGCTTTGATGGCCTAGTGGGTAAGGAGTTGCACTGTCAACCCAAAAGCAAGCAGTTCAAATCCACTAGGAGAAACATGGACAATCTCCTCCCGTGCAATTTATAGCCTCTGAAAACCCACTGGAGGGTTAGCTATGAGTCAGTTCTGACTCAATGGCACATTACAACAACTACAACTGCCTCATTTTACGATTTTATATATAAAGAAACTGAAAACATCTAAGACCACACCACCAGTCAAAGGTGGAGCCAGGACCTCACCCAGGCCTGAGTGAAGACAAAGCCCTAGGTTTCTCCCTCAATATCTCACATGAGGGAGGTTGGGTGGTTCTTTCTACAACAAGAGCTCAAGAAGCTAATCCTACTTTTCTTTATGAGAATATTGTCAATAATATTTTACGTAAAAAGGACCAAAAGAGAGATTGAAGTAAGGATTTATAGGGAAAAATGAAAACTAAAGGGTAAACTGTATAGAGAAAATTAGAGGTGATTGCAAAAATGGAGCTTCGATGGGGGAGGAGACAACCTCTGTGAGGTGAGTGGAAGGCTTTTCACAGATCCCTCAGTGTCTTATAAGGAGTTGAATCTACTTCCTCTTTGGTAGTTGTCTAAGGTTGGGGGTAAAACAATACAAGGTGCTCCACTGGCTACTGGGGAAATAGCAGACTACCTTTAAAGCTGTCCCAGCATGGACCTATGAATTCTTCAAGTCATTCTAATCGGCTCCTTTTGGTGGTGTCCTGAAGGAGCTCTCGTGGCACAGTCTGTAGTGTGCTGCACTGTTAACCAAATGGCTGAGGACCTTCGATGGTTCAAATCCACCCTCTGTTCAGCAAAAGAAAGATGTATCATCTCTTTCTGTTCAGATTTACAATCTCAGAAACCAAATGGAGGGTCACTATGCATCTGAATAGACTCACTGGAAGTGAGTTTTGAGAATATTTTATGTGTGTCTCTACGAGTGGGAGTTGACTTAATGCCATTTAAGCACAAGCAGCACACCTCCACAGGAGAAGGATGGCCAATCTCTTCTCCTGTCACTTACTGCCCCTCAAAACTCACGGGAAGGTCATCTATGGGTCAGTTCTGACTTGACAGCACACAACAACAACAATTTTGCAGTCTCTTCAAGTAAAATTCTGGCTCTCACAGGTTTCATTGTACTTATTACACCATTTAATAAATATGAGTCCTTCACCAAGCCAATTAACCAGTCCAGACCTCAGTAACCTCATCTGTAAAATGGAAAGAACATCACCTCCTTCACAGGGTACTAGTCCCTTCTTCTGGATGAAATGTGTTTAAAGTAAGAGAAATCATAGAAATCATTACTGCCATTATTTTTCTTTAAAGAGAATCATTTACTGGTGATGGAAAATTGAGCAACAGATATGGGTAATGGTTACATAACATTATTAATATAACCAGTGTATATATGAAAAATGCATAATTGAGTTATGTTGCAAATATATATATAGTTGTTGTTGTTGTTGGTATTGTTATGTGCTGTGAAGTCACTGCGGCCCATAGTGACCCTATATACAGCAGCTCTGAACCCTGCCCTATCCTAAGCCAATCTCACTGATTCTGACACACCTACTCTCATTGCCCCAATAACTGTGTCAATCCATCTCCTGAGCTGTCCCTACACCCTTTCAAGCACAATGTCCTTCTCCAAGGACTAGTCCCTCCTGGCCACATGCTCAAAGTATATGAGACAGAGCTTCAAAATCCTACCTCAAAGGAGAAATGTCGTTTCACCCTCTCCAAGACAGACCTATTTGTTTTCTTGGCAGTACATGGTATGTTCAAGACTCTTTTCCAGCACCACAAATGGAAGGCATCGATTCTTCTTTTGTCATCCTTAGTCATTATCCAGCTCTCTGATGCATAGCAAGTAATTGTGAAGACTATGGCCTGGATTAGATGTACCTTAGCCTCTAAACTGACATTGTTGCATTTCAGTACTCTGGAGAAGTCCTTGACAGCAAATTTTTCCCAGTGCAGTTCGTCTTTTGATTTCCTGACTGCTGGTGCCAAAAATGTTAATTGTGGAGCCTAGCAAGCTGCAAATGTTAACAACCTCAATCTTTTCTCCATCTATCATGGAGAGATGCCAATTGGCCCAGTGGTGAGAATCTTTGTCTTCTTGATGTTGAGCTTCAATCCATATTGAAGACTATAGTCCTTGACTTTCTGGAGCAAACACTTCAGGTACTTCTCAGTTTCATCTGCATAACATAGATTGTTGATGAGTCTTCCTCCAATCCTGATGCCACATTCCTTCTCATAAAGTCCAGCCTCCCAAACTATCTGTTCTACATATAGATTGAAAAAGTATGGGGACAGGATGCATCCCTGACACACTCCTTTCCTGATTTTGAACCATGCAGTGTTTTCCTGCTCTGTTCTGAGGACTACTTCCTCATCCAAGTACCAGTTTCACATAAGCACAATCAAGTGTTCTGGGATTCTCATTTTACTCAAAGTTAGCCACAGTTTGTTCTGATCCACACAGTCAAATGCCTTTGCATATTCAATGAAACACAGGTAAACATTTCTCTGGTACTCTTTGCTTTCTGCCAAGATTCATCTGACATTGCTGATAATGCCTCTAGTGCCACGAGCTCTTCAAAATCCAGCTTGTATTTCTGGTAGTTCTCTGTCAATGTACCAGTCATTTCTAGATAATCTTCAGCAGGATTTTGCTTGAGTGTGGTATTAGTAATATTGTTCAATAATTTCTACACTCTCTCAGGTCACCTTTTTTTTTTGAATGGGACTATATACATTACTATATTACTATATATATCTCTTTCATACAAATGAACATATATACATAATATATATTATATAATAAATAATACAGCACAAGAGATACAGGGAATGAGAGAACTACAAAGAAAGTAATAATAATTGCTTGATCCTTAGTGATTTAAATGGCAGAAAGATAATCTTTGGTCCGATTCACCGCCTCTGAACACCACATTCTGGAGGGTCAGCTATGAGTCGTTCCTACTCCACTAATTAACAACAGCTAATTAAAAGGGTGCGCTGGCAGTGAAGTCCATATGGCTGCTAACCCTAAGGCAGCACCTCTCTGGAAGTTCAAATCCACCATCAGCTTCTGCAAGGATGAGCAATCTCCTGGGCAATATACGGCTTTGGAAATGCAATGGAGGGTCAGCTAGGAGGCAGTTCCGACTGCACGGCATTAAGTTTGAGATTTTTATTTTTAGTCAGTTGGAAATGAGGGAGCTCTGGTGGCCTGGTGGTAAGGAGTTGCACTGGCAGCCCAAAAGCAGATAGTTCTAATCCACCAGCTGCTCTGAGGAAGAAAAATGAGCGATCTCCTCTCCTGTGAAACCCACTGAAAACCCACTGGAGGGTCAGGCTACGTGTTGGTTCCCACTCCATGGTACACAACAACAACAACAACAACAGATCTCTTTTATCTCTTAAAGTCTAAAATGTTTAATGCCAAATGACTCTGAAGTGGGTAAGAGGAGAAGGAAGAAGAGAAGGGAGGGAGGGAGAAGAAAAGGGGAGGGGAGGAATAATTTATTAAGGACTTTTTCTGTGGTAAAAGCTGGCATCTGCGCAACAAAATCTGCCCCCTTCTGTCTTTGCACGTGGCATCTCTTGCTCTTCTCCAAGCACCCACGTACCTTTGGGCTCCTCCGGTATTACGTTCAGCACCACCTCTTTCTTGAACACTCGGCTCTCCATTTCCAGGCGGATCTCGCAGGTATAAGTCCCTTGGTCAGCCTCTTGGGCATTTTGGAGCAGAAGAGACCCATCATTGCGTGAGCCATTCCCCACCAAGCGGACACGGTTGATGAAGCGCCCCACTGGCACGCTGAGGTTGGAATAATAGTACAGCACGTAATCATCCTGGATGGAGACAGGCATTGGGGAAAAAATCAAGTCAGATGTCCTAGACTGGATTCAAAAGACCCTGCAACTGGTCATCATCACCGTTCTGATCAAAAATAATAAAAGTATTATCATTAGTAATAATAATGTGCCAGGCAATGGTCTAAGTTATACAAGGTTCTATGATTCATTTCAGGCAAAGAGAAACAGGGAAAATGCAGTTCACATGTTTTCATCTTACTGTTTAAGGTAAAATGTAACACCATTCTGAAAATCACCAAGGGGATTAAAACTCACAGCTTTTGAAAGTCATTATCCTTTTCATCCTGTGTTCTGACCTGACCCACAGAGAGGCAACAAATAATAATAACTTTATAGGGATCATGGAATGTGTGTGATCTGAGTTGCAAAAACTGTTTTATTTGTAGACTTTGGAATTTTGTTGTTGGTTAAAAGTTACTTGGGGCATATTTCACAAATGATCCTGAGATACAGATTATTTCTGAGACATCTCAGATGAGACTTAATGTACTGTTTCCTCTTCCAGAGAGTTTCCATGAAAGACCCTGCACCTTCTAATCCCAATTTTTCAAGCAGCTGTTATAGGGGGTGGAGATGAGGTAAAGACTATGACCCGATGCACAGATGGGATGCTGAGGCAATCCTATCTTGTTTGTTAAAAAAAACAAAACAAAACAAAAAACACAATACACCATTTTCACATGTAGGCCACAAGACAGGATTCACAGCTGCTGGAAGAACTAGAAGCATCCCTCTCACCTACCACCCATACGACCTTACAAAGGCATGACAAGAAGGAGGAAGAAAACTGAAAGAGCTTCACATGTCCTGTCTCGAGCAACCTCTCAGCTACCTGAACTTTCAACAGCACCATCCCTGTGACTACTGGCCTTCACAGGTCAGGAAGCTCAGCAAAGTTGATTAACGTGCTCAACTCATTACACAGCCACATGGTCCTGAGAAATTCAAGATTTTGTAGCAGGACCTCTTTCCCCACTGCTGTCAGGCAGGTTTCTTCTCCTTACCTTGGCGTTCTCTTTTGATGAAAACATCCAGTCCACCTTGATCATGCGTTTCTCTTCTGTGGTTTGGAAAGCACACACCATCAGCACTGGATCACCCACATGGACTGTCAGGGTAGCGGTGGGAACAACCAAATTGTTGAGGCCCAGGGAGTAAACTATAGATGTCAAAGATAAGCAGATACATCATCTTACCAAATACTCTCTGTGATGAAGATTCACTTATCACCAAGGTACACTTCCCTTTCAATGGACAAGACAGCGCACCAAGGTCTCAGAGGCCTCTCACTCAAACCAGTATCCTCAGCATCAGGAGTTATGCAACCCAAGTGCCCATCATTTCAGATAGAGAAACTATGGTACATTCACACAATGTAATATTACACTGCATTGAAAAACAAATGGACTAGTAAAACACTACAAGCCTGGAGGACATTAGGCTAAGTGAAATATCTCAGTCACAAAAGGGCAAATACTGCATAACACCACTGTTATAAAACAGGGCTGACATGAGGAGTTGGGGAGTGAATGGGAAAAGAAGGAATAGATAATGAGCACTGTGTTGTGACAGATGAGGGGAAGAATTGTCTGAAAGGAATATATGATTAGGTATTATGTGTATGACAACAATCTGGAACAAGAGGTGCATTCCAAAGTGCACTTGAGGAGAGGAGAGGGAGGAGGGAAGAAAATGTGCAACAATGAATGAGTTAAAAAAATTTTAAAAATCAGGACTTATATTCTCAAACCAATGGCTCACACTGCAGCATTTCCACCATCTTTATATCATTATGAATGAGATCTGGACCCCTTCTCCTAATTCATCTCTTTTCCCTTTCCAGAATCCCTTCACCTTCATCTCAACCTGTCCAAAAAAAGAGGGAACCTTGAAAGCTCTTCTTTCTGACCATCAGTTGAGACACTCATATTTGCTTACCTAAAACAAAACAAAAATGTCTCTTGTTCCTCACTTCTCACTAGCTTCTTATCTGAAAAGTTAGTGCACGGATTTGCTTTTGTTTGTTCAATTTTCCTCCTTTGTTTGCTGTTCATTTGCAAAGCTCATCTCTGAATGTGCGGCTGATTCTGGCTGTACAGCAGGTCCCTGTAATTAGGCCAGTGCAGAGCACAGCTCTCCCCATGAATTTCCTCTGTGTTGCCCTCGCCCGGCTCTGCTCCCTCCAGCTTTGCAACCAGTCTCAGCTTTTAAGCTTCTAGATGTTTCTCTACATGCACAGTCTGACCTCATTCTCTGCACTCTGCTCAAGTAATGCCAAGAGGTCACTAAGAGAGAAAACCATTACATGAGCATTTCTGTTTTCACAAGTCGTGCTCTGTGCAAACAGGCAACAAAATCCAGAAAGGCACATGGAGACGGTGCCTGGTTCAGACCAAATGAAGAGCCAACTAAACGCATATGGAATAAACAGAAAATGGGCCAGCCTTTCATCCAAGCTGTTTCTCTAAGAGAAGAGTTAACTTCCTGCTCCAGCAGCAGGCACACACTGTAGGGAGGTGGGACAGAGGCATTGGAAAAGCAGAAATAGAATGTACCGTCAATGAAGGCTGTAAAGGATCAGGACCAGGGAGGATCGACCTGGGAAGAATTAAAAAAATGACAATATGGCAAGTAATGGGAATAGGGTGAGTAGCTGTTCAAAAGGGAAGGGCGGAGGAGAGAAGGAAGGGGAAAGAAAGAGGGTGGGGCAAACCACCAGGACAGCAGAGATGAAGGAATAAAATAAGCAAAGCGAGGGACTTGATGAGACTGGTGGTAAAAGGCATGGGTCAATAGGAATTAGTGATAGAAAACACAATGGTGGTGAATGATTGTATAAAACACAATGTACATGAACGAAACACATTTTGTGTGAATGACTGTATGCAAAACAGTTTTTTAAAAGTATCTCAACTTCAAACACTTAGAATTGTTTTGAAGAAAATCCAAATAAGCTCCAGCTAGTATATGAAATTTTACTACATGAAAGAACTGAGAAACCCTCTGTATGGATAAAGGTGTAGGAAAAGTAAAAATTATTTTTGGTAAAGATCTTAGATGGATCTTGGCTGAAAGCAGAGAATACCAGAAGAATGTCTATCTTTGTTTCATTGATTATGCAAAGGCATTTGACTGTGTGGATCATAACAAACTGTGGCTGACTCTGAGAAGAATGGAAATCCCAGAACATTTAATTGTGCTAATACGAAACCTATACTTGGACCAAGAGGCAGTAGTCAGAACAGAGCAGGGTAACACTGCATGGTTCGAAATTGGGAAGGGTGTACGCCAGGGATGCATCCTGTCTCCATACCTTTTCAACATGTATGCAGAGCAGATTACCCGAGAGGCTGGGTTCTATGAGGAGAATTGTGGCATCAGGATTGGTGGAAGATCTATTAACAATCTTCGTTATGCAGATGATACAACCCTGCTTGCTGAAACTGAGGAGGACCTCATGCACTTGCTGTGCGAAGGGTCAAGGACTACAGCCTTCAGTATGGACTAAGGCTCAATGTCAAGAAGACAAAGATTCTCGCCACTGGACCAATTAGCAGCATCAGGATGGATGACGAAGAGATTGAGAGTGTTCACAGCTTCAGTTTGCTCGGCTCCACAGTCAACACTCTTGGCACCAGCAGTCAGGAAATCAAAAAGCGTATCGCGATGGGAAAGTCTGCTGTTAAGGACCTCTCTAAGGTACTCAGGAGCAACAGTGTCTCTCTGGAGACTAAGGTGCGCCTGATACAGGCCATGGTATTTGCAATCGCTTGTTATGCATCAGAGAGTTGGACAATGACTAGGGAGGACAGAAGGAGAGTGGATGCTTTTGAGCTGTGGTGCTGGAGAAGGGTACTGAATGTACCATGGAGTGCCAGGAAAACAAATAGATTCATCTTGGAGAGGATTAAACCAAGCTACTCCTTGGAGGCAAGGATTCTGGGGCTTCGTCTGACATACTTTGGACATGTTGCCAGGAGGGACGGGTCCTTGGAGAGGGACATCATGCTTGGGAGGGTGGAGGGACAGCGCAGGAGGGGAAGACCCTTTATGAGATGGATTGATTCGGTGACTGGGGTAATCGGGATGGGTGTGTCAGAGGCGGTGCGGTTGGCGCAGGACAGAGCAGGGTTTAGGGCAGTTGTGCATAGGGTCGCTATGAGTCGGAAACGACTCGACGGCACATAACAACAACAACAGCAACAACAAAGGTCAATTTATTTTGTATTAAAGTACTGTGCATATTATTATGGTGGAGAACAGCCAGAGAACAACAAAGGAAAACTTACACCTTCAGTGAACAGTATAATCTTTGTAGAGGGATGATGGGGGTGGGGGTGAAAGACTTTCTAAGATGAGGAAATCCCCTCCACAAAGATGTTCCTGGGGTCACCTCACTGCTACCTACAGGGGTGGTTGTTGTGTACCATCAAATTGGAGCCAACCTATACAGTTGATCCTCCAGTGGGTTTGCAGAGGCAGTAAATCACTGCAGAGCAGCTGGTGGATTCAAACTCTGTACCTTTGGGATTATAGCATAGCTCCTTACCACTGGGCACTAGGTCGCTAGAGCTTGGTGATTGTTGTTGTTGTTGTTGAGTACTGTCCAGCTGAACTGACCCACAGCTGACCCTTCAGTGGTTTTTCCGAGGCAGTAAATCACATAGGAGTTGATTGCCCATCCTGCTCCCTCAGAACAACTGATGAACTGTGGGCCTTTCGGTTGACAGCATAGCTCCTTACATCTAGGCCACCAGAGCCCCATCCTACAGGGGCTGGCACGTTCATTGTCTGGATTGTTGTTGTTGTTAGGTGCTATCAAGTCAGCTCTGACTCCTTGTAACTCTGTGCACAACAGAACAAAGCCCTGCGGGGTCCTGAGTCCTGCTCACAGTCCTCGCTGTGCTGGAGCCCATCGCTGCAGCCGTGTCAGTCATCTCACTGAGGTCTGACTCTTTCTTGTTGACCCTCCTCTCTGCTAAGCACGATGTCCTTCTCTAGGAAGTGGATCCTTTTGATGACATGCCCACAGTCTATGAGATGAAGACTTGCCATCTTCATTCTTAAGGAACAATTGAGGAAACGTCCACGCAAGCTGCTCCATGGACCCAGGGAAGATAGGAAAATACCCTCTGAGGTGGTTATAACTCCGCTCCTATTGAAAAAAGAAAACCCCACAATTTTCACGTGTGTGTGTGTGTGTGCTTGTGTGTATATATGTACGTGTGTGTCTGCTGTTGGTGTGCACTGTAGTGCTGGAAGTGGAGCAAAAGCAACTATTTTGTGTACACTGCTTACCCTGTGCTTAGATCACTGTGAGCCATTAAAAAAAATAAGAATGAGAAAACTGAAAAAGCTTAGAAGGCGGGGGTGGGGAATCACATAAAGACAAGAGGGAAGGATAGACAAAATCACTGGTGGAGCTGAGCAACAAGAAGCAGCCTGAACACAGGCTCTCACAGGATGGGGCAGTCAGGGTTTGCAGCCTTGGGGAAACCTGGAGGCCAAGGAAGCTTTGGTCAGGCCAGATGGTGTAGGAAGAGGACAAGGGGCTCCAGGCAAAGGAAACTACTCAGAACTGGGAAAGACCACTGTGTGATTGAGGAACTGCAAGAAGGCACATGTGGCTGAACTGTGAACACACTGAATGAGACTCTGAGCCTCTCTGGTAATTTCAGTTCCCAAACCGCAGTGTGATCCCATTCAGTATGAAGCACTGCCCAGCCCCGCACCCTCCTCGGAACCACTCCTAAGCTTGAACCCGCTGCTGCAGTCACTGTGCTCAGGCCACTTGCTGAGCGTCTTCCTCTCTCCTGCTTTCCTACTCTAACCAACACGGTATCCTTCTCCAGGGACCAGCCCTCTTGATAACATGCCCAAAGTATGTGAGATGAAGTCTCAGCTTCCTCATTTCTTTTTTTTTTTTTTTTACATTTTTTTAAATTATTTTTTTTTATGTGTGTACCGTCAAATCGGATCCGACTGGTACAGGAGGAGATTGTCCCTCCTTCTTCAGCAGAGCATCTGGTGGATTTGAACCGTGCACCTCTGGGATTGTAGCGCAGCTTCTTGCCCCTAGGCCACCAGAGCTCGCCAGCATCCTCATTTCTAAGCAGCTTTCTGATTGTGCTCGTTCCAGGATGGATTAGTTTGGACTTTCTGCAGTCCAGGGTGTATGCAAGTCTTCACCAACACAATTCCAAGGCCTCAGTTCTTTTGATCTTCCTTACGTTGTCTAACCTTCACATGCATCTAAGGCAATTGAAAACACCACAGCTTGCGTCAGACACGTCTTAGTTCTCAGAGTGACAGCCTTGCTCTTCAGCATTTTAAAGACATCCTTGACAGCAGATTTGGCCAACAACAGTACGTCCTTTGATTTCTTGACAGCTGCTTCCATGGGTGTTGATTGTGGATTCCAGTAAAACAACATTCTTTACAATGTTAAACTTTTCTCTATTTGTCATGATGTTTATTGGTCCAGACGTGAGGAATTTTGCCTTATTGATATTGAGCACAATGAGTCGGGATCAACACCACTACAATGGAATTGGGTTATCTGAGGATCACAGATGATTGGACACACAGGAATTCCATAGAGAAACATTCCTTGTATCACAAAAGAAGTCAGAGAACACCCAGTAAGGACGCAAAGGCATTCATTTCTAGCAAAGACAGAGGAAGATTCCGCTTTCCAAGAAAGATTCACTTACATGTTGTCTCAAACAGTTTGTTTCAGCAAAATAAAACAAAGTCCTAACTTAGAAATTTCCATTTTCAACAAACCAAGGGGAAATGAAAGCATGCAATGTGACTTCTTAACATGCATGTGATTTATGAATGAAATTGAGAATCACTAGGCAGAAGTGGGAAGAATGTTGTTAGAATGCCCTCACCCAGAATGTGGATAAGGGAGTGAATGGAAAACCAATTGTTCTGTAAACTTCCACTCAAAGCACATTTTTAAAAAAGAAATAAATACAATATATGTGACTTAGGAAAAAGTAAATACCCTCCCTGGTCCCCTGGCTTACACTTACCAAGTAACATGGACACCAAGATGAGCTTAAAGGAACAAAGCATGCTGCTTTCGGTTGTTCAATCTTAAAGAGGGGGGAAAAATCAGGTTAACGCAAGTACATTAACATAACAAGTCAGTAGTGAGTGACGAGTGGGCCAGTCCTTGTTTGAGATGCAGGGGCACAGCATTGAACAAGACCAGGACCCTGCTCTCTTGGGAGTTTACCTATGGGGGAGATAGGATAAAAAGCAAATGTATGGATAAGAAAACCCTAGATGTTGAAGAGTGGAGTTCAGAGAATCATCTGGCGGCTACTCCAGCTTGTCTGGAGCCCCTGGGTGGTATACAGTCTTAGTGTGCTCAGCTAATAAGCAAACAATTAGAACTTCGAGTTCACCTAGAGGCACCTGGGAACTAAGGCCTAGCATTTACCTCCAAACAATCAGCCACTGAAAGCCCCGTGGAGCACACAGCTCTATTTTAACAAACCTGGGGTCGACTAGATGGCATCTAGTTGGTGCCCATTTTCATTGTAAGACACAATTACCTAAAAGATTTCTCACTTTATATTCTAAACCATAAACTCCTAATTGGTTTACAGATTGACTAATAGGGGGAGACTGAATGAAAGTTGTTTTTCAAGAAAAAAAATAGCCACTGGAACCTTCATACACTGTTGGTGGGTATATAAAATGGTGCAGCACATTGGAAAACTGTTTGGTAGTCCCTTAAATGAAATGTTCAAAGCACAATGTATATGAATGAAACATAATATATACAAATTTTATATGCAAACCAAGAAAAATAATTTTAAAAATAGAGGTAAAAATAAAACATAGCTGTATCTATAAGCTAAGAAGAAAGAAAAAAAAAAGAAATAGGGCACCTTGAGATGACCACAGTAGACATTTCCAAACCTGAAAGTTTGACATTTAATTTTTTTTTTTAACAGGACACTAAGTCTGGAATTTTTAGCTACCTTATAACTAAATTGGAATTACTGATTTTAAACAAAAATGTTTGGGACATATAGGAATGGTGATAGAGAAATATGGGTAAATTTTTAACTCAGTTAAGACATCAACCAAGTTCTATGATGTGAAGAGTCTGTTGCAAACCTGAGAAGAAAAAAAAAGCACCAACCAACAACATTTTTAAGCAGATCTGTGTAAGTAGAATGAAAATTGGGCTGTATATGCAGAAAAGTAATAGTTTTAGTGGTTATCTCTATGATATTAATGTCACTGCAAGTACTAGCTTTCTGGAAAAGGATTCACCATTTAATGGTGAATCAAATTTTCTTAGTGAACGGAAGACCTCTAACTTCAGGGAGTTCAATTTGATCGGCTTTGGTTTCCTGTCTACTGTTGTGCCTGGTCACAATCATATTCCTGTGCTCCTTCCTAACCAATTTGGCTCTAGAATCCACATGAGAAATCTTCTCAAGGGAAAAGTCTTTTTATTGCGGTGTTAGAATAATATCTCAGTAAGATCTAATGGTAAGTTTGGCACATTCTTCAACTGTAAGAATAAAAAATGGTTGCTACTGTATCTTTTCAATCTATAGGCTGAACAGATTATCCGGGAAGCTGGGCTCTATGAGGAGAAATGTGGCATTAGGATCGGAAGTAGACTAGTCAATAATCTGTGTTATGCAGATAACACAAGTCTGCTTGCTGAAACTGAGGAGGACCTGAAGCACTTGCTGCAGAAGGTCGAGGACTACAGCTTTCATTATGGATTGAAGCTCAACATCAAGAAAACAAAGATTGTCACCACTGGGCCAATTGGCAGCATCATGATAGATGGCGAAGAGATTGAGACTATTAACAGCTTTAGTTTTCTTGGCTCCACAATCAATACTCTTGGTACCAGCAGCCAGGAAATCAAAAGACAAATTGCATTGGGAAAGTCAACTGTCAGGGACCTCTCCAGAGTACTGAAGAGCAACGAATGATGTTCATCTGGAGACTAATGTGTGCCCGATCCAGCACCTGGTTTTTGCAATTACGTATTATGCATCAGACAGCTGGACAATGACTAGAGATGATAGAAGGAAAACTGATGCCTTTGAACTGTGGTGCTGGAGAAGAGTATTGACTATACCATGGACTGCTAGGAGAACAAACAAGTTCATCCTGGAAAGGATGAAGCCAGGCTGCTCGTTGGAGGCAAGGATTCTGAAGCTTCATCTGACATACTATGAACATGTTGCAAGGCGGGATCAGTCCTTGGAGAGGGATGTCATGCTTGGGAGGGTGGGGGGACAGACAGCACAGGAAAGGAAGATCTTTGATGAGATGGCTTGATTCTGTCACTGGGGTAATGGGGTAGGTGTATCAGAGACAATAAGATTGGCACAGGATAGAGCAGGGTTTAGAGCTGTTGTACGTAGGGTCGTCATGAGTCACAGACGACTCAGTGGCAAATAACAACAACATACAAACAGCTGTTATTGTTAGGAGCTGTTCAGTTAACTGTAACTTGTAGCTACCCTAGGAACAATAGACCTGAACCTGCCCCTTTCCTGCACAATCCTCTCTCTCTCTGATGTACTTGAGTCCATTGGACAGTCATTGTGTATGTCTATCTTGTTAGGACCCTCCTCTCTTTCTCTGACCTTCCACCTTTTCAGTGTGAATATTCCTCCAAAGATTGGCCCCTCCTGGCAACATTCCCAAAGTACGTGAGACAAAGTTTAGCCATCCTTACCTCTCAGGAGCATCCCGGTTGCACTTCCTTCAAGACTGATTTGGGATTTTTCTTTCGGCAATCCATTGGGATATCTCATACCTTCCTGATTACCTGAGGGATTTCTTGCCTGAGATCAACAAATGCTTTCATTCCAAATCAAGGCCAAACTTTTCAAGGAAGTCCTAGCTCACACCCAAATCAGTTGACCTTGTTGAACCTCAGTTCCCTAACCTACCACATGGGAATAATCATGTAAGGAACAAATGTAACAAGGCAAAAAATACTTTGAAAAACAGAAAGTGTTATCACATAACATCCTATTAAAAAAAAACCCACAACTTAGTAATCAAATAGAAAGTACACGGTATCAGACAAGAGGTTCTATAAATGGCAAATTATGACTCAGAATGAACTGGAAACACTAAGTTTCCATATTTTAAACCCATTATAAAATTGTAGATATGAAATAACACTAAGCTAGATATACCAAGAATCACATTAAGTTGTTCTAAAATCAAATACATCTAATGGAAACACAGGTTTTCCTCAAGATTACTACAGCACTACTTCTATTTCATCTCCCCACTTCACACACACATACACACACACACACACACACACACACACGAAGGGCTCCCTTTCAAGCATGCAAATGATCATATCTGGGACATTGAGACCTCTGTCACCTTCTGTAGAGATCCCACCCAGAGAGTTGACTGTTCTCCTATCTCTACCCAGCGCCAGCACCAGCACATATACACTCCCCCAACAGTGTATCACATACAGGGAAGTGTACAATATCATTGAACTTTTAGGTGTTACCAATAGTTAATGTGTTTGGCTGCTAAGAGACTGGAGGTTCAAGTCTACCTATAGGTTCCTCAGTAAAATAAATAAATAAATAAATAAAATCAACAACCTAATTATAAAAACTCAGTCACTGAAAATCCTAGGGAGCACAGTTCTATTCTGACACATATAAGGTCACCAGGAGTCAGTCAACATAATGGCAACTGGTAACCCTTGCAATTGGTTTCATGTCTAATACCAAACCCCCACTCCAGCCTGCATATTCTCAATGACAGGAACAAGCATGTATCATTTATATTGTAATTTCATTCTTGTACTATGGCACCTGGTAACACATCTGATACATTCTGGATATTCTGATACCTGCCAGTGTGACCATTAATTGAAATAAACTTGTTGTTATTGTTATGTGCAGTTGAGTCAACTACAATTTACAGCAACTCTGAACAATGGCTCTGAATTTTGCCTTATCCAGAGCCAACCTCACCATCTCTGACACCCCTGGCCCCATTGCCATAGCCACTGTGTCAATCTGTGTCATCCAGGGTCTTCCTCGCCTGCGCTGACCCTTTTCCCTTCCTATGACTGGCCTTCCTGGCAACATGCCAAAGTATTTGAGACAAATTTCAAAATCCTTGCCTGCAAGGAGCAACCTGGTTTCACACTCTCCAGGACAGAATTGTTTGTTCTCTTGGAAGTCGATAGGATGTTCAATAATCTTCTCCAGCATCACAGCTCAAAGGCATCTGTTCTTAAGATGAGGAAGTTAAGGAGTTAAACCAAAGATTTTAAAGGACAGCTCATGAAGACAAAGTATTATAACAAAATGTGCAAAGAACTAGAGTCAGGAAATCAAAAGGGAAGAACTCACTCAAACAGAAGGAAGTGAAAAAATTCAAGCCCAAAAGAAGATGGAAATCAAAACAACTATGAGATATCATATCACCCCAGTCAGAATAGCAAAATTTAACAGAATAGCAAGCAACAAATGCTGGTGAGGTTGTGGAGAAACTGGAACCCTTATTCACTGTTGGTGGAAGTGTAAAATGGTGCAACCACTGCGGAAATCGGTATGGCGCTTTCTCAAAAAGTTGCAAATACAGATACTATTTTACCCAGCAATTCCATTACTGGGAATATAACTCAAAGAGACCATAACTGGCATCCAAGCAGATATATGCACATCCATGTTTATCATGGCTTTGTTCACAATAGCAAGGAGTTGGAAACAACCCAAGTGCCCATCAACAAATGGATAGAGAAGCTCTGGTATATTCACAGAATGGAATACTATGCTGCATTGAAAAACAAGGAACTCATGCAATATTATTCAAAATGAGTGACCCTGGAGGACATTATGCTGAGTGAAGTATCTCAGTCAAAAAAAGACAAATACTGCATAGTGCCACTGTTGTAAAACATGACTGACATCGGGGTTGGGAGAGACTGAGACAGATGGGTTAAATAATGTATACTGAATTGAAACAGATGAAGGAGAAAACTGTTTAAAAGGGATATGTGATTAGGTATTTTTGTCATGACAGGAGTCCAGAACGAAGGC